AGGAAATCTCAAGTACATTTTGTCACTTGTCACTATGTCACTTTCACTAAAGGTGCTTTGACACCTACCTTGTTTGGTCTGGAGGTGCCTCAGACCAAGATCTGGACCAAAAGACCAAAATTTGGTCTAAACAAAAGAGGTGGTCTCGGTACGGATGAAACTGAACCGTGATTCGGGTTTGTTTGCAGTGTAAAAACACTTTTTTGGATGGTTCGGACTTTCGGACCAATTACAGGAAGTTAAGGTGGGCTGTCATCATCCAAACAACAGAAGAAGAAAAAAAGACCAGGAGGAAAGTAAAAATGAGCCGCGGTAGCACACAGGTAGAGGAGGAGACTAAATTTTTAACTGTAATTTGATCCAATAAAAAAGTCAAAAGTCAATTTGAAAAAACACAAAAAAATTGAAACTTCTACCTTATTTTCTGAGAGAATGAGAGAGAGAGGATATGACAGGACGGAAGAGCAATGCTACCTGAAGATAAAGAAACAGCTGCAGTATATAAAAGTATAGTGGCAACAAAATTACTCAGTTCATTCATTTTTCTCCACTCCAACGGAAAATGTTACTGCTGAACTGACAACAGGCCGACGTCAGCCACACACTCTTCTACAAACCAATCAATGTCAAGTACAGGGAGACACAGGACACATAGGTGATGACAACAGTAAGTAGGTACTGTATGTATACAGTGTAACAAAAACATGAACCTTGGTCTGGACTTTCAGGTGTAAAAACGCCCTAAAATCACAGCTAGAAATCAGCTACTTTCGTAGGAAATGACTGGTCTCTGGTCACCTCTAATGAGGCTTGCTAATGAGGAGTTGAATCAGGTATGCTTAATGAAGCAGAGAGCTAAAGTCTGCAGAGCTGTGGCCCAGAAGGAACTCAGTCTGATACTTCTGCTCTAAAGGTATTGGGTATGAACGATGGTATACGTGCTGAGGTACAGCCATAGCAGGGCAGCAGCCACCGAACTCTGTAGAAAATCACCTCCACATCGCTGTTCCACTGCCACAGCGGATTCACACTTTCTCAAAGCAGAACTCAGGTGGCTGCGCAGTGTGTGACATTATCAGATTACACTAGCTGAGTGAACACACACTAACAAAGCACCAAAAACAGGTGCCTCCACTCCACAGAACAGGTGGAGCATGTACACACACACTCACTCACACATATGCACACACACTGAGCTGGAGAGCTTTATATGACTTTAAGGCTGACAGATATGGCAAGACATCACCAACATGATAAATTGTGTCACAAACTATGTCAGTTTTCTAACTACCTTGTGGTCATCAGTGTTTTTATGACACTGACCAACTTTAAATCACTCTCCCAACATGGATCATTCTACCAAACTGGCTCAAAGTCAGAGCTCAAAACACATTTCAGACTTACTTATGTTTAATTAATTAAAATAAATGATTGATTCCATTTTGTCACTAACAAAACAGTCATAACATCTCTAAAACTTTACCTCTAAAGCTCATTTTTAGCATAACTCAAAAACATTAGCAAGTACATGACTCACAAACACAGCTCTGAACAGTTGTACACATATAAAATCATAATATTTTTGTTAAAACACAAAAAAATTTACTGAAATGCAGAAAAAGTGTGTTTCGGTAGTGGCAGTTCTTAATAATACACACATAACAAGGCACATGCTTTTATATACACTTACACATATACCACTCCTCCTTTCTCTGTTTCTTACAATCAATTATTCAGCTCAGATTTTCACATATTCACAACTCATTCTCATCATTTTCTTTCTCCCCTTCTTTAATCTCTTGTCATTGAATAAGTACACACATGCACACATTAATAACCAGACATTTATTTATTTTCAAATCCTCTTTTTTCCCTTACTTACAGATATGTGCACTGATAAAATAAGAGGATCTAAACACCTATGTTGATAATTCAAATATACTGGTTTTTTTTTTCTTCAACTTCACCTGTCTCTGTGTGGACGAGAAATGTAAAGGATATGAGATATCAACATCTACATCACATGCGAGTTGAGTTCATGTAATCTACAAGCTTAATCACTGCAGATTGTTGATAACTGTTGTATTCAGATCTGCATTCAAGAACACTGAACTACAATACTAAAGCAGGTTCTCCCACAGGTCTTAAATAAACCTGCTAGAAAAACTGTGATGGATGATATATGCAAATATCTAATCTCATATCAGTGATCTTTTTACATAAATGGCTGTTAAAATAAGGCATGCATTTTGCTTTTTTGTAATGTAAGCTTTTCATTAACTGTGTGGCACTGAACCACAAAAATGCTGAAGTACAAGCACTTGATATTGTGTCTTTGGAATTTCTTAAATGGAACAAATGAAAACTGGAAATTCATCAAATGGAACAAAATATACTTGGATGGCTGTTAATATACTGACAATATACTTGGAGTTCTTTGTGCAAAGCCATACAAAAACAACTATTCCATGTTTTAAAAAGGGACCTAAACACAAAAAAATTCACACAATGTGAAGGTTGTACACCAATTTAAGGGTTTTTCCCTCAAGCCTTTACACTATGCCGTAGGTAGGTTCTTCACTCTCACCTACATAATAAAAACGACTGACCAAGGAACCATACAGTGAAAGGTTTCTAAGAACCAAGTGTGGTTCTTCTATAGCACTGTGCAATAAAACCCTTTTTGCAAGCTTTACTTTTATTTTTAAGAGTGTATTTTTGCATTATTGCCCACTTCTTACAGACAATCAAACATTTCTGTACAATGACTGTACATTCTTTACTGTCGTTGGGGGAAGGGGTTTTTAACAATAAGACTTGTGGGGCAAGTTCACTGTTTCTTGCGTTATCTCAGAATGCATCATCTCCCGTTCACGTCATCACATTCCATTCTGACACAGCGGAGCTACACAGATTTTACTGCTCATCAGCAGGACTACACCCCACATCTAAAAACTGGGGACTGTTTCTGTGGAATTCACACTTTCATGCTTCAGAGAGACAGAGATAGTTAAAGCAGATTCAGTCATCATGTTTCCTTTAAAATCAACCACACACACCCGCATGCTCAAACGTTCCGCATGCCAGCAGTGATTCACCCTCTAACTGAACCAATGGTGTTCCAGTTTGGTTAGAGGTGTCCCAATGTTATTATAAAACAAGAAATTCTACTACTGCTTCTTGTAAACCTGCATGCCAAAGCTTTATCACACATTAATGTCTTGATTCTTCTGCTCCCCACAGCCTTCCTGCAATCCTGCAAAGTCACTAACACTTCCCATAACAGTAACATAAGTAAAAATCTATATACTGATTAAAACAACAAATCCAAACGTAATACACATTCTAGCCTACACTTCTAAACTCTACTCTGTCTGACTATGTTGCAGTTCCTAGGTCAACTCTTAAAGCGCAAGGTCAGCAGCACAACTGCACAGGTGGGTGTGACTGTCGTCCCAACAGGTCCAACAATTATAGGTCTTAATTAATTGCTTTACCAATCCATTAAAGGCGTCCATTTTTAGCGAACCGCAAGAGACTGTAGGATTAATATAACCGCTTGATGAAATCTGAACTTGCACATTTTAAAAATATCACACCTTGGGACAGGGCACGATGCCATGAGAATGCTATGTGGGGTATGACTTTGTCAACACACCTGGAAGTGCAAGAAAGACATTGCTGAAAGGCATGATCCATTTCTAATGGAAATCTACTTTTGAATGTTGTGTGCAAACAAAGTTCAACCAAGACTAAAGGAACATGCATCAAATTTAGAAATTTGACAAGTGGCAGTGTTTGACAGGCAGATCGCTAGAATCTGAGATTTACCCAGGAATAATGAGATACTAAAGAACCCACAACTTGGAGATTTTAACTACAGAAGCTCAGTTGAGAAGCAAACTGCAAAAAGATTCTGGAGCTCAAGGTGTAACTGCTCTGAACGTAGATCTTCTGTTGCTTAGTTTAAGATCTGGGTTCAGGGCTTTCTTTGGGACCAAGGAGTATTCTCTCATTGAGCCACGTAACCTAAGCCAAAAGTGAAAGTAAGCCTGTCCAACTGGAAGAGGTGACAGAATGACTGTATTGGACAATCTTTAACTTGGCTTAAGTGATCCTGACTGCTGAGAAATCCTGGGAGTATCTCAGTAAAGCTGAATAAACTAAGTGTGAACTGTCTGATATGAATGACCTTTACCTCTCCTTCTCCTCCTATTGGACTTGACTTTGGGCTCAAGTTGTCTACCCAACTGAGAAGACCTGCTTTGTGACATGGTCTCATACTGAATGATGCCATAGTAAAGCAGCAGTCACCAACCCTGGTCCTGGTGGTCTACCCTCCTGCAGAGTCTAGTTCCAACCATAGTCTGCCACACTTGCTTCAGCATATTAGCTTCTTCAGAAGTGCTTGATTGGCTGGATCAGATGAATTAGTGTTAGGCAACTGGGGGGCTGCGTGTTAGATGCAGGGTGGATTTAAACTCTGCAGGAAAGTAGATCTCCAGGAGGAGGGCTGGTAACCACTGCCATAGAGGAACCACTTCTGATTCCCCAAAGAACTTTTCAGTGGATGATTCTTTAAAACAGGGGTTCTCAAATCGGTTCTGAGGGATCCCAGACAGTCCACATTTTTGCTCCACCACAAAAATGACTCCCAGTACATAGTGACAGAGCAAAAATCCGGACAACCTGGGGGTCCTTGAGAACTGGTTTGAGAATTATTGCTATAAAGAACAGTTTTTGCGAATGAGACATGAGAGATTGTGAGTGAGAAGATCATTTTTATCATTTAATTAACCTTCACATATTTTGCAGGTTCTTTAACAATTACATTTTTTAAAGAACCATATGATCAAGCCAAGAACCATTTAGGAACCTTAATATTTAAAACCATGACTCAAAACACCTCAAACACAGCCATACATAACTCACATATGCGCACACACACACACACACACACACACACACACACACACACACACACACACACACACACTCACCTTCTCCTGAAGAGCCCGAGCCCGCTGAAGGTCCTGTTGCTTTGTGTGCAGGGCTGCACTGCGGGGGTAGAGGTGGACAGGTCCGAGCAGGAAGATGACGGTGAGTCCGGAGTAGCTGGTTCCTCACCATCCGGCAGAGCATCCAGGTGACCGGACCTCCCGTCCACCTGTCCCTCTCCATGTCCCTCCATCACAAGCTCACGTGTGCACCAAGAGCGTCGCTCTTTCTCTCTTATACTCTTCAGCAATGCAGACTGAGTGCAGATAGAGATAATCCATCACAGATACATGAATTCATAGAGCACCAAACTGTTCCACTGGAACAACAGCAAGAGAGAAAGAGTGGAGGGCAAAAACTGGATGGGCAAGAAATGCAAAGTTCCTTGAGAAGTTACTTGAGAAAAGATCTCTGGTTGGTGAAGAGAAGTGCAATGTGCTTGACCTCCATGGTGCAGAAGTTCATTCCACAAAGCAACTCAGGCAGTCAGTCACAGATAGCAGCAGGAAGTGTGGCCCTCTGAACGTGAGTGAAAGTGCGTGTGTGGTAAACTTTTCTTCTCCTCCATGCTCTGGTGCCTGCTGATGGCTTCCTCTCCCTGTTCTTTCACCACCCACTGACAACACCACAACTTTGTCTCTGCAGAAGCCTCCTCCAGGGCACAGTCTCTTGTGTCCCCTCCTTCAGCTTTCTTTTCTCTCTCTTTCTCTCTCCTCTGACATTTACACCACAGCCAGGTTCAGGAAGTGTCTAACCGCCAGGCAGGAGCAGCAGGACCCATAGTTGTCTTGTTATCTGCCTTTTTTGCCTCGCCCCAGCCAAAGCCACTCTCGCCTCTTCTCCTCTTTCAAGCTCTTCCTGACTGACTGGCTCCCTCACACAGAAACACACTTTTATCAGTTCACCTCTCTGAGCACGCTCCAGCCCTGCCTCACACCTCCTCTCATTGGCTCACGTTAGGACGAAACTCTGTCGCCACCTGCTGGTTAAGCATCAAACGTGCTTCTGTCGAAACTCACTCTTCCTTGGAGTAACAAGGAAGCTTGCTGTCAGGAAAATAAAAATACCAGGAAGAATAGTCAGAGTAAATATAAAGTCATACACTAAGACTGTAAATCTCTGACCTGAAATTAGATTCAACTATGGTTCCTTTAAGTTTCCTAAATGAAGCCCTAAAGGGCCATGGATTCACATGGTTTTTGTTCTGTTAAAAAAATACAGTTATCATCCTTTGTATTCTCGAGATCTCAAGTTATGTGTATCATTATCAAGACACAACAAATGTTGTTTTCTTCAGATATTTATATCATTATCACAACATGACAAATTTTAACTCAATGAAACACTGTTTGTTATGTCATGATGATACAAATAACTCAAGATCACAAGAAAACAACATTCATTTTGCTGTGATAAGGACAGAAATATCTCAAGATCTTGAGAAAACAAATAAGAAGTCATTATGTTGGAAAACCCACATGCGAATCCATGGTCTTTTAAGGCTTCCGTACATATCTTACATTTTTCTTATAATTTATTTTCCCCCCTGAGGTTCACTTTTGGTGTTTGTGTAGGTTTATGTACCAAAACAGGCAGTTCATTTTTACATGACCTTACTCCATAGAATTTTTTTTCTACTGTGCCTTTACGACTGATATATGTTAATGACCTCTGTTATGAATTGTTTTTTTCAAAATATGTTTTTAGAAATACAATTACAATATACATGCTTAACATGTATGTAAATATTAAAAATAGACATCATTACATATATATCATCTACATATTGTTGCTGTCCAAAGGAAAACAGGTATCTCCAGAATGGCAACTTCACAAAAGAGAGCAAAATCCTTCTCAACTTTAATGTAAGTTAACGTAAAAATATTTTATTCCAGGCAATATTGAAGCAATTCTTTTGGTCCATTTATCAAGACATTTTCACATAAAGGACAGCTGGTGTGCTGAAATGATGTACAAAAATGAAGAGCAAAAAAATGAAGATACTTTGTTTTTTTTGGACAGTGACAATATGTGCACTTATTTCAATATACTGATCTATGTGTGCATACACAGGCATATACATAAATATTCAAAATGGCACAGTTAAACATACATACTCCTTATAACTGGAGAGTGAGTGGGATGGGCTAATCTGCTGTAGGCTTAGTAAGCAGACATAAATGTATTGGTTTCCACAAAAATAGTGAATTCAAAATGGACTGTAGCTTCAATACAAGTTTTTATGTCTGAAATTAGCCTCATAATTTCACTTTTGAGCACGTATTTAATGGAATATTGTTCTAATGGATTTTAACATTTTAAAACCAATACAGTTTGTCAAACCAATACATCACAACATATCTTCAGTTTCACACCCCTGTTATATAACATAAAGGCCACAAACATTTAGTTTAGTTCTGAGGTAGAGCTGCGAGTCTTTCCCCTCACTGGCCCAGATCAGATCATGGGTTACAGCAGCACTGCCACAGCTGCACTCACGCTCTGCAGCTTCTGCCATGGCCAGGCTCCCTCCCACTCAGCTTTACATAAAGCCGGGCGGACACAAACCCACGCTGCACACGCTACACATCCCTGGGCTGCTTTTAGAACACACGCTGCAGCCAGCCACGGGTTCACACACGGGCTGGACACACACACACACACACACACACACACACACACACACACACACACACACACACACACCTAAGGTGCCAATAAGTGAGTCCATCAGTTCAGTAACAGCTCAGTGAAACTACCTCTGTAAAGGCAGTTTGATACATATTAGCACATCAATTTCAGCACCTAATGTTAAATGAAACTAACCAAAATAGGCCTATAAGCTGAAAGTAACACAGGGATGTCTGACCCCTTAAAATCTGATCATTGCATAGATATTTATTATTCAGTATATACATGGAAAGCAACGCTAACTGCCAGAATTATAGGAGCATAGAATAAAAGAATGGCCAGTTAAAAAGTCAAAAGCTAAGCAACACATGGAACGCAAGTGAAATTTGAAGTCTTTTAGTTGTACACTTTTAGCTAGCTGGCATGCTACAGTTTGGGCCTATTTTTCTGGTGTTTTACCAACTCAAATGAGGCAGAAATAAAATGTGGGATAATTGTACATGTATGAATTTATTTCGCCTTTACAGTCATATGCAAATGTTTGAACCCCTGGTCAAATAACTTGTTTGTTTTGATAATTTTCTGGCATTTTTTCTGCACATTTTACACAATTTCCATTTATTTGTTTCATATATAGCATATACAAAAAAACACCAATAATTGGAACAGGCAACATTTTATGTTTAATTTCCCCCAAAATATTACATTCAGTAAATGTCACAAAGGGTATGTTGATTTGTTTATGTTTAGTATGTATAGTTAATCTGATTGCTTTCCACTGATGGACTGTTTGTTTCTATCCTGGGTCCAATGCAACGAATCCTCTGATGAAAACAGTGTTGACAGCACAACTCGCCAATTTGGCCAATGACAACATACTCGACTACGTCGTCCGACTTTGAAGGCCGTTCATATGGTGCCTTTTAGTGGACTTTTATTCAGATAAAAGCGAGACCACTTGAAAAAAGCATTAAACTCTGCATGCAGGTAGATCTCCAGGACCAGGGTTGGTGACCAATGTTATAGAACAAAAACCACCTCAAAGTTCATTCTCCGCAATAAATCAACCAGCAACTTATATCAGCTAAAGAGTGACAAAAAGGCTGTGAAACTTGTAGTGAAGAACATGCTGATTCATCTCTGCGGCAGCATTCTGCTCTGGCCTGGATGCGTATGAGGTAAGTGTAAAGTCAGTGGTGTCCTGGTGTGAACGTGTTGCGTGGTGTGAGAGTGTTGTATGCTGTGGGCCTGCAGAGGAGCGGTGCAGTGGACTACAGAAGTGCACTTCTTCTGCACCATGTGTGGCTGATATTCATGAGCTCATAGATATAATCCCCTCCTACACGCCGCATGCTGTTAGATAACATATTGAGCTGTTCAGGTAGAAAAGGACAGAGAGAGAGTGTGCAAGAAAGACAGAGGACAGGGTGAAACAGAAAGGTAAAAGAAAGAAAAAACAGAAAGAGGTAAATAAATAATGGAAGAAAACAAGAAAGAAAAAGGGAAGAAAGAAAACTAAGAGGGAGTAAAGTTGAGATTCTTCCAAAATGCTTGCTTTCATAAACTCTCAGCTGAGTCAATAAAAAACAATTACTTCCAGTGTGAATGTGGAGACAGCGGCTCAATACAACGCACTGCAGCAATTACCCACAGTGCCGTGCAGCAGGAGTATGTCTATAATAAAAAAGATCAAATCTTCTTTGGCTCACCCATTGAAAATATCCATGATTAATCCAAGCTTTCATTTTGTTAAGTGAATACACAGACGTGGTAGAGGGCGAGGAACACCTTGTCAGGTAATGTGATTGGAGCCGTTTCAGCCCAGGCTTGAGATTAAAATGAGGTGACACCTCGCAGCACAGTGTCTGTTTGCTTTCACCTATTCATTTCAGCCAAGCGTGGCCGAGCTCTGGCCTGTTCATTTCAAACGAGCTCGACGCTGTCGGCAGCCTTCAATGATCAGAGCCACTGAAACTGATGTGGCGTGGAGAGACAAGACTGCGGTCTGACCACAGCGGTGAGAGCCACACATCACTAAACACAAGCCCAATCCATACCGCTCAAAGCTAACAGTGTTACACAAAGAAACAATAAAAAGCTCAAAGGAAAACTGGGGACTAGACTATTTTATATGAGTAAGCTTGGGGTCTTGTGAGCTGGCTAGTTAAAGCGATAGTTTGGCTAAAAATCACAGGTATACAATGATGTCCTCTGAAACTTATAGTGTGGAAATCAGGGACCCAACAAACTTCTACAAACAGATATGATTCCTAAACCATCATTCTGACTTTCTCTATGAGAAAAAGACAACAACTAACAAATATTGTGCCATATGGTTAACAAACAGAACTGACACTGATTTTTCAAAATGTATTGGTTAAGATGAAAAGATGTAATCAAATGGTTGAGGTGTAAAGAAAGTAATTCAAAGTGGTTTGGTGTAAAATATGCTGTTCTAGAGAAACTTAGAGAGTCAGAATTGTTTACAGTGGTGGTGATAGGAACTAGACATCTAAAGAGTTTAATGCCTCTAAAAGCTCCCTCATAAAGTTATTACGTTAAATGGCTACGAATACGCTGTCTGAGGTCAGAGACGTTATTTTATAATAGCTTTTAGAAAGTTTTGGCCTAAATTACCTATTATTAAAATGAATTCATGGCAGAGAAGTACATGCAGGGCATTGTAAGGCAAAACTGTTTTCAGACTAACTACTATTTTATCAGTATGGACACTACATATAAACACCCACAAGACAGGTTTACTGGGGGTTTTGGATAGTTAATAAAAAAGTTATATTTTATTGAGTTGGTAAGTTTCTCCTCAATACACTATTTCACATCAAAACACTTTATTTACATCTAAACGACTGAATTACGCAGAAAACTAAAGTTAAAGGCTAAATATAAACTTAGAACAAGTAATGGTAATAAATAGATTGCCTGATTCCTGAGACACTGATTTACAATTGTTTTGAGAAAGGTTTTAACCTAAAATCCTTTCAGGGCAAAAATATATTGCAGGATATAACAAAGGAAAACAGCCCCCACAGCAACCTTTTTCGGATTTACCACTTTTTTTACTATTATACACATTATAAATAAAAACTCACTAAAAACCCACTATATAAGAAGCAAAAGCCTATACCTGTGTTGTAGACATAGTGACCCCTGGTTCCTATCACCAACACTGTAAAGAAATCTTTAAATAGATTGTCTCTTCAATACACTATTACACATCAAACTACTTGAGCTGAATTATGCAGCATTTAGAAAATGCACTTTAAAGCTAATACAGAAATTTCCCATTCAAATCTTAAACCTGAAACAAAACTGGAGGTAATAGTGTGGCCAGTACTATGAGTACCTTTGAATAGGGTGATTGTAGTCTGTTGAAGGCACGTCCCATTTTTGGTGGCCTCTCCACATCTGGATGCTATTTCTGTCCACTCTGCTTTGTAAAGGCCGCCCTCAGGCACTACTAGGCTGCTGCAGAGGCAGATAAAGATTTCAATTTATTACACTCACTACTTATTCACAGTCAGTTCACAGTTGGTCTAAACTAAATAGACTTTTTTTAATTAAAAATGTCATGAATTGTTCTGACTGCTGAAGAACAAACCTTGGTGATAGATGCAGTCTGTACAGTACAATGCCTGTACATCACGTACAACAAGAAAAGGGCTTTAAAATGACACTGACCTCTTTCACTAGTTAGACCTCATATTAAAGAGCCTTTTCCTTTGGCAGGCGACACAGACGCGTGATCACCAAAATGAATCACCTCAAGAACAGTTTCTTCCCTTCAGCCATCACAGAACTAAACTCCTAGCTGTCAGTGCTCTACTGCTTCTAGACTACACTGCGTCTCCCTGCTGTATTTGACTCAGACAGCACTAGTTTACAGTCTTTATCAGGCTACATTTCAACATGTCCTATGTCACTACTTAAAACGTGGTGTTTATTTTGTCTTCTTGTTTTGCACATATCTTGATTTAAATGTTATTGTTTATTATTTGCAGTCTTTTGTTTATTGTGGATTTACACACACAGCTTGATGTGTGCCAATAAAGACTGTTGAAAAAGATCTAAGTCTGATTCTGACACAAATAACATTGACAGCCTTAGCATTTTAGCACCTTGAGAATCAAACCTGGCTGTCTTTCCCAAGCCGACTCTCTCAAAGAAACAACCCCCTGATGGGAGGTGTATATCTGGTCTCTGCATTGTGTTGCAGTGACAAGACAAGCTGCACCACAATGATGGTCAAACTGCTCTCATCTCCAGGGCAGCAAAGTGCTCATTTGCCCGAGAGTGAAGAATGGGCAGATATAAGAAATAATCACTCGAGATGGTTGAAATGGGTCAACTCAACCTCGATAGCGTTTTGTGAGGGCGTCTTTTCTATTGTGCGTGTGCCTCTACAGAACTGTCAACTTTACACAGCACTCAGAACACCAGGCTCCCACTGATTACACCTTTACTCGAAAAAGCAGGCCATGTGCATGCTGGTAAATTGACCAGCGCCAGATCCAGAGACCAAAGAACAGTGCACGAGCCAGAGCCCATTATGTTCAATGCAACCCCTTTAATGTCTGCATCATAGCGCGCTTTGAGCTCCAGCTCGGCCTACACAAAGCCTGTTCGGCGCTGATGAATTTAAAGTTACTTTGGGGACATTGTTGTTTGATGTGATGGGCCAGGTGTGGCTTAATATCCTTTGTTCTAACAAACCCACTCTGTCATCAAACCATACAAGCTCATATCCCTCCATATCCCTTCCATCCATCTACAGCCTGGTTGTGACATCAGTACTGACTAAATCAATGGGCAGTGCTTTCCCTCAGTTCAACTCATTATTGATGACTAATTTTGTTACAGATTTATTTTTAGTGGACACAAGTAGAGCTTTCACAGATCAGTGGTCACCTGGTCCAGCTTTCACGAATACTACAAAGGACTATAATTGCCTGTCATAAAGAAAGCATTACTTCCACTACTGTGATTACAACTATCATCATCATCACCACCGTCATATTTCTGACACCTATTCTGTATCATTTTCCCTCTTTTCTGTCTAATTCTATACATTAAACAAACATAAACAGAGCAGCACTGTGTAAGACTGTCTAGCCTCATTTGTTAAAGCTGCACAGAAAGGAAAGTTTCTGGTTACTGTCACCTTTGTGTTGTTACAATGCAGACGGCCACAATAAAGCACACCCTGACTGAGAGTCTGTGATGAGAGAGCAGTAGCAGTAATGGCAGTAATGTGATTTTTTTGCTTTTGATACAGAGCGGATGGTGCAGGCTGGTTCAGCTGAAACGGGAGTCATGAGCGCGGAGAGCTCTTTGATGACTTGCCTGTTAAAAGATGGTCGTACTGAACTCTACGGCAGCTCACATCGGCCATCGACGACGGAAGCCAGACATTTCACATTAACTCTCCTCGTTTTCGAGCATCCGGGTCAGCCTCAGGTTGTTCAGTTTCCTGTTGGTGTTGGGCCTGTAGTTTCTGTCGTGTGATGGTTAAGGGGAAGTCCACCAACCTTTCAAAAAAAAAAAAAGTTCCACATAATTAAAAGGTTAAGATGTAAACAAAGACATTCAGAGTGGTTTGGTGGGAAGTGCAACGCTCTAGAGAAATTTACCAAGTCAGAACTGTTCACAGTGGTGGTGACGACCAGACGTCTGAGTTTAATGCCTCTGAAAGCTCCCTCACAGAAAGCTATAACACAGAAAGGTTATGAACGCTGCCTGATACCTGAGACACAGTTTTATGATAATGTTTTGGCCCAACACGTCCATTTATTTTGATTCATTCATTTCGGAGGGGTACATGCAGGGCGTTGTGAGACAAAACAGTCCCCAAAGAATATGTGTGTTTTTTCAGATTTACCATCATCTGCAGTACATACAAAAACTCAGAAAAAATGATCTGGTTTTGGATAGTAAATAACATGGCTATACTTGTGTTGTAGACATTGCGACCCCTGGTTCCTGGTTCTGACCGGTTAAAACTCTGTCTCAGACCTCATGTGGCACATGGCAGACCTGATTACGGCTTAAAATGAAATGAAAACTATCCTGAAGATGCTAAGCCCGTTCAGTGTTCAACAGGGCGCAAATAAACCGAATTTTCTCTCAACACGGAAAGTGCATTTAAATACATACCTGACTAAAATAATCAGTGTCTCTGTTTTAATAACCTGTTCGATAAAGGTTTGTGAGGCAGTGACTGCTGTCACTGAAGCAAAGAGGCCTGGATCTTGAATCGCTTTTAAGCTCAGTCATTTTTTTCGGTCCCTGGAGATCCTCACTGAGTGAGAAACACTTCTTCATGTGCAACAGCGCCCTCTGTCGGTGAGTAAAGCACAGTAGCATGATCTCTGTGCACAGTTGGGACACTGCAGAATGTAAATAAAAATAGGATGCAAGGCTATGCAATATTTTTAAAGGAAAATACTACAAAGACAACATATCAAATGTTGAAACTGAGAAACTTTATTGTTGTGAAATATATGCCCACTTTGAATTTGATGCCAACAACACATTCCAAAAAAGTTTGGACGGGGGCCTGTTTACCACTGTGTTTCATCACCTCTTCTTTTAACAACACTCTGTAAGCGTTTGGGAACTGAGGAGACACTGCTGTAGTTTTCAAAGTGAAATGTTTTCGCATTCTGGTTTGATATAGGATTTCAGCTGCTCAACAGTTCAGGGGCTCATTTGTCTTTTTTTTCATTTCATTATGTGCCAAATGTTTTCAGTGGTGACAGGTCAGGACTGCAGGCAGGTCAGTTTAGCACCTGGACTCTTTAAATATGGAGCAGTGCTGTTGAAATACATGCAGAATGTGGTTTGGCATTGTCTTGCTGAAATAATCAAGGCCTTCCCTGAAAACGACGTCGTCTGGATGGCAGCATATGTTGCCAAAACACATATGTGCAAGTCATGCCCTACCATGTGCACTAATGCTCCGCTATACCATCATGAATATTGGCTTTTGAACTGTGCACTGATAACAAGCTGAGTGGTCTTTAGCCCGGAGGACAGTGTCCATGATTTCCAGAAAGAATTTCAAATGTTGATTCGTCGGACCACAGGACACTTTTCCACTTTCCCTTAGTCCACTTTAAATGAGCTCAGGCCCAAAGAAGGTGGCGGCATTTGTGGATCTTGTTTATGTACAGTTTCTTCTTTGCATTTTAGAGTTTTAACTTGTGTTTGTGGATGCAGCGACAAACTTTTTTTTTAGCATTACTTGACTTTACCAGCCTTTTTTTGCCCCTGTCCCAACTTTTTGGAACGTTTTGTTGACATCAAAATTAAAATAAGCAAATATTCTTCAAAAAACAAAAACATTTCTCAGTTTTAACATTTGATATGTTGTCTTTCTACTATTTTCAATGAAATTGATTTAAATCATTTTCATATCATTGCATTTTGTTTTTATTTACATTTTGCACAGCGTCCCAACTTTATATGGAAATGGGGTTGTATATGGACATGTATTTTTTTTAAATATTTAAAATACATTTCAAATACATTGCAATCCATGTGGAAATACATTCCAAACACTAATATGTTTTCAGAATATATTACCATATTAACCAAATATGTTTTAAAATACATTTATTGTGTAGGGGGAAATATTACACATAGGAACGTACCACACAAAAATAAATGTATGTACATACATTTATCAAATACATTTGAAAATATCTGAAAATAGTCAAAGTACTTTAGTAGTCTATTGCACTTTACTGTTTGGAATAACTTTTGAAATTAATTTGTAGTCAAGTATCTTAATCTTAAGTGTTAACAAATGAACTTTTAATGTGACAAAGCTTCTTGTTGTATTGATACACTGTGAAAATGCAGTCTGACGATTTGATATCTTGTTCATTTGAACTGTATTTTGTGTGAGTGTCTTACTGCATACATACAGTGGTTAATGCCAAGTACAACCCAAAACCCAGATGTCAGTACCATTCATTCAGTTTATGTTTATTTACTTATATCTGTAACCTGCATTAAAACTACATACAATTGAAAAAAATATAGTAACAAATAAATGCATTTTCATTTTCACACATTGCAAGAATATATTTAATAAATACATTTGGAATATGTCTTTTTTTCCATGTGGGATAGAAGGAAAATATATTTTAGATATTTCAGCAACATCATCACTGCTTCCCACAATTCATTAGGCATAGTAATTCACATTTCCATTAATAATAATAAACATTTACTGACATTTTTCCTTTTCCTTCTCTGTGCAATTCTCAACTTCACCAGGCTGTTCCGTTTTCAAAATACTAAGAACTCTTTAGCTGTACTGTAAACTGCCTGTGTGGTGCTATTAGGATGGGCATTAATAGTATTACTGAGTGAGACAGAGTGAGACAGAATACAGGTGGATGGGCAGGTGCTTAACTTATAAAGATGAAAAACGTCACTGGTCCAGTGGTCTGAGAGAATCCGCAGTACTGTGTCTCCCTCTACTGACCAAAACGAAGACTCTATCTCAGATCAACAGCTGCCTCTGTCCTCCTTCAATTAGCTCTTATAAACTTTAAAAAACATAACTTCTTACACAGTGAACTGAATGAATAGTTTCAAAGAATGACAGCACTTGTGAATCACCCACCATCTTTGTAATAAACTGTACACTGCTTATGTTGTTTTATGATTGGAGGACCACTTTTAACCTTTTTGTTTTGTATGTAGGTTGTAGGAGGGCGGTGACTGTTCTCTTACACACTCCAACATAAATGAAGTATTTTTATGGTCATGCCCCATGACTCTAGACATACGCTTTGTTTGAAAGGACATGTACGTTTTTGTTTTAACAGTAAGGTTGAAAGTCTGATCTACTGAATAAAATGCAGTATTGTGAATAAAACAAATTAAACTTAAAGCATCTAAAGAACCACACACAGACGCCATAAGCTATAAATTAAGTGCTAGTTTGGCCATATATTTCATACATTGTATATTGTGCTAACATTTACTATAAGAAGGTTAAGCAGGGTTAGCCTCTACTCCCACTGGTCTGGGCATAAATAGGCAGTACGTTAATGTTAAATTGAGAAATTGTCCAAATATTATCATTGCAGAGATTTAGGGAAGACATATAAGGACAGCTGACTTCATTAAAGCTTATTTTAACTCAGATTTTAATCCAAAGCACATGGATTTTTTAAATATATTATGCTGTCTGTTGATAAATTTGGGGGGGAAATGTTTTGCTTAAAGGTATAAAACAATGCCTGACCTTTAATTGTAATGTTATAATGGTTGATATGTGAATTTGTATTGGAAGCTGGTCATTTAGTCTGTAAACGACGAATGACCGCCTTTACAATCAACCTCTGATTCAATTAGTGACTGTGATTTTTGTAATATTACACTTACGTTCAGTTATCTTCAGTGATATAGTGTGATGTTTTCTCCTGCGTCCATTTCCATTTTTACTGGTGTAGTTTTATTTAACTCTGACGTAATTTCCCTTTAGTTTCAGGCCTCGCTAAACCGCCCAGCTTTTCTACGATCACTAAGTGGGCTATGCGTGTTCAACAGAGTCCATACAGTTTATTTTCAGATGCTGTATTTCCTTAACAAATCATACGGCTGCACTCGGCTGACCCACTGTTCAGTTTCATGAAGAAGGCGGGCTGCGTCCCGTTTCATTTGTTTAAAGCGCTGTTTTGAAAGACGCCACTTTGTGTGGTAAATCTAACTACACGTGCCTGATTATAACCATGCAGAGTTAACTATGCAGCGTCCTGCCCGGCCTAATGAAACGTTCTCCACAGTGTCCATCCCACCCTCAGTGTGTTCGTCGAAGTTAAAAGGCCCGTCAAAAAGCCATTATTTCGGTCAGCCTAACACATGTCATGGCGGCCCAGCAAAAACTGTTGGCTCGAGACATTTTCATTGGTTAACGGAGCAGCCTCCTCTTTCATAACACGCAGCCGTCCGCCTGCGTTCGCACTCCGCAGTAGTATTGTTTCTCTCTCTCTCTCTGTCTGCACTGTGTTAGCGATGCACGTGCGGAGGGGGGTGGGCATTAAAGCGAGGACCCTCTTAAAATGTGTGTACATGTTACTACAAAGTGAGGTTCTCCGGTCCGAGCGGAGTGCCCGTGAAGGGCTCCTCTCGCCGGGACTGAAATGGTAGTCGGGGATAACGAAACGCCGCCTCTATCTCTCTTTTTTCTATCTCTCTGTCTCTCTCTCTCGCCTACTTCTTTTCTGCTGCTCGGTGTTGAGTTGAGCTGAGTTAGATCGCCACTTCTCTCTCCAGATGAGTTTCGCCGAGTTTACATCCGGGTTTCTCCCTAGGCAATGGGAGACGCAGTACCACTGTTCCCTAGGCAAAGTGAAATAAATTCGCCGCACCGTCACAAAAAGTAGTTCTCTTTTAAAACACGTTTTGTTTTCACTTTACGGGGCGAACTGGAGTAATTCTTCTCACTTTTACATTAGCCCCGTGGGCCGTGAAGCGTTTGAAGGCACGGGTGAGCAAAATTGGGCTTTTGTCTGCTTAGTTTTCGTGGCCCCTTCGTCTCCCTCTTCCTGCGCGCATTGATAATTTTAGTGCTGAGGCTGTGGTGAATGAGATTGAAGAAGAGTTCTTGTTTTGTATCTCAGTTTCTCTCTTTTTTTTACACACAAATTAAATTCAAACAAACTGAAAATTAGACTGGCTAGTCTGCCTCAGTTCAGTCTAGTGTATTATTAGAGTTATGTGAGGGACCGCATCGGGGATTCTTTGCCGAGATATTGGGGTGTTTTGTAAATATTTATTTAAATAATTTCTGAGAGGAGAGAAGGACTACTGCTCAAGTGAGTAGTGCAGGGTAAGTGCACCTTGGGATCTTTTTATTATTACAACTTTTTGTCCTCGCCGGGTTTTTTCGGGACTTTGGTCGTTGACTGAGCCGCTTTTGCTTTCATTCACTCAAGATAATCGTTGTCTTGTGCTGGGTGAGGAAGTCTGGATGCCTGCGTTTTCCTTCGTTTCTCCTTATTCTAGGAGTTGAGTGGTGTTCCTATAAGTGCAGAGCTCATTGGAGGACGAACAGCAAAGGGGCCGATTTTAACTTGCAGCCACCAGCTCCGTTTACAGCTCCGCGGAGGAACAGGAGATAAGAAAAAAGAAAAGAAAACGGCAGATCTTGTTTGTGCGAGCAGACCGTTGTGTCGGTGCTGAGAGGCGGCCGCTCGGCACAGTTAGCCTCCTGCTGCTGCTCTAACAGTTATTTGTCGTTCAATTGGCTAGTGTTAGCCTGTTAGCTAGCCGCGCTAGCGTCTTCTCATATCTGGAAAACGTTAGCCTGCTAGATTTAACCGAAGTGCTGCTAGCACGCCACATCAGTGTGTAACAGAGTGAGTGAATGTGTGTGTGCGGGTGAAAAAAGCTAGTTACTCGTTCAGAGAGTTAGCTTCGTAGTTTATACATTTGTTGCTGAAACTTGGGACGGATTGTTCGATGGACGGGGGGCTCTTTAAGAGCCCCTGTTTTATTTCCGAGGCGTGTTTTACTGCCTCCTCGCTGAGTTGTTCGGCTGGCTAACCTACCTAGCTAGCTTGCACCAAGTCCAGAAGTCAGCAGCAGCAGATTCTTGTGGAGAGAATCAGCAGCTCGACGGAAACTTTACTGCCATAATGTTCGCTTTGTTTCCCCACTCCTCACTCTTTCTCCTGAAGCGGAGTGAGTAGTTGTATGAGGCCCGTGTTGGAGTAAACGGCACTTTCTCCTCTCTTTGGTGTTTCGAGTCCCGCATCCTCACTTGATGGTTAGGCCTAATGAGCTGGCGTACAACTTTTCCCCATTATCTGCACCTTGCAGGCCAGGTACAGTCACACACGGCCAGCTGTGTAAAGTTTCGGTTTTCACGGAACAACATCATCCAAAGAAACGGTCACTACTTGTGTTTGGTTCACGTTCGTTTCTGCGGCTGCCACACTGCCACGCAGATCGGCGTGTCTGTACGAGCTCGCAGGTGCCGAGCGTTAAGACTCCGGATTGTGTTATGCTGCACTTTAATGTGGCGTAACTTAAAGCTTTTTCGTGTCGGCATATCCACCGGACTCACATGTACTGTGATGATATGCTGAATGTTGATTTTTTGTTTTTATATTTTAATTTATAAATTTATTTAGGTTGTTGCCTAACTTTCATAGCCCGGCTCTTATTCGTCACTCCTTCCCCAGTGACCTGGATAAAAACTGTTATTTGCTCAAATTGTCGATTTTTAAAAATAATACGTTAACGCTCTTCTTACCCTCCTGCCTCACTAACACAAAAATCCTGAACAGGTGTGTTTGTGACTCCTTAGTGGCACTTTCATTTTCAAGCAAAGCCATATGTGGAAACTAGTAAGGGGACACTGAATGTATTGAGATACTAAAAGCTACTTTTTCATGTTGTAATTTTTCACACTCTGGCTTTCCGTTTCTTAGAAACATGATATTCCGTTAGATGTGTGCAGGACAGTCTGAGACATGTCTAGGAGACTGACTTATTTTGTTGTCTTGTTTCATTTTGTTTTTAGACAATAACCTGTAGGGAGCCGAGGCTGCGTTTTGTAAGCTGTGATTTATGAAAAAAAAGGCCAAAATTGAACACTTGTTAAATAATAATAAAAGGACCCCATATTTCAACTGTTAATTGTAACTATATGATAATATCACTGATATATGCTATACATGTATGCTTTGAGTCAGTGGACAGTTTTAGTCTGTTTCAGGTGTGATTCGCTGTGAGGGCAGGCCAAAGTGGATTCGTGACAGACGTAGGCTACATGCTGCAGAGCTGCTGAATGCTCATTTCATCATCAGAAACTTTTACCTGCTGTATTAAAGTATTATGCATTGACAGTAGTTGTCATTTACTGAAATGGGAACAAATGAATATAAAAAAACTAACGTTCTATTACAAGTTAAAAAAAAGGCTAATACTTTATTTTTAAAAGATTAGGATTAAATTATAATATTTTAAGATGAGGGAAAGCACTTGATATGAGGAAATGACTAGTAGCCTCCATCAACATGAGGAAATATCTAGTAGCCTCCATCAACATGAGAAAACGCAAGTTAACTGAAGTAATAATACTAAAAGCATACAAGTAGCTTTCAGCAAATGAAAGTACAGACTGCACTTACAACCATAGCCTTTAAATGGAAAGTAATTTGAAAAGTATCGGAAAGGGATCATAATATGTTACTGAGACTGTGTAATCATCAGGTCAGTCAGGCTGCACTGCAACAGGTCATGTATTTGGTGGAGGAACACGAGTGTCATTCACTGTATAGATTAATCATAAATATCAGCCATATCAGCAATATCAACTGTCTATGAATGCAGCAGTAAAAAACAATTAGAAAATATAAGTCTGTGCAAGTTTAAAATTTAATTCTGATATCTTGTTTGTAGATATTTTGAGCACAGCTGGGGTAAAGAGGCCGAGGAAAAGAGTCAAAGTGTTCCTAGAGATGTAGCAGTAGATCGTATCATATTGTACCATCACTGGCATGTTAGCTTGTGGCAAGTTTGTTAGCTTGGGAGTAACACATATACGTTTTTCCCCGAAAGGCAAAGGCACTTTAATGTTAAGTGTTAAATCAGTGTAGGCAAAGTTTGTAGTGTATGGTCGGCCCGTTTGAGGGTTTTTTTGTGCAAATGCTGGTAAATATATTCTGTGCTTATTTATAGATGTAACTCACAATAGTGGAGGCGCTATTGCTTTTCGTTCTCGTTTAGTACAAAAATTAAAAACTAGCAGAGTCTAGGTCGTCTGAAGTTCATTCTGCTGTTGATGCTACAGAGCCAGAGATTTATTTCAAAACCCCATCATGAGTGGGCAGAAAGACATACAGATTAACCACAAAATGAGAGGCCAACTAAACGTGTCTGTTCAGTGTAAAAATATGTTTTGTTTTGTAAACACAGAAGATTTTTTTTTCTTGTGCTGGAGTCCAAAGTTTGCGAAGTAATATTAAATATTTGAAAGTTTATTTAGTAGATTAGTAGAAGCTCAATCAAGAGTGTTATGTGACTGCATGAATAAGCTTTAAATGAACAATGTGTAAGAATTGGTGTGTATATCTGTGCACAGGAATCTGTGTTCATGGCAAATGGCTGCAGCATAAACCCAGTAGTGATTTATTGTCTAAGTAGGCTCCTAAGCTGGTGTCCAGCAGTTTGAATATGGCCCATTTTAAATGTTTAAAGTCCAGATCAGCAATTGCTGTATCACTGCCATAGCTGCCTCAAGACTGGCTCTGAATTTACCCACAGCTCTTGACAGACAGACATACTCATTGTGCCTTTTGCTGGTTTCTGTCTTTTTGCTTTTTCTGGAAAGCGTGTGTTGTTGCGGTATAATGAACTAGGCTGGTACATGCAGCAGTTTCTGATCGGCACTCTAAATTTAGTGTAAGATGTGTGTGCACTCTGGAGTAAAGAGATGAGATACAGTAATAGATTCTGTCTGCTTATTGTGTAGTAGAACTGCTAGCTCACAGGTGGAACCAGTAATGAACCGACAGTTGAATGCTGTGCTGTCCCACAGGCTCAGAGTCTCTCTCCCTCTGCCTAACAGGGTGTGTGTGTGTGTGTGTGTGTGTGTGTGTGTGTGTGTGTGTGTTTCCTCTTGCACAGGGAGTTGGAGAGTGAGTGGACACCAGTCTCATTGCCAGCTGGTGAGTCCTGTAATAGCTTCAGTTATAATTGTTCTCTTGGCTCAGTGCCTCGCACACCAAAATCAATGGGACTGAATGTCTGTAAGGCTGCCTCTGACTCACTTTCACACAAGTCATTGCTGTGGAGTAATTGTGATGCTCCGTGCAGAGCCAAATGGATATTGCTGTTAAAAGTCTATCCATATCTTTTCTTGCTTTTTTTTGTCCCATATCCTTTCACCCTTTTTCAGTTTTTCAGACTGTTTACCCCTCTCCTCCACGTATTAGTTCTAAATTTTATTGTAGCTGTTAGGATAGATACAGATGGCGTTTTTATGCATGCTGTCCTTACGTTGTAAGTATGTTCTTTACCTAAAACAAAAGCAGATGCTCAAAGGCATTATGGGGGGGGAATGTTAATGTCTGATGTTTACAGATGCCTGAGACAAGGTGCTTTATGATCACATTTAGGTTGCTGATTTAAGCTTCTCATCAGTCTCCTCTAGGTTCATTGCGGTTCAGCTTTATGGCGGCACAAATAGTGATTCACCCAGTTTTCTCAGAATGGTTCCCATGGGACCTATTTGATTAAATAAACCCTGAACAAATAACAGTATGCTATTTTTAAAGTGTTTTTCTGATTTCTTTTACAGGCTGAAAGATTTCTGGGACTTACTTGCTGGCGAACTGGATCAATGATGGAATTACAAACATTACAGGAGGCCCTGAAAGTAGAAATACAAGTTCATCAGGTTGGCTACTGCTGTAGCTGTTCACCAAATGATTTAAATATATCTATTATTGAAGTGAAGCTTTTATTTAGTCGATCTGACCTTTCCAAAGAGAAAATGTCTTAGCCAAAGATTGTCTTGTTAATTTGTATGCAAAAGTAAACTTGTAAACCTGCAAAAGTAAACTCTGTTGTAGTTGCTTAACACAGTGGTTCTCAGTCCTGGTTTTGGAGTACCACTGCTCGTTTTAATGTTCTCCTTTTTCCAACACACGTGGTGGAGCTAATGAACTATCCCTTCCTAATGTGAAATGGGTATATTAGAACATGGAAAAACACTACAACATGCAGGACAGTAAAACCATGTTTCCCCTTTACATGATGTGCATGGACTGTGGATGGACTGAGTAGTGAAGAAATAAAAAAAACACTTTCTTCCTCTAGCTGTGGTATAATTAGGACCTGCATGTTCCGGCAGGTAGAGAATGATCATTGAAGGGAGAGTAGTTCAGGATCATAGCAGCACCATTGTCAGAGCTGCCACATTTTAGCCAAGTCTTAGGCAGTTTACAGTCTCTCTGCTTGCCTGCTCTGAGTGCACTCAGCCAGCTCTCGGTTAGTGAGAGACGGTGTTCTTGGACTGCAAGTGCACAACCATCAAAAAATAGCTTTAGTCTCAGTTATTTCTGTTTGAGTTGGACAACTGTAACCTTACAGGTGTTTCATAGCGCTTAGACGTTTGGATCTTTTTATTCAGAGAAGTGTGCTGAGCCACAGTGATGTGAAGTCAAGTGAATATTTAAGGTGTGCAGGGGTCTCTAAACCCCACCCAATCTCATCCCATTCTGTTACTGAGGTCCTGCAAGTTGTTTCAGTGATTTCAGTAGGTTGACTCACTGCTGCCTGCTAGTGGACAAAACAAAGTTATTTGAAAATCACAGCAGGAGTATTACATTTGAAGAGATTCCTCAAGAGTTGAATGTCATTCGTCATTAATATTGGTTTTCATTGCCACCATCTGAAGTTTATTAATATGTCCTGAATGACAGAGTTATGTAGCATTACATGAGGTATCTTTAATGCCACTACAAAATATGCATCCTGTTACCATAAATTAATAGTACATAGACAGATAGTGGAGTGACAGTCATGTTTCACATCTCTGTCATGCCTCTGGCGGCTTCCTCAGTACTAGTATATTTTACAGTCCATACTGTATTATGATATTGGGCAGGTGCATCATGCTGCAGTTCAGAGTTTGTCCTGTGAGTGTCACTGGTGCTCTGTGTAAATATTGTGTGGCACTGCTAATCTAACTGCAAGGTTTTTTCCCTTTTACGCAGAAACTGGTTGCACAAATGAAGCAGGACCCACAGGTAAACATAAACAGTTCATCCACGTGTATATGGTACAATGTATGTCACAGTCTTTGATTTAAATATGACCAAATGACAGTGAATCACTTGGTGGTACTGAATTTAGATTAAATGCTCTTTGACAACACATCTTGGCATCAGAAATAAGCATATTAATGTGATCTGGTTCTTAAGCTTTATCTTGAAACTGTCTGCTAACTTGTAGTGTTGTCAAACATGTAGTATAAAAAAGCTATTATTGGTGCCTTTAGCTTTTGTCTGTTTTTTTCCCAGCAGAAGAACCTGTGATTCCCGTAACCCTTTTACAGGCTAGACTGTTACTAGGGAGTGTTCAATGAGCGGGCAATAACAACACAGTATTTATTTATTTACTTATTTAAAATTGGCCATTTAATGTATCTGCAAGCACTGCTGAAGTGCAATTCAAGTGTTTTGTAAGATTTATAATGAGTGCAACAGTCTCAGCTGTGGACAGACAGTGAGGACTGTTCAGTAGGAGGTTGCAGGTTGACACACAGTACAAACAGTTCACAAAAGACAGAGCTACATCCAGTGCAGTCTAACCTTAGAGCTCAAGTTGGGTGAGATGATGCCAAATAAACATGCACCCGTTAAGGAGTGAAAGTTTTATGACCATAATAAATATTTTTTCTCCCTTAAATCCTAGTGTAGTTTGTGTATATTGTCACCATCTTAACTTATCATTAAATGGCATTCTGCATTCCAGCAATCTCATAATGAGATGTGCTCATGAGCTGGACAGCCTTGCAGTCATCCTTCATTTTTAGGAATGTTTAAGTGTTACTTTTTCAGTATAAGATGCAGCATGTCAAGAGATATGGCCAGGTGTGAATGCAATGAACCAACAGTTCACCAAAATTTACTGACTCCCCCTACACCTCTTCGTCTCGCTGTGATTACTGAAAATGCTGAAGTTAGCACATTGAAACAGTCTTATTGGTCTAATCATAACTTCTGAAAATCTGACTGACTTCTAAGAAGCAAAGGAAAAACAAAATTAATGATGCAGTTGCCAGTGATGTTTAGTCCTTCATATTTTGGTGGATTTCTATCTGTGAAACTAGTTGAGAGAGAATCTCCTTAAAGAAAGAACAGCAACTGAAACAAAACTCTCAGACTATCCAAATCACATCTCTGGACTTAAACCTCACCATCACTTTTATCATTGAGCACTTCATCGCATCCTCAGTGAGTCATTTAGTAGGCTCCCCTCCTAATGTGTTTGTGTAGTCTTAGTATATGTTTTCTCTCTGTCACAGAATCTTTGTGCCCTACTTTTCTGGTTATGTGATAGGCTGCACCAAATGTGTCAAGATAAATTCCATGTTCATGACACATACTGGTGAATAAAAGTGATTCTTTTTCTGATTCTGCTTTTATCTTTTGATTTGAGGTGCACTAGGCATCACAACACTGCACAAAATCTATGAAGTTGTAATCAGCGAGAACACATTCTTACTTGCACTGTTTTTCTTTTCTCCTCAGAATGCTGATCTGAAGAAACAGCTGCATGAACTTCAGGCCAAGATCACTGCTCTGAGTGAGAAACAGGTACGCCGATCTGTTTAGGTTTCCCTTTTTATTTATTTATATTTTTTTTGCAATCCTAGTATCATTTACAGGTCATTCCTTTATATAATGTGTAAGGCAGTGTTATATGATGCAGCTGTGTTGCAGGGTGATTAATAGTAGCATTAATTTGGTACAGTAATTAACGTTCGTATTCTCATGCTAAGACATACAAGATGTTTTTATTTAGGTTTTTGTCTTTCACTTTTTGGTTTTGAATGGTTTTTAATTATTGGATTGTTTAGCTATATAAGTGATCATGGTAATAATACATTGTGTTTCTGAGCATGTTTATATCTTGCCTCTTACATAATGACACCACTGTGCTATCGGCCTGTCCTGTGCAGTTCTGTTAATATATTTCAAGGCTTTGGTGACAGACTAAAAGCACTGTTTTTTCGCCGTAATATATGACTTTAATATATTAGAGGCTGGTGAAGCCAGGACACAGTAGACTGGGTTTAAGGGCTGCAGGGACAGCCGTAGCTCAACAGTAAGAAGTGATACTTTAAGAATGTGTCTTAAGGCTGTGATGCACTGGCAGGGTTTAGGAGAATTGGAGACAGGCAGCTTTATCAGTAGGTGTTTTCTTTGTATGAAGGTGTGTAACTCTTTCTTTCTTGTTTTTCCCCACAAACACTCCTCATTTATTACCAGCGCTGTTTCAGTCGCCTTTGACCATTTACATTTTGCAAACAGTTGCCAGGCCATCATGTCAAGTTTAATATCTCTCCAAGCTGCTGTCCCTGCCAGCTAGACATGTCTTCCATATATTCCTGATATATACTTAGTAGAACAAGCTCTTCGGCAGGTGAACCCTACAGGTGCTGGAGAAGAAAATGCACTGGATGATGCTGTGCATAGGTACAACAGGGCTGGGGTATCTGGGTAAATCTGATCTACAGAGTAAAAGATACCACTTCATGTGGGCATTTTGTCCTCTGCTCCTTCCTTTCCTTTCTCAGTTACATTCTGGCTGTTCTCTGACTTCATGTTTGTTGACTGGACTTTTCTTGTAAAAGAGAATAAGTTCAGTTATATATTAGCTCACTTAAACAAAGGTGAAGTACACATAAATTCGTTTTTGGTGTGATTATGTTGGCCTCTGTAGGGATCTCCAGATCTGTCTGCTTTTTCAAATGATAGTAGAGACAGAGGCAGTTTCTGAAAAGCGCTATCAGTTTTACCATTTTGAGGTAAAAAGTCTCTTAGTGTCTGTGTAATTCTCTTCTTCAAATTCTTTATGGGAAAATTTAATATCCTTTTTAATGAAGCTGTAACAAGCTTTGACCTGGTTGGTTTTCCAGTGTTTTTCTTTTCTTTTTGTTTTTTTTTTCATAGGAGAATTTGCTCTTATTAAGAAATGGGGAGAATGGGTGGGGAAATAAAAAGATATCGCTCCAGGCAGACCTGATTTTGTTATGTTTACACTGTAACTTCTAGGCTGGGTAAAGTGTGTGTTTGTGCGTGTGTGTGTGCAACTCTAGTCATGGCAGACAAGGATTAGCACATGAAACGATGTGACAGTCCTGTGAATACTAATTCAGGCCTACTCTGTCCCGTTTAAACAGAGGGAGAGGGTGGGTGGATATACGTTTGCTTCTGTGTCATCCTCAGTCTCTCCTAAATCCAGTCAGCTATGAATTCAAAGTGAAATGGATAGGTTCTTCATCTTCCTACCTTTGTTTTTTTTTTTGTCTTTGTCTTTGCATCTTTGTTTTCTACCTCATAAGGCTGCGTGATATGAATGTGAAAATGTCACAGTAGTATAATTTGTATTTTATTAGCTAGGTGTGTGTCATGTTTTTATGGCCAATTCTGACGGCTAAATGAGCACTGGAAACACGCTAGCACATTTTATTTTAGCCATTTATGTTGCTCCTAAATTCTTAAATGAAATATCATTTGTCTGTTCAAATAACGTGAATCCAAGTTCTTTGTTGAAAGTAAGGCAACTGGCTATTGAACATAAGTCATGCATAACAGTGCTACAACTTTGTGGTATAGGTGAAGCAGCCGCATTCAAGTGTGAGTGTGCTTACTTTACTCACATTATTTGCATCATAAATTTACAATATTACAGCAGCAAATACAAATTACAACACAAAAAAATAATTGCCTGATTACGCATTTGGAGCAAAGATCTGCTGATTCTGATCTTGACAGATTCCAACTGTGCATCATTAGTATTGGCATAAAAAAAAATTAACTATCGAGTTGAATTTCAGTGAGTTTTTGTCAGCTATGTATATGTAATATCGTCAGGTTGGATCCCACAGTGTGTACTTGCACAACATAGGAGGCTTATTTAAAAACTGTCAGTGTAGTTTTGTGTAATATACATAGTAATAGACTTCATTTCTGGTTTAATAGTTTCACCATATGTAGTTTAGAGATGATGGAAAGACTACTGTTTATTTAGTTTCTCTTTGAATTAATTAATCTTACTGAAATGTTTTTGGCATACGGCTTAGCACTGGTACTTCATATAGTCCGTATAAAGTGCCTCCACAGTTTGAAGTATGAAACCATTACGACAAATGTGATTTGCATGCAGAACTTTATCCAGATAATTAGTTTTGTTCAAACTGTGCAAGGACTTTGCTCAGAAATCAGGATCGAGGGTGTTATTGTGTGTGTGTGTGTGTGTGTGTGTGTGTCCTCTCAGAGGTGCGTTTTGGCTCCAGTGGGCTCGGAGGCAGTGGAGTGTGTGAGATGAATTTCAATGTCTGTGTGTGTATGTGGAGTGACTCCCGCGGCCTTTATTGAATAGGTTCCTCTGACGGTGTGTGACTGTGCTTCACACCTGAGAGATCTTTTGGCACTGACTGTCTCTAAGCTGAACAGGAGCCATGTCTGTGGTGGATAGAGAAAGCCAGTGAATATAAACCTGGCTATATTACAGATTTGGAAGAAATAATAAGGTGGTGGGGGAGGCGGTAACAACAGGGATTTTCTTCTGCCTTCCCAGAGTTCAACCATCCATAAAATCACCTTTTGAACAGATTATTTAAATAACATCATCTCTCCCCATCCACCACCCTCCCCCAGAAAAAGGTAGTGGAGCAGCTGAGGAAGGAGCTGTTGGTAAAGCAAGAGCCGGAGATCAAGCTGCAGACGGTGCAGACAACCATGGACAGTAAAGCGGTGCTGCTCGCACCCTCCTGCCAGCCCCCACAGCAGTCCACAGGGCCTTCTCACAACCAGGCAGCTCCACAGGTAATGCTGCACCTGCTCCTGCCCTGCTGAACACATAGACACGCCTAGTCGGGCACTCGAAAGGAATTACAATAGAGCATCATCATTCTGGTCTGGTATTCCCAAAGAATCTCACAGTGAGAGTGCAAGCCCAAGGTCAGGCTCCTCCCTGTCCATGCTGAGATTTAAAAGGCAAAGACAACAAGAAATATTCACACTTTAACAATGCTTTGTGAATACAGCACTGGGGTGAGGTTTAATCTTAGAGTAGTTGGGTTTTTTTCACATTACCACTGGTCCAGTTGTGTGTACTGTGCTGGACAGGATTGATCAAATCCATTTATTATATTTTCCAGATAAATTGCAATATCAAAGGAAGTGGAATGTTTTGTGCTGTTTTCTGGTTTTCTTTTCATTCTTAAAATTATACCAAGGAGAATATTATAAACTATTGTAAATGTTACCTAGACAGAAACCACAAAACAATCTGAAGCACCCGGCTAATTAGACATTGCTGTCAGGGCTGGTGCATCAATATAGGCGAGCAAGGCAGTTGCTCTCTCTGGTTGAATAAGATGGTCGTCTCCATCACCCAGCGTGATGCTAGTTAATGTGGGCATCCGTTACTGATGTAACAGTTACATTAATTTTTTAAAAAGACTCGAGGAGAGGTTTATGATGTGTATTTAAAACGTGGAAGTCCACATTAGCAATTAAACCCATTAAAAAACAATTTGAGGAAAGAAAACACTGGTATGTGGCTAAGATAGCTAGTGAGCAAGTCTTTCTTTGTTAATTTAATAGGTTTATATTATATGTATCTAAAATAAATAATGAAATTAAATTAACATGAAGTACTGGGTTTGCAACCAGGTTATTTGAGTGATTCTACAGAGACTTCTTTAAAGTGTTATTTCTGTACTCATCCATGCCTAGCGAATCTTGTAGGGCTGAAGCTGACCACTATATGTTGCATAAATGTATGTTTAACAAGAGGTGTTGAAAGTGTATGCTAGCCCAGCAATATTTGATTTGTGTGTATGGGCAGAGTATGGGCATACGTGTTGTTATCTATTGGTTGTGCCAGAGACAGCACAATCACATTTCACCTAGAGCAGCAAAATGGCACGTGCCAGCCCCAGTTGTAGTGAACGAAGTCTGTGTGAAAAGGGAGATTGCAGGATTCAGTCTTACTGTACATATATCCTCTACCTGATCTGTACCCTGTTCTCACCCCACCTGTCCCTGCTGACTACTCCCCTGTTGTTCCTACTGTTTCTCTTTTTTTGCGCTATAGAAGACACTAACCGTCACACCGGTCCTCACCACGAAGACTCTACCTCTAGTGCTGAAAGCTGCCAGTTCCACCATGCCTGCTTCCATGGCAACGCCACGCCCTACTGTTGCCATGGTCACTGCCATCAGCAATCCCCCCAGGCCTGCCATGAACCCCGACTCCCAGAGTACACCAATCAACCTTCAGGTGGCCGGCAAATTAACCAGTCAGGATCCAGAGGTTGCAGCACGGGTTGTGTCTAAGAACGTTATCGTAGTGAGTGTAAATTGCTGAATCAGATCTCTTCTTTGTTTTCCCTGTGCAAGCTCCTTAAATATAATGACCCATATGTATTCCACATATCTCAGACTAAGAGTGCTGATCTACTATCAGCTCCATCCTTCCTATATGACGATGGATAATTAAGATAAGAGCAACAGCTGATCCAAGATCAGGACTTTTATTCTGAGATGCTGTACATATACATCCTTGCCTGCTTTAGTGCAAGTAACTAAGCACTTTCAGTGACATTTTCAGTGCAATTTAAGTCAATTTTTATTAGTTTATTTTTCATAGCCTCCTGTATGAGTCATTATTCAACTTTGAAATGCTTTGATTTATTGTGAATAGAAAAGAATGTTTGTCTGAATGAGATGACTTTCTCTGTGTTGATGCGCTAGGCTGTGGTGTTTGGTGGCATTCATCTGTGATTAAAAACCAAGAAATAAAGATAGCGTTGTAAGTTTAAAAAGGCCCAAACTGTGGTAATGTTTATCTAGTCTGAGTAGTATTAATGGAACTAAATCTTTAAATTATCGCCTTATGCAATGAATTTCACTGACAGTGACTTTCCCCAACAACAGTAAAACCTGCTCAGTGTTTTGGTGTCAAATAAAGCACTGGTTTTGTCACAGGTGCAGGCCAGCACCACCTCGGCTCAGCCTATCAAAGTACCCCAGTTTGTCCCTCCTCCTAGACTGACGCCTCGACCCACCTTTCTGCCACAGGTGCGTCTCTGTCAGAACCGCCCACTCCCTTCCCTCTCACGCTGTGTGCATTTCAACACAGATGCCACTAGAGGGACTCCAAGGACACAAAATAGTTTTAGACTTGGAGAAAGTGCACAGTTGTCAAGACGCTGTACACAGGGAATTCACTGTCCCACAGTGAGGTCAAAGTTGTCAGAAAACGTCAGTCTTTATCTAAACACTTCTGACCCTCGCTGACCAAAACATGTTTATTGACACTTTGATAAAGATGCAGTGTGCTCAGCATGTTGAGTCTTGCCGTATTTCTTGCTCCTTTTACTTCATTAGTTGAGTGATGTTATATATTTGTATTATCTTATACACTCACTGAGCACTTTATTAGGAATACATACCTTGTATCTACACTCATTGTCATCTTATCAGCTCCACTTACCATATAGGTGCACTTTGTAGTTCTACAATTACAGACTGTAGTCCATCTGTTTTTTTTGCATAATTTATCATTTTTAGCACTGCAGTAACACTGATGTGGTGGTGTGTTAGTGTGTGTTAAGCTGGTACGAGTGGATCAGACACAGCAGCGCTGCTGGAGTTTTTAAACACTCAGTTTCCGCTCTATTAGACACAACTACTGTGTTGGTCCACCTTTTAAATGTAAGTCAGAGACAGTAGATGATCTATTGCTGCAGTTTGTGCTGGTCATCCTTCATCAGTGGTCACAGGACGCTGCCCACAAGACGCTGTTGGCTGGAAATTTTTGATTGGTGGACTATGCTTAGTCCAGCAGTGACACCACCACCACGTCAGTGTCACTGCAGGTGCAGAAAATAATTCACCACCCAAATAGTACCTGCTCTGTGGTGATCCTGACCATTGATGAACAGGATAAAAGGGGCTAATAAAGTGTGCAGAGAAACAGATGGACTACAGGCTGTAATTGTAGAACTACAAAGTGCACCTATATGGTAAGTGGAGCTGATAAAATGGGCAATTAGTGTAGAAACAAGGTATGTATTCCTAATAAAGTGCTCAGTGAGTGTATTTCAAATCAGGTTTATGTTTGTTCTTACTTCTGGCATTAAGGCCAGTTATCTGCTTTTCTTTGCATCATGATGGTACTGACTATCACATTTTCCAACCCAGTGCTGGCTGCGTTTTTTATGTACAGTTTCCATTCATTTTAACTCTGTTTTCTGTAGCTTGTCTGCGTATGTGTGTCAGTGTGTCACAGTGTATTTGTACCCCTGTAAGGATGTTTCTGCTGCAGCATTTCCAGGGCTTTACTTATCTGTTTGTGTCACCCTGTTTGCACTTTGCCCTTCAGGCCCGTTTGACTTTTTCTTTTCCCCTTTCAGCGAGTTTGGTTGTGCTTTGGCTGACCCTTTTATTGACCTTGACTGTATTTTTTAAAAAAAAAAACAGACCTTTGAAATCATGAAGCTATGTAATGCCACTGGGAGCTCTGTAATCTAACTAGAGTTTCACCTTTAATTAATGGGTTTTGAAGGCTAATGGTTTTACTACTTGAACGTTAACTAAAGTCTGGACATGCCCTGTTAAAATAGACTGAATTATGATTTTATTATTTAAAAACGGTGCTATCACACCAGAATTACCAGGAAATGGGTGGATTTTTTTTTTTTTTTGGCAGCCTGCCTCAATTGTCTCAATTTTAACATGACATTTGTTTAGGCTACCTCTTTGACAATGCAGTGCCTCTAGAGAACTCTAGTGCTTGCTTGTGCCCATCAGTAAAGGAAGATTTGTGACAATGCTCACTGGTGACAGAGCAAACCAGAACTCTTCAGTGGCATTACTTGAGTGAGCATTAAACATCCATTAACATGTTAGAATGGTGCTTGTTAAGAGCATTGAATTGCTGTCTAACAGAACGTTTGTCATTAAAACAAGGGAACTAATGGGGTTGCAGTTTTATGTGCGTCATTTAACAGACTTACTCAATTGTCTTTATTTCTCAGGTGCGTCCAAAACCCGCTGCCCCCAACAATGTGCCCATTGCCCCAGCTCCTCCGCCACCCATGATGGCAGCTCCACAGCTGCTCCAGCGCCCAGTCATGCTCACCACAAAGCTGACCTCAGCACTGCCAGCTTCAGCCGGCCCCATTCATCAGGTGCGCATAGTCAACGGCCAAACATGCCAGGCTGTCCCCAAAACCACCACAACCCCAACGGGAGCCACTACAGCCCAGGTGACGGGCATTGTGATCAGCGGCCCCATGCAGACACTGCAGATCAGCAGCTTAAGCACGGACATAAAGGTGGGTCGTGCTTGTGCCTCTGGAATTTTGTAGCATCATGTAGCAACATGACATCTTATTTTACCAGTTTCCCAGACTGAGATTAAGTCCAAGACAAGGTTTAATCCATCTCCATGAAACCCCATCATTTATTAACTACTACGAATTATTTGGTTAATGATATGAAACTTAGTTATATAATTATGAAAGTGTGCCACATAAGTGTGGGCCATTTACAGGCCCTAGATAATGTATTTAATGCATTTTCAATCTGTTCATAAACATAAAGGCCTAATCCCATTTCACCCCTTGCCCCTACCACTTAGCCCTCTGTTCACGCGTTCACGTCTAGGGTTAGGGTGTCCCAATTTTTGTTGAGATAGAGGGGTGGGGCGAAGTGTTATGGCTACATGGCCCTTCAAACGGACGTTTTTCAGAGGCACACTCCAAACAGAGTGTTGTGAGAAAAAAAAGAAAAACTGGCAAGGTGGCTACACGAGCGACCAAAGAAACCCACAAATGTGAGAATTTTCTCCATTTAAAAAATTACGATAACCATTGTATTATCTTAGTTTTATGTCGTTTCAATGTATTATTGTCATTTTTTTCATAACAAGCATAAAAAATCACTAATAGCATGCTGATGTCTTGGTAGCTAGCTAGCTAACTTTCCCGTTCCACCTTAAATAGTCCAGCAGTGTTGACGCCTGAAGCGCCAGAATATAACTGCTGCATCATTTAAGGTGGAACGGGAAAATTTGAACAAAAAGCTGCTGAATTGCTGAAGCTTTAAGCTTAGTATCACCAATGAATTAGCGGTGGGTGATAATAAATACTTGTCTTATACCCCCTCTTTGAAGGCATATGATGCCCTAAATGTAACTAAAGCCCAGCAGCAAGGTTGCTAAACTTTGCCCTCCTCTGCTCAGTTCCAAGGGGTTAGGGTGACACTCGAAAACAAGGGGTAGGGGTAAAAAGAAGAAATGGGATTGGGCCTAAAACTCCCTCTTTTTAACCTCCTGCTTGATCAAGCAAGATAGGAAGGAGAGGCATTTCTCCATAATATTTGTGCTGGAATTAATAATCTAAGCCCGTCTAACTTTTAAGTCTCTCTCTGATTTGCACTGTCAGACTGTGAAATCTCAGGGGGGTCCAGAGCAGGTGCTTATGAGCACTACTTCATCGCCTCCTCCCCCTCCTCCTAAGGTGAAGCGAGAGGAGAGTCCACAGGTAGTGAGATACTGTTGTTTTTTGTTTTTCTCTCTCTTTGATATTAACATGAACATGACTGACTTATCTGACTTTTGCTTAGCTGTTCTCTACAACATGGACGTTTGCAGAATTCAACCGTGATAATTGCCTTTTACTTTAATTCAGTATATATGACGACACTGAGATAAACCATTTATGAAGTGATTTCTGAAAGTTGCCAATATATTTTCTCCCTTAGAAACTTGCCTTCATGGTGTCTCTCGGGTTAGTGACACATGACCATCTAGAAGGTAAGTGATTGTAAATTACTTGTGTTGTGATTGGTGAAATTAACTGGTCCTGAATCAAACTCAAAGCACTTTCTCTGCCATTCATTTCCATCGCAGAGATTCAGAGCAGAAGGCAGGAACGGAAAAGGAGAACAACAGCCAACCCTGTGTACAGTGGAGCAGTGTTTGAACCAGAGGTACTTATTTATTCTTTTGTCACAATTTTCGCTTTACCTGCAGCCTGTAAGTGTACAAACTATGTGTCTAAAGCTGATAGATGCTTATGTTCTGGTTTAACATTTTTACATTGGCTTAAAAACCTAGCCTCAACCTAAATGAGACCCATCACACTTACAAATAGCAACAAAGGATTACGAATTAGCAAAGGCACCCCCCCAGGTAGTAGCTTCAGTGTTACACTTTTTATTGTCTTTTTGCTGCACTGTCATCTTGCATATTTGTCTAAACTGCAGTAGAATGCTTAACATTTCTAAAATGAAATTAGACTAATGTTTAAGCACTATATTTCTTAAAGTGTTCTTGATGTTTAACTGAACATCAGTCACTTTGCTGTGTTTCTGCAGTTTCTGAGGTAAGCCAGGAGGCTGACTAAAGATAACTGACTGTTGTATTTGTTTACAGTATGATCAGTTGTCATATCTCTATAAAATGGAATTAAAATGGAATTTTATGTGCTAGACTTAAGCAACATGTTCCTGTGCTGGGGTCACCATATGGGGAAAAATTGGACCATTCTCAGTTAAAGCTTTTTCAAGTGAATCTGCGAGAATCTTCGGCTCCTGATGAGGAGAGCCAAGTCTTAGCTTTAGAAAGTGCATTCTAATGGTTTATCTCCCTTTTACCCCCTCAGAGGAAAAAGAGTGCAGTCACCTATCTGAACACTCCCCTCCATCAAGGAACGAGAAAGAGAGGTCTGTCACTGCATTACTTTTAGCTCTGAATAACTTTGATGCAGCTGTGTGTTATTGTCAAAGTTATATTGTGTGTCTTGTAAGTTTGCTGCCACTCTTCCTTTACATTCTCACTAACTGAATACAGTTTTGTTGTGCTCACAACTTGAGATTAGTAACCCCATAGCATCTATGAATTTTCCTGCTACTGCTCTCAAGCTTAGTGGTCTCTCTCAACACCTACAAACCCTTTCTTCTTTAGTTGGTTACATTAGCTCTCTCAACAACAGAACAGCATACACTGGAGAACTGGCTAAAGTTTGACTGTTCTAGAAAACATATTCCCAGAAAAAAGGGAACTATATGTACTTTTATTGCAGATTCTCATTTCATTTAAACTGCATAAATATTGTTCCTCAACTATGAATGTTCTTCACTCTGAGTGACCTTCACTAGTGGAAGAAGTGTAGGTTTTTAATTGGCAGTCCTTATAATGGTGGAGTCATGAATTTAGATTGGGGGGAAAAAAAAGATATGCGTGAATTCCACAGCACCTCACACTCGAAGCAAACAATAAACCCTATTGATGGGATAAGGTTGCATTCTTTGATTCTTATCAAGCCCCTTTGACAGAGTTTCTCAAAAGAGACTGGAGCTCTGTTGTTCTTCACTGTAGTTCACAGCATGTGTTTCAGTTTTTCAGTCTACACAGAGAACACGCCAGAAGGAAGGAAAGTTTCTTCTGAGTGTTGCAGCTTCTCTCTCTCTCTCTCTCTCTTGCTCTCTCTCTCTCTCTCTCTCTTGCTCTCTCTCTCTCTGCTCTAACTCCTTGCATGCTGCTGTTGTCGTCTGGTGAACTAACTGCTTTCTGTGCCCTCCTCTCCCTATTATGCTTTCCCTCATCCCTCCATTTTCATGCTAGCCAATGAGGACCCCCTTTCAAAGGTATGTTGCGACCGATAGATGTCATCAGTTTTATTTCACCTTTGTGTTTTTTGTTTTGTTTTGTTTTCCTTTTTCCCCCTCCATCTTTTTCTGTTCTATTTTTGTTTTCCTTTTCTCGTCTGTCTCATTTCACCCAGGTCGCCCTCCCAAATACAGCAGCAGTGCGGCGGGGCCGGAGCTGGGCTGCCACCCCCTGCTCTCCCCATCCAGCAGTCACCCCGCCTCCCCAGCCGCCGAGCGGCCCGAAATCGGGGGCATCCCCCTCCCTGTCCACCCCCACTCTCTCCCTCAGCCCAGCCCCAGCTCCGGGGATGTAAGTAGCCGGAGAGGTTACCCCACTTTTCACTCTGCTCTAGAGCACAATACTGTATGCCACAGGCTGGCCCTTACTCCTCTATTACACTGACCCTGTTCATACTGTACTGTAGTGGAGTGGATATAACGCTATACTGCAGAACATATTTCTACTGCTCCTGCCACGTAAGGAAGCAGATTGATCTCCATGTACACCATCATTCATGTCTTTTTGTTATTTCATCTGAATGGAGCCAGCAGCCTTACAAAGTAAACAGTCTTAGTGTTTTGTCTCCCTCAGTGGTCAAAAGAGTATGATCTTTTCTAAAGTAAGTCAGCAGGTTCATTTCCCAGCTCCTTTTCCTATCCCTTGCCTCTTATGGTCAGCTTAATCAAATTGTATATTTACAGTGTAAAGCATATTATTCAGCTGGAATTAGTAATAAAAAGCACACATGGGTGCATTTGAACATCTCGGGTGACCTTATTTCAGGCCACTAATAAATTAAAAAGTACAAACCAAAAGATGTAGATAAATTTAGCCAATAAATCATCCTTATCTGCCTTACCTACCCACCCTGCCCCCTCCTCAAAAGATTGGTCCGGCACAGAGGGGCAGCGGTACTGACCCGTGCCGTTCTTCCTAACAGGGAGACATCCATGAGGACTTCTGCACTGTGTGCAGACGCAGTGGCCAGTTGCTTATGTGCGACACATGCTCACGTGTCTACCACCTTGACTGCCTGGACCCGCCCCTCAAAAACATTCCCAAAGGCATGTGGATCTGTCCCAAATGTCAAGACCAGGTAAACCACATCACTCTGCCACAAAGAGCCCCAACCCCCCTGGAGCAACTCCTGCTAACATAACTGGTTCTCTGCCTTTTCAGTCAGATATATGTAATCAGTTGATCTAAAACATATTCTCTTTCCGATCAGTAGCACTCATACATGACCTTAATTACTAAAATGAGGCTGTTTTCTCCTTTGTAAGCTTCCATATGGTCTGATATTTATTGTCCTTTTATTTCACTCATCACACAAATGGAAGATGGCATCCAGCACACTCTCATTGAATACCTTTCGTTGTTCATCACGACACCATTTGCAGTTGATCGCTGGGGAGGGCGGTTCTGTTTACGTGTCCCAAAGGTCAACTTTATCCAGTGCTCCCACAGTGTTAAAAACATATTACTTTTCAGATACTGAAGAAAGAAGAGGCCATTCCATGGCCTGGCACCCTGGCAATTGTACATTCCTACATTGCATATAAGGAAGGTAAAACTTGATTCTTATTGATATGTCTTTATATTGATTAGATCCATAATACAGTCAGAAACAACATCCACCACCAATCACATAGTTCTCCAAAAAGTCTTACTATGAGAACAAACCCTCAGGAAGACTATTTTGGTGCAGACCTCGTCTGTTAATGTGTTGGAATTTGTTTGGGTTGTGTTTAAAAGGAAAGAGGAAAGTTATTGGTAACTAGTATGTATTTGCAAGGTTTTAACTTTCCTGATACCTATTAGATGGAGTTACTGATGTGAACATTTTAATACATCTGTTCTCTGTTTTCTGAAAAAAAAATTGAAATTGTTTAGACCAGAGAAACCAAAAACAAATGGAAAAAGTTTTTCTCTTAACAACTAGGACTTGACTTGTATATTGGGAACTAGCTCTTTTTTGTGATGTTGGTACAAATATGTGGTACTTTAGGCCCAGTACTTCTAGCCCAGTCTTCAGATCATGCTTAGTAGTTAGAAATCTTTAATATGAAAACATCTGTTTATTTCTCTTCGATAGCGAAAGAAGAAGAGAAGCAGAAGTTGATGAAATGGAGTGCTGAGCTCAAACTGGAGAGAGAGCAGCTGGAACAACGAGTCAAACAGCTCAGCAACTCTATAACGGTAAACACCTGTTATTGATTAGCAGTTGGTTTTACATAGGCAAACAAAAAAATATTAATTAGATACAAATCGTATTCCTAAGCGTTGGGACAGTAGGTAAAATGCTAATTAAAACAGAAAACGTGATTTATAAATCTACTTTGACCTGTATTTCAACAAAAATCTTTTGTCTTGTCAGCTTCATTGTTTAGTAAATATACATTTATTTTGAAATTGATGCTTGCAACACACAAAGTTAGGACAGGAGCGATTTAAGATAAGGAACATTGTGAAATATTTAAAAAATATTAAACATGTACAAAGGTATAAAAGGAACATCCAGGAAAGACCTAGTCCTTTATGAACATGGATGAGTCAAGGTTTAAAAATATCATTCCTCAGCCAGGGATTGCAAGGATTGTAGGTATTTCTTACTTTATAGTGCATATCATCAAAAGAAGAAATTAAATCTCTGCACGGACAAGGCCTAATACCACAAATGGATGCCCATGACCTCTGACCCCTCAGACGGCACTACATTTAACACAGTGTGCTTTTGTGATGTGTATCACCACATGGGCCTCGGAATATTTTGAAAAACCATTGTCAATAAACACCGTCTGTCACTGTATCTACATATTCAAGTTAAGACTATACCATACACTGTGGAAGTCATTTGTCAACAATAACAAATGCTGCCCAGTTCCCTGTGCTTGAGTTCATCTGACATGGACTGATGTAACAGTGGAAGATTATATAGGGAAATAATTAACATTGTGTTCTCTGGACCAAAGACAGGTGCTAGATTGGCCTCTCTGTGGTCCACAACTGCCTGGCAGGCATCAAATTTGGAATGCACACATTTGCAAAAAAAAAAGTTTCATAGAGTAAAACATAAATTGGGCTTTTGTACAGTTTTCAATTTAGTACAAGTCAAACAGAATTTACCAATTATGACTTTCTGTTTTTGTTAGCATTTCACATACTGTCCCAACTTTTTGGAACTGGCTTTGTATTTTGCCGTTTGCCAGAGGGTTTGTAGTGGGGCTGCACAATAAATCATATGATTGTTGTTAATGTGATACAAGCTTCAACAATAAACACATCATTAGGAGTTGAGATGACAACAGATCAAATTACCTCATATATGCAGTGCCAGAAAGATGTCATTACATTACCGATACAAACCATTTAGAGCATAATGAGAACTTCTCTGCACTAGGATTGAATCCTGCTCTCCCACATGAAAGATAAGTAACTTTGGTACACAGCTCCTGAACTCTAAAGTCTCCAAAAACACACCAAACATTTGGATTGGTCTCACACCCAGTATTGTGTTTTAATGGCTACTGTCACAACAAACAAATTTTATAACTTAAAAAACAAAATTAAACAAAGTTGTTTATTCTTATGGGCCTATATTAAAAAATAAACATGTATTTATTTGTTTTTGTATACTTCATAGAAAAGCTATTGAGGTAACGCTGACTGTTTTTCAGCCTTTAAGTGCAAAAAAAAAATATATATATGGTTGCAATTCTGATAAGTAGCCGTAGCACAATAGTGAACGGTGCTTTTGTAATTTTTTATTTTGCTATTTGCTTAAAGGAAAGGTTAGTTAGATTTCTGTTTACACATCAAAAAAATGTCTTGTCACATCCAGTCAGAGGCACACTCATTAAAATTTTATTACTTTCTTATATCATTATTAGAAAACTTTATCCAACATCACATTTTATGACCATATCATGTATTTATTTTTTTATTTTTTTTTGGAACTGTCAGACAAGATGATCAGAAATAAATATGCCTAGTGAAAGTGCATATTTAACAAATACTGTATATTTATGACATATTTTGAATATCTGTACCGTTCTCTGCCCTGATCCTGGAGTACTTTTTCCCTGCAAATTTTAGTGTTTTCTCTGTTCTAACACACAGACTTTAACTCAGGGAGGGCTTGTTAAATAGCTGCTAAAATTGGATCAGGTGTGTTGGAGCAGGACTTTTAACCACTGATGTATATAATATTATGACATAAAGACAATATGTAGAATTGAGTAAATTTGGCTGCCTATGTGAACCCTATAGATAATCCTTAGAATTTCTGTAGATTTTGTATGTAATGTCCCTTAGATGTCATGATGCCATCTTGTTCATTTGCTCCTTCTCCTTGTCACAGAAATGCATGGAGACCAAGAACAGCATCCTGGCCCGGCAGAAAGAAATGCAGGCGTCGCTGGAGAAGGTGAAACACCTGGTGCGCCTCATCCACAGCTTTAACCTGTCTCAGCCTATGGAGGTGGAGGAGTCCCAGAATGTCAGCAGTGAGACCAAGAGTGACAACATCCAGGAGACCAAGGAGCCCATTATACACGCATGTGCCAATCCTTCCGGGCCTGAGCAGAACCCAGCTCAACTTGCAGTCGTTCAGGTTCCGGCTACTGGCACGGCACCGGACATACAAGCTGAGCCTGAGGTGGGGGAAATGGCCGAGTCAGCCACTGCCGTCACTCCAGAGGCTGAGCCAGGGGAATCAGGAGCAACTGAGAACCTTAAGACAGCAGTCTGTGATGAGACAGCCGTGGTGAAGGCAGTGGAGCCAATGGAAGTGACGGAGGTCAAAGCGAACGGGGGCGTGGACTCTGAGAGCCCTGCTCTGAGCCATGAGGAGGAGAAGCAGAGTCCTGTGAACACCACTGACTCTAAAAATACAGTTCCCTCTGCTACCAACAGTAACACCGCAGAAGCAGTCAAGATGGAAGTTGAGCAGCAAGAGGACTCGGACCACGGCAACAGCACCAACAACGGCAAAACCTCAGAACCCTCCCAGCAGCTTTCGCCAGCCCCTCTCAACAATGTGGAAGTCTCTAAATAATGCCCAGGCTAGTACAGTTCTCCTTCTCCCAAACATTTAAAACAACTTCTACTGCACCCTGCACTGGTGCACCAAGTTGCCAATCTATATACATATATATATATATATATATATATATATTACATATATATATACGCAAATGTTTTTTATTATTTTCTTTTTTTCTGTGTACGGTGAGACTGTGTCAACAGTGCTTCTACATCCAAGGTGAACTAGTTAAGGTTCTTATCAACAAATGCGCTCAAAAGAGTGGGTGTTGGGGGAGGGGGGCTTATATTACAGTGTCATGCCAATTAGTGGATTATTTAAAAAAAAAATACTAATAATAAAAAATAACAAAGAATTAAGTGAGTAATAATGAAGGAAGAGGATCATTTAATATATCACATCACACCAGTGTGTGCCTGCAACAGTTGCCCTTGAAACTCATGGGGATTGTTTCTTAGGTTGTCTTAGTTTTATTTTCTCTGGGAGGAGGGTGGCAGGTCACACATGTCCAAAGACTGCATGCTGTGCCAACCCCCCATGAGTCTCCAGCCAGGCCTGAGAGGACCCATCCAAAACCAAAAGCTTCTTTTATTCTTAGCAGGACTACTTGCAACAGTATTCGCCAGCGGCGGGAAGCACCGAGGCTTCTGAAGTCACGGGCATTTGTTAGACTAAATCAGGACCGATTAGGACTGTAACAATGCATCTATCCATCCACCTTCACCCTGCAGCCTGGTTTTCACTTCAGAGTGTGCTGTAGAAGGTGAGTGATATGGTTCAATCGAAGATCCATATCCAGAATGAGTACACCTCAGATTAAACATCAGGAGAGAGGCAGGCAGATGATTGGCTGAGGCAGGTCTCTGTAAAGGTAAGGGCTGGAGAGAAGAGATACAACAGCATCAGACAAGTATGAAAGTGATGTGGGTCTTTATTGCACCCTTCTTGTAAAACATTGGAGGCTCACTTTGTTAATGAGATAAGAAAAAAAGGTGTCCATCTCTGAGGAGTATTTTGTCTTTTTTTTTTTTTTTTATATATAGGAAAATGTATTCAGGTCTTCCTAGTCTTCACAAAAAAGTGCTTTTCTGTTTCTTGAAACAGTAATTTGTTATTGAAGGTGTTAAAATGGCATCATTTATGCAAGTATCTCTCTTTGTTACAAAGAGGGGGGCATTGCATAATGAGTGTATGTTTATTTTTTTATTATTCTGAACTGCCAAATGCTTTTTTTCTAAATCCAGAATATAGATACATTAGCATATTTTATGTATAGTCTAGGAAACAACAAAAATATTGCAGCCTCCTTCCCCGACATCATCCTGTATGTTAACCATACATATAAACAACAATAATGTCTCACAATTTGCTGTCTTAAACTTGAGGGTTTGATGTTTGAGCCAAATTTAGTAATAAGACAAAGACAGAAAACCCTGAATTTAAAGCACAAGCTTATTGCAAATAAGTAAAGTAAACGCACTAAACACTTCTTGAAAGACTTTGTTAGGTATGGCATAGCTAAAAGTGAATTAACCTTCTGTTCTGTATCATTGTGCTTGCCAGCGTTTCTTCGGTTTGAAGAACGTGTAATGAAGCTGTGATGCTGAATTACCTTGTAAGTGGAGGGATCCTCTGTAAGGCTTTGTACCAAGTCATCTTGAGCCTTTGTTATTGCCATTCTTAAGACCAAAATATCAGACCTAGATTCGACCTGTTAGCTGCTCTGGATTGATCCCCTCAGTTTCTTTCTCTTACGAACATTCTTAAATTGTCCTGAGTTAACCTGCATCTTAATGGTACTGCACAGTTGGCACCTCAAACATGTTTACATCTTTCCTAATTGACATATCTTCACCGAGTCTGTCCTGAGCTCTTCATGTGAACTTTATCTGTGTTGACAGACCATAAGGCTATTTTTGAACAATAAATATCAGACACCTTTTAATAAAAAAAACAGCCTAAAAGTGCTTCTATTCATTACAACATGTAAATTATAATGCACAGTTACTGCAGGATAGGCCTAGTTAATTCAGACTGTTTCACTAAGATATAACCAAACAAGACATAGTGTACTTGCTATTTATAGTTTGTAAAGGACAACAAATGTTTGTTTTGTTTGGTCTCTTTCTTTCTTTCCTCATGTCTTTGGTCCTTGTCATTGCTTTGCTCTACCATTGAAAGCATGCTGCAGTTCCTCCACTCTACTGTGAAACACTGATCATCTTTGAGCATTCCTTTAAACCTCCGTTACCCTCTGAGCTGGGACTGGGTAACAGGCTGACGATTCTTCATATCATGGCAAGTTGTTATTATCAGAATACAAAGTCATATAACCTGAAAGGACGTTTTTATGGCCTTCCAAAACTGTCATTGTCGAGCGCATCATGAGTGCGAGAACATTTTGCTTCAAAATGAAACAACTTCACTCCTTCCTGTACAGGTGCCTTTTTACATACAGTATAATCTCCCTGTAGTCCCTCTCACGTGTTACCGTTAGACTACCACAGATGAGCTGAAACGACATTTACTCTGGCTAGAGCCCTTCTATTGAGTCCTCAAGCTCCACAACAGAAGCACAGCTGCAGACTGTGATTTTATTGGATAAAAGCAAATTGAGTGTAATAATGTAATGTTGATGGCGTGATTGTTTGTCTGATTTTCTCTGGCTGTCTGTGGACTGACTTCGATGTTTCCCACATGCACCCTTTTAAAAAAAACATTGTTTAGCTAAGAAGTTGCCTTAAGAGGTTTTCTTTCTCATTTTGATTTATTTTTATTATTGTTTTTTAAGAACCCTGAACAAAAGTGTATTTATCATAGTAATTGCACAAGTTAAACCTGTAAAGGAAATATGCTCCTTACATTGTGAAAATATAGAATTAGTCCCTTTTTTAGTGCTGTCATTTGTGATGTATTTGAGTATGAAAGCATAAATACGTTTAGTTTTTTTTTTTTTAGGTTTTTGCTGTTTTTTTGTTTTTCTTTTTTTGGTGGATGCAAGAAGAAAAATAGATATTGACATTTAATTTTTTTCAATTTGTTTCCATTGTTTATGCACTTTCAGCAGTGATACCCTTAGTATTAAAGGTACACTAAGTAATATTCTCACAGTTCACTTGCAAGTCATGCATTACTAACTCAGCTGGCCACGTCATAACAGCAGAATTGGGTGTATTGTCTTCAGCATCACTCTGACCACCATGAAATATTCCATACATACTACTGTAATACTCATTTATTCAATGTTCAGTGAAAATGTTCATTTTCTTGTTTTGTGTCCCAAATTTACACTATCTGTAACTAGAGATCTTTGGTCAAGAAGGTTTTTCTTTTGTTCTTTTGAGTCACTAACTAGGACTGTTTTGTGCCTGTAGCCAGTTCTTGTACACAATTTCTTTGTCAAATAGCTGTTTAATACACCTTCATATTGCTTTTTCTTTCTTCTGTTCCAGACCAGGAGTTCACCATAGTTAATCAGGTATTCAGAATTTAGCCTAGATTTGGGCAACTTGGGAATGAACAAAGAAAATCTGCTGACTGGCTAGACTTGGAAACCACCAAAACTACATGACCAATCAATCCAACACAAACCATACCTTCTTATGCAAGTTTTTTATATAAATGTTCTGTCAAACTTTTTTTAATATGCATTTGGTTTTTAGTTTATTTTGTAAGATTTTTATGCAGAATTGTTGGTTTTTCTTTTCACATTTCTGGCAGAAAGACGCCAAAACAAAAAAAGGTGTACACGCATGCTGTATGTCTCTAAGGAACATTTGTAGTTTCTCTCTTCATTTTTTGATGAACAAACACACTTTCAATGTGGCATCTTTAGCATATGTGAAGTTAGTCATTAGTCGTACTCTTAACAGCTACAGGGCAAGAATCATCGTGGAAGGTGGTCTTAGAAACGTGGATTGTTTCTTCTCATGTTTAAACTAATGGGCCGTTTATTTTGCAATCAGTTTTATCTTTGCAAGTGTGCCATGCTGAATTATAGTTAGCTTGAATCACTGAGAGAGGGGTTAAAAAAATCCTAAGGTGGACTGATGTCTTAAACCTGTAAGGTTTGGACGGGGTTTGTAAGCCCCACACATTCACATGCTAGACACAGTTACCCAAAGAGATGGCAAATGTGCATTTTGCTGTTAGGAAGCCTTCTTTTATATGCATTTTAAATACATATCAGTAACATTTTTGAGTCACTGTTCATTTGTGCTGTGGCTGTTGACTTACAGCCTCATGCTAGAGATTGAACTGGGCTGTTTTGTTGTTTTGTTTTCCTGCCTCATTCTCCAATGCTTTATACTTTGGGTTTTACTATGTTTGAAAAGTGTGAGAATAGGGACCACATTTATGCATTAATGGGAGCATTTGCAGACTCATTCCAGTTGTACATCTCATTACTTTTATCCTTTTATTCTAGTGTTTAGATATTCCATATTTTCAGATGTGCGTTATACTTCCTCAGTGACACGTTTCATTGTAGTTTTAGTTAATTTATACTATCTATACTCAGTCATGATTGTGGCCTTCTAGTATTGTTGATACATTTCATCTGTACCGTTGTAACTTCCCTGGTGTTGTACACCCTGTTATCTGTTTGTCTGTATGTATGTTTGGGGTGTGTGTGTGTCTTTGTGTTTTACCTCATCTGCAATCAACTGTTAAATTGGAGGACTTCTGTTTACGCGTGCAAAGAAAAAAGGAAAAAAAAATCTTCCACTAACGAAACACAAAAGAGGATGCATTGTAGCGATTTGAGTAATTACAAGAAAAAACGTTCACCTGGTGTGCTGAACTATGTGTAAATTGTTTATTACACAATATGAATATTTGTAAAATTGTTTGTATTTTTTCATAATGATTTTAAAAAGGAGTGTGTTTATTTTTTGACTTCTTTCTGTTACAGAGCTCTTGCTTTGTGCGTTCGCCTGACATTGTGAGTGAATCGGTTGGTTCTCTTACCTCTCTCCTGTATTTGAGCCTGTGCTGAGTTGTTTGTATGCAGTGTTTAGAAATACTGTAGGGAACGTGAGAAGAAATTGATATTAGGAGCATTTGATCAATTTGTATTTATTTATTTTATCATTTTGTTAATAAATTGACCAAGAAAATTAGTCTCCTTCTACATATTTTGAATGATCAGACACTGCTGTGTTTAATACTTTTGGGTACTGGAAATTTTGGTTATCATCAGCTATTAAATTTGTTTAAAAACATGGCATTTTAGTAATGCATTTTCCTTGGTGGAAGTTGGTTTTTAAAAATGTCTGTATAATGAAATCGGTAAGATGGAAACAAAATCATTTAGAGAGGTTTGATGTGAAATGCTCTGTGTTAGGAAACTTACTCAGTGGTGATTGTAGGAACCAGACATTTGAAGAGTTAGTGCCTCTAAATGTTCCCTGACAGAAAAGTACTACATGAAAATGTTACAAATACTTTGCCTACTGCCTGAGACACTGTTGTATGTTAGTTTTGCAGATGGATTTGGCCTAAAACTTAAAATCCATGCATGGCGGAGAGGTCCATGCAGTGTGTTGTAAGGCAAAATAGTACCTGAAGAAAACTTATTTTTTCAGATTTACCGCTATATTTACATGATCAACATTACATATGAAACTCGGAAGACCTGTAGGTTCACTGGTGGTTTTGGATAGTAAATAAAATGGACATTGTGACTCCTGGTTCCTATCACCACCATTGTAAATAAACCAGAGTTAAGTGTTATTTTCTGGAATGCAGCATTTCTCATCAAACCACTAGGAACGACTGTACATCTGAAAGGCTGAATTATGCAAAAAGGTTGAAAAATCAGTGGGATATCCCTTTAAGTTCCAGAGGTTATCTATGGACTGGTTTCTTCAGAGTTCTTGCTTTTAGCCACTTATAAGACGAATAGAGCTCACCCAGAGAGAGACAGTAGTTTTTAAAGGGATTATTCTTCTCACAGTCCATAAATGTAATTAGCTATAAGTAATATAGAGATTTGCCGTATTACAGAAACTTAACTCTGAAATCTTATGTTTAGTCACCATGACAGAGATACGACTGATACTATTACAGAACAGCAGTTCTTCAATTCATAATATTGATCTTAATCCATTAACTCGATCTCCACCGTCCCCTCTTATTACCTTCGTGTGTTAATGTTGTTGAAACTCGTCAGAAAAACTTACAGTGATGGTGGTGAATAACGAGACGGAGCTGAACGTGTCTGTTCATTAGGGGGAATAACGTTAGCGCGGTCGGCTCAAGTGTTTGGAAAACTGATACCGATAAGCAACACGCAGGAACACACAATATCCTTAACGTCCAGTTTATTTCATTGCATTTTAGGTTTTGTTTTTACATTTTTTTACATCCGTAACGGCTGCTAGCTGTCAAGCTAATTAACTTTTTGTTTTGATTAACTTGCGTGTTTACGTTTCAGCTGTGCGCGTATGGTCGGTTGCTAGGTAACAGGTATGACAGGTGATTGTCGACGTCGATCGATTAGGTTAGGATTTTCTAACTGGAGATGAGATGCTGTAAAATTAAACTCCTACATTAAGATAATTGCTTCTGTAATACAAATTTGTGAAAACTCTTATTCTGACTGTGTCAGATCTCAACGTAGCACCATAGATAAGTTTCTGTAATAAGGTTTAAACCCCAGAGGTTCATGTTGAGGAGGTTAACTCTCTGTGGTGACTTGTAGCTGAATTTCAAAACAGAGACGACTCTCTTGTGTGGTGAGTTTGCAGTCAGGTCCGTGTGAGACTATGGGGGCAGTCTCTAAGTCTTAGCACACCTGTGAATGCTGTTAGACATCATGGGTTAAGGCCACTAAGTCTTGGACTAAACTGCAGTGCCGAAGCTGTTTTAGTGCGGAATTGCTCTGGCTCTGGGAGATCAGCCTCGTGATGTGTCTGGAAGGCACCTTTTCACAGACACACAAACTTTCACAGGACGTTCCTCAAAGCCGTGGATAAAGGACAGTTAAACGAAAGCGCTCCACACATCCCTGAGCTCATTTACGGGCGAGTTATGACCGAGCTAACACGTCCTCTCTCACGGAGGCTGCGTGTCAGGCTCGGCTCAGCTCCGTGTGTGGAACCTAACTTTCTCTTTCTAGTCATTTTGCATGTTCCCCCCTCTCCTCCATAAACGCAGCTTTCTTCCGTTTTTCCATGTCATTTCCTGTAATAAAAAAAGATGGTGGTCAAAGCTGAGAGAAGCAGCTGACTCGTTACAAATGTTTGCGATGATAAACTTTACATCGCCCCGGACTAGTGACATTACTCAGCTCCGCCGGAGCCCCGGCGCTGTCCGTGCGGCGGCCGAAGCCGAGCTGGTTCTCTAGGCAGACCGCCTGAGAGCCCCAGACGGACGGACTGCGTTTTCTCCACAAGGTGAGTTTCTCTCACTAGCCACTGTGGCCAATGAAAATGGCTTCCGAAAGCTGTAGGCAAATTGCCAGTCGCCTGCGCACGAGAGCCGCGGATGTCGGGCGGCTTCGGAACGCTCTGCCCCGCGGCCAGAGGCGCCATACGCGCTCCGTGACCCCTCGGCGCTTCGCCCGTCTTCGTTCGAGAGTCTAAAACTGATGGAAAAATGGAAGTTTCGTGGGTTTTAGGGATCGTCGTCGCTGCCCTGTTTGTTGTGCTGCGTTCGCTCTCCTCATAGATCGAGGAGACCCTGAGCGACGCCCCTCTCGACCAATCACGCGCCAGCTTTTCTAATCGAAATACTTCTACACACAGAAAGTGGGAGTTGGGAGATCTGTAAACATCGAACGATCGCGATGACTGGGGCGCGATTTGAGGTGATTCTGAGCGGCTTCTTTGAACTTCAGCTCAATTCCCGTTTAAATTTAATTGCGCTCTGGAATTCCACGTTAATGAGATGGTGGAAAGTTCGATTCGCTTTACCGAACCGACTCTGATTCAAACGATTCGTTTTTTATCTCTCTTTGGGTGGTATGGGGTCACGATGAGTCACATCAGTAACATGGGCAAAATACAAGGCCATGTAGAGGCTGTAAACCCAAATAAGAAGAAGAGCAACGTACAAAGTTACACCAGGCATTTCTTTGGCATCAGAGGCAAAAGGAAAGATCTGTTTTCTTCATATCCCACACAAGATGGTTCTTTAGTAAAGGGAATGGTTTTATACAGAACCGTTAACATTGAAACAACTATTTGCATGCTTAAATGGTCCTTTGCATGGTAGTATTGTTCTTCAGATTGATGCAGAATGTGTATGGTTCTATATGGAACCTTTTTAAAATTGGTTCTATATAGCACCAAAAGGGTTCTTCTATTGGTACAGTAATAGAACAGAATCAATTTAAGGGGATATTTTACAAAGCAGAATTTTTCAGTTAGATACATAACTTAAGTACAAAGCCACAACATATGGTCAAACCTCTATATTTAGTGTACATGTGCCATGTAGGCTGTCAGTGTTTTTACCTTTTCACTTTCTCTCCTCAGTTGTAAGATGTTTGCATGAAAAGGGGCACACAGGGACTGGCCCTCCTCCCTGCACTGACCATGGCAGACCCTGCCACTTTTCAGACTGAGCCATGTATGGAAACTGAGCCAGACTGCAGCACAGGGTAACATGATACCCCTTTCTTAATGGACCTTTTTTCATGCACTTTTTTGTTGGAAAATATTACGCAAAAAAAAAGAAAAAAACAACTCAAGACTCTTTGATGACTATTTTCATGCACTTTTGTATTGGGAAGTTTTACACAAAAAAAAATCAGAAGGCTCAATAGTTTCTTGTCACGTTCAGACCTGCAGAAAAAGGCTTTAGGAGGCTTGTGAACATACTTGCCCTTGATAATAACTGAGCAAAAAATCTTTAATTATCTTTAATGATTATATTATTAATTGTTAATTATGGTGGGCTTTTTGGAATTGTCCAACATTCTGTTTGTGCTGTTCTGAAGTGAACACAGATTTTCTGTTTAGATTCTGTGCAGTTTGAACTCCAGAAGACCTCCATTCCTTTGTAGTTAGAGAGCTCATGTAACTTTAACCTATGGAGTAATGAAACAGCACTGATGGTAGTAGAGATTCTCCTAAGTCAAAGCTGTGTGGAAATGTCGATAAGGGTGTGTTTTGAACAGTAATGAAACAGGACTGCAATGTCTTCTTTTTCTTGTCAGCCCACTTAGACTGTGTATATATGTCATTTTTTAGAGTCATCAATAACTGTTCTTCTGAGGAGCCAAACAAGAAACTAAAAATGAACCATGAGCGTTGTGCCAACGTGGAACAACAAAATGTTGACTTCTGGTGTAGGTATTACGTTCTCAAATGAACAATATGTCTTTATTATAGATATTTCAGGTTGTTGAAATGCAACTACTATACATAATAATATTAAATTAAACATTTAGAAATAGAGATGATAAATTGTATTATTCTTCTTGTAGTCTGTGAAGAATGTAAAGAGTATTTCCTGGAGGAATGCCCTACCCATGGTCCCCCTGTGTTTGTACCTGATACTCCCGTTGCATTGGGTGTGCCCGATCGCGCAGCTCTCACTGTGCCTTCAGGTATTGAAATCATTAAGGAGGGCCAAGAGGTGGACGTTTGCTGCATGGATGAGAACATACCCAAGGGAGCACTGTTTGGCCCTTACCAAGGCCGACTGATAGCCCAGGACAAACCGTCAGGGATGCACTCCTGGATGGTGTGTTGGATTTCCTGTCTTTCAATGTTACTTCGGAGTTAACCTAATAAGTTGATTTCTGTTAACTTTTCAACATCTGGCTGGTTTGTTTTAGATTGTTAATGAGGACAACACATACAAATCTATTGATGGCTATGATGAAACCTTAGCAAACTGGATGAGGTAAACCATTGCAATCCTGCCTCTCCTCATACATTAAGGATCAGTTCATGTGCAATTTTCCTCTATTAAGGAAAGCTAATCCACGTGTGCTTTTGCCAGGTACATTCGGATGTCTTCAGAGGAGAGTGAGAGGAACTTGAGTGCATTCCAGCATGGCGAGCACATTTATTTTCGCGTGTGTCGCAGACTGGCAGTGGGGGAGAGGCTTCGTGTGTGGTACAGCGATGACTACATGAAACGACTACAGACGGTGTCTCAGGACAGCATCGACCGCAACCTGGACACAGGTGAGATATCTGCTTCTGTCCCAGCTAGAAAAAAACAATTCTCATTTCATCCAGTGGAACTGAGTGTTTTCTGAGGAATTGAGCTACTGCTGCACCCACATAGTGATCAACAACTGAGACTTATTTGTTTGTCCTCTCAAAACTGACCTCAAAACAGTAGTTTCGGAACATAATTTAATCTAGTGTAATCTAGTTTTCTAAAGATGGGTTACAGGTTGCTTTTTATAGATCTATGAATAAACTACCGTGTTATTGGCAACAATTGTCACGTTTATAGGGCTTCCTGGTGGACAAATGCAACATATTCTGTTGCAAAATATCTAAATATAACACAGGCATTATAGGTGGTTGTAAAATGAGCTTTAACAACTTTTGTCAACGAATAAACTATCACAGAGGATATGTTCCTGGCCGTTTACCTGCAGAGGTTTTACAGGTAAGTAAAACAGGTTTTTCTATTCTCAGTTATATCGCCTCATGTGGCAAAGTTGTACTTTTTGAGATCTCAATATTTTGGCACACCTTTTAATGTAGCAGTACATCTTCATGTTACCAGATCCTTCTTATACGCATGTCTGTGGTTTTTCAGGGTTAAATTCAGAAAATCTAACTCAACACCAGGAAGAAACTCAAGGCCCAATTCTCCGCTCTGCTCTACATGGGAGAAGGACCCTCAGCAAGCACGGGAGTGATGAGGCAGACAGCCAGCCTCAAGCCAAGAAGAAAAAGATTGATCTCATATTCAAAGATGTTCTAGAGGCGTCGCTGGAAGCAAGCCAAAGCCAAGACAATCCGCTAAACAGCACTCTGTCATTACCAAGAACAAGAACACAAGTCGGCAATGTTTTCAACCAATCCAGTTCGTTTTCACACCATGTAGTGGAATCATTACTTGGGCAGACTGAAAGCAAGGTGGCTCTTGTGGCTTCTGGACTGGCCCCAGTGGAACAGCTCGAGAGTAGCCTCGGCGAAAGATATGTCAAAATGGAGAATACGGAGGAAGAGCCCGCTGTGACTAATGATGGGCCATCTACATCTTTCTGCCCAAACTGCGTGAGACTAAAGAGACGGATACGTGAACTGGAGGCAGAGCTGCTCCGTTTTAAACAGCAAGAGCAGACTGAGACTTTGGCCCCATCTGAGCCCCAGCCCAGTGATGACCTCAGAGGTAGGTTTGCTGCTGGGCGAGATCTCTGCTGTGGAATGATGTCATGCTGTCTCAGATCTCTACTGACACCTTTTTCAAATGTGCAGGTGCTAAGCCTGTTCTTGCGTTCTTAGGTGAATTTCTTTTGTCCCCCAAATTCTTAATCATGTTTCCATCAGAGCACTGTCAGAGTCTGTTGTCTGTTAAACTGTGAACCTAATGATTTTATTAAATACTTGAAAAAAAAGAAACGTTGTCTCATTTTGCTGTCTGACTGTTAACTATTGGTAGTATTGGTGTTTCTTTGGTACAATTCAAAGACCATTTGTACTCATTAAGAAAAGCAGTTTTCTGTTATGAGACCTCGTGTGAGCGTTAGATGCCAAACATATTTTTTCAAACAAATTTGTGAGAGGTTATGCTGAACATTAAAACTTGATTTAAACAAGACCACCTAGGCTGTAATATATTCTGAGATTATGGAGATTTCTATAAAGTAAACATTTATTTCTGTTGTCTTGCAGCAGTGGAAGCCATGACGCCCATCCCAGTCGTGCTGGAAGAGGATGACCAGGATGTTGACTCTGCAGACGAGTCCATAGCTGCTGACATGATGGTAGCTACTGACGACTCTTCAAAACTGTCTGTTGGTCCAGGCCGGCGAATTCGCCGCTTCAAGCAAGAGTGGTTAAAGAAGTTTTGGTTCTTGCGTTATTCTCCAACATTAAACGAGATGTGGTGCCATGTGTGTCGGCAGTACACCGTACAGTCCTCAAGGACTTCTGCTTTCATCATTGGCTCCAAGCAGTTCAAAATTCATACCATCAAGCTCCACAGTCAGAGCAACCTGCACAAGAAGTGTCTGCAGTTGTACAAGCTACGCATGCATCCTGAGAAGACAGAGGAGATGTGTAAGAATATGATGACACTCTTCAATGCTGCCTACCATCTTGCAGTCGAAGGACGGCCATTTTCTGACCTTCGCCCCCTGGCAGAGCTGCTGAAGAAGTGCGAACTTAAAGTAGTTGATCAGTACATGAACGAGAGTGACTGCCAAATTCTTATTCACCACATTTCTCGAGCATTTAAAGAGGACTTGGCAGAGAAAATCCGCCTCTCACCTTTCCTTGGTGTGATCATGGATGGGCAAAATGATGATTTACTGGCAGACACAGTCGCAGTTTATGTGCAGTTCATCACTGCAGAGGGCCCACCTGCTACCGAGTTTCTCTCTCTGCAAAGATTGAGTGGTGGCAATGTAGATGGCTATCTCCAGGCAGTTGACCGTGCCTTTGGTGTCCTAGGCTTGAGGTTCCAGGACATGCTAGTGGTTGGCTTGGGAATAGATGGTTCTAACATCTCATCTAGCCTCCGAGCAAACCTCTATGTAACCCTGCGGAAGACCATTCCCTATGTCTTGTGTCTACCAATTATGATCCATCGTCCCCACATGGAAATACTGGATGCCATCTGTGGGAAGGAACTCTCATGTTTAGATGATTTGGAGAACAACTTGAAGCAGTTATTGAGCTTCTACAGATATTCTCCCCGTATGATGGCTGAGCTGAGGTCAACGGCACCTACTTTGTCAGAGGAGACAGAGTTCCTTGGGGACATAAGAGCAGTTCGGTGGATCATAGGAGAGCCTAATGTTCTGAACGCCCTCATTAAAGACTATCTGGAAGTGGTCACCCATCTTAAGAGCATCAGCAATCAGACCCAGAGGGCAGATGCATCAGCCATTGCTCTGTCTCTCCTTCAGTTTCTTATGGATTACCAGTCTGTCAAGCTGATCTATTTCCTTTTGGATGTCATTGCTGTTCTGTCACGCCTTGCCTTCATCTTTCAGGGAGACTATCTTTTAGTGTCCCAAGTGGATGCCAAGATTGAGGAGGCAATTCAGGAGATTGGCCAGCTGGTTGATTCTCCAGGAGAGTACTTGCAAGAGTTTGAGGAGAACTTTCGCGAGAGCTTCAATGGTGTGGACCTGAAGAATCTGCGGGTGGCAGAATCCAAGTTTCAGTCCATTCGGGAAAAAATCTGCCAGAGGAGCCAGGGCATTCTGGCACAGCGCATTGATCAGCGCAGCCGTTCTGTGGTGCAGGCTTGCAAGGTTCTCGATCTGGCTACATGGCCGCACAACAGGGATGATCTCCGAACATATGGGGAGGAAGAGATCCTGCTCATCTTTGACCATCTGGAGACGATTCCCTCATCAGGTCGTGAACTGTCACATGATCGAATAGATATACGAGGAAGCCTGGTAGGCGAATGGAGGGATCTCAAAGCCGACTACTATAGCATGAATGGCTTTAAGGAAGTGATGAGTCATATCTGCAGATACAAACAGCGTTTTCCTTTGCTGAACCAAATCCTGCAGGTGGTAAGGATCCTGCCAACGTCCACTGCCTGTTGCGACAAAGGACGAGAGTCTTTACACAAAGTGCGAAGGAACAACCGCTCCAGGCTAACTCTGGAGCAGATGAATGACCTGCTCACCCTGGCTGTGAATGGGCCACCTATTGCCAACTTTGATGGCAAGAGGCCATTGGACAGCTGGTTTGAGGAGAAGTCAGGGAACAGCTACACACTTTCTGCGGAAGTGCTGAGCAGAATGTCCAATGCAGAACAAAAGACTGTGTTGCACACAATGGATGTGAATTCAGAGTTTTATCCTGATATCTGATTGATCAGAGCCTGCTTTTCAGCCAATAATATTCCAAAAAAGCCATCTCTGTGGGCGTGAGCTGATCTCTGGGCTGTTATGTGATTGGCCAATATGACGTTGGCCCTGCTGCTACAATGGCCTGGTCAGCTATACTTATTCATCCTATGAGAATAGTAGGAATGCCTTTGCAGGGCATTGGCACTTGCACACCTACGATTATTCTGGAATGTGTTATTTCATGTGATTTGATGCTCCAAAGAAAAAGAAAGCACTTATTGTTTGATGAAACAAATAGATATATCGAAAATTAGATATGACATTTTCTGGAGCTGTTGCTATTTTCAGTTATTAATTTCAGAGCGTCTAGTTACAATATTTTGCGTGAACATGCACAGTAAAGCTTGTTTTGTTTATTAGAAACAGACAAACCACCTATGGCTTAACATTGATTTTTCCTATATCAGCTTTTTCAAAGCAATTGACGTTTACTTCATGTTGCTTTATAATATGTGAAGATTATACAACACAAGGCTCTTGATTGTTGTAGCATGTTTAAAATGCTATTAGTCATCCATTTAAGTAGAAAGAGACTTTATTTTGCCACCTTATTTTGCTATTTAGACATAAAGTGTTCTCTTTTTACCAGAAATTCAAAGATGTTGCTCCTTAAACCAAGAGGAAAACTTGCAATCCAGCAATGTTGTGTATATTTATGTCTCTTTTTGATGACCAATGGATGTGCCATAATGCATTATGCAATCGTAACCCTGCACGATGCAGTTTATGTCAAACATGGTATAAAATGCAATATGCAAGATGCTAATGCCTTATACTCATGATTTTTAAATTTGTTGTTGTTCTGATGTTCTCTCTCTTCCCCTGCTTTATGCTATGTAGGTGATAGGTCGGCAATGGGAGATGTTATTGTACATTTCAGCATCCAGTCAAAGAGTTCTCTTACAGGCTTTTAATGCTGCAAGAACAAACATTTTGAAAACATGGTATTATGCGTGAATACCCTGACACTTTTAAGTAGGTATGAGTATTTGTTGTGCTATATCATTTTACAGTGTACTTCTTTGGCTTGCCACTAAATACCATTGATGACATGTGCAATGTATTATTATTCTTTTATGGACATTGTTGTTACTTTCTAAATGTTAAGGACTGAGAACACATTCATGCTTCAGTGAGGAATACCGTCGATTTAGAAGGTTAAGATCGATAAAAATGCTGTGTACTGGGATTCAGTATTTTTGCTTATTGATAACAGGTGGCATATTTACCCTTTTCTGCGGTCACAATGAATTTCTTTATCATTTTGATGCTGCTAAAGAAGTCTTAACCCTCGTTGCCAAAGTATCTGCTGAAACGGTGATTGAAATGAGTAGAAATAAAGAGCGATAGATCCTTCCTATCATTTTCACAATGACTTCAAAATAATGTGTCGTATGATATCTCAATTTAAAGAGGCACTTAAACAGAGAATACAGCCCTATGCAGTATATGTTGTCAGAATGTTAATTATACACAACTTTTGTCTTTGTGCGAAAAATTTGATGCAGTAATTTTGCATGTTATCTGCACAAATATATATATATATATATATATATATATATATACAAGTGTATAGTTCAAACAGATAATACGGCTGAGTTATAAGATTTTATATTTGCAAAAAATAGATGTTTCATGCTGTAACTCTTGTAGGAATTTCTATAAAATGATGCTCTTTATTTTGTAATGTTGTTGGTTTTTCACAGACCTATAAACTCTTGCATGTGTTCATGGCTGCAGAAAAGTCTTTTTATTTTGATTTTGATTTGCGTGATTGAGGACTTGAAAAAGCTTTAATGCAAGGACTTGCACCGTCCAGTTTTTACAGAAATTTTATTTTTACCATCCTAAACCTTTGTACTTCCAAATGATGCATCAGCAACATACAGTACTGTGCAAAATGTTTGGTACTCAGACTTGAAAAGCTCTTTGTCTGGGCAGTAAGAGTTTATATGCTCAGAAAAACACTAATATTAGAATGAATACAAATAATATTCATATAATAAGTAGTAATTTTATGAATGTTTTTGTTTAACCATTTCCGCTTCTCTCTTTGGGGAAGTCAGAATTTTTATTTGTAGTATTATTTGTAGGTATTATATAATACCTGGTTCGGCTGATCAGTACTTCATTACATTAAAATGGATGTGCTGCTAATGGAATTTGACAAATCCATGTGCTGGCTGGGAACATCCAGGAGACATCTGGAACCAGACTTTGTTCTTTAGCTCACAAGAGACCACCTACGTTTTTTTTTTAAATAAGACATTCTTACTTATTCATTGTGTTTGTTTATTTGCAGCTATTACAAACGATAAATGGTGATATTACAAGCAAAATCACACTTTTTTTCAAGATAAATGGTTTTAAACAATGTTCTTATGTGCCTAAGACTTTTGCACAGTACTGTACATTTTTCTGTACTTTGGTCATTTTGGTAGCAATTCATATTTGATGTCTAATGGCATAGCATTCTTCTATTTGCAGTTCTGGTTCAGGCTGAATTTAATCTCAGTAGTTCTGTTGAATAATCTCACCGTGTGCTGCTTGAATTCCAGCTTTTTCTGTTTTGAATTGTGTGCTTGAATGTTGTACAGACTGTTACCTCATAATGAGGTATGTCATTGTATGTATAAGCTTTTTTAGTTTTGATACAGACAGCACACTAGCGCTATCATTCAACCAAATGGAATAGTGGACTTTTTCATCTTCATGCACGTCTTCCTGATGTGTCCTTAAAAGATCATTGGGATTTTTGCATGTTTAGGGGAGTTTGTTTGTTTGTTTCTTTCTTTCTTTCTTTTGGCACAAAGATATACATATATTGAACTCTTCTCTGACTCTGCTTTAATTACCAGAATGGTTGTTAAAAGTACTTTATTGTATTTGAGCCGACAGAGAGTCTCTCTCTCTCTCTCTCTCACACACACACACACACTTTTTCTTTTGAGCCAAAATCAAGCTTAAGGTCATTTTTGTTTTGTCTTTGTCTTTTTCTCCTGAAGCATTATGTACCAAAATGTAAATTCCAAATCAAGATTCATACTTTTGTATTTCATGATTTACATCTTTTTTGTAAAAGTATTCACAATAACCTGTATTGTATTTTGTATTGCTGTCAATGTTTCATTTGCTCACCTAATTTGGGGGGAGCAGCATTTTAGGCATGATGGGAACAAAAACATCTCTGATGTCAGGTTTATATTCAAATAAGTCGGCGTGAATGAAATATTTTGTTTTTATTATAAGTCGTGGCCACAACTATACACATTTACACAGCACACAGCTCTATACACCGCACTCTTAGCATTTGCATGAATACATTGTAACACTGGAAATCTATAGCTATAAACTATATGTGAACTTAAGAAATTATATAGCTGGAGATTGTGGTTATGTACTGTATAAATCCACTCAAAATGTAAGCTTAATGATATATATTCCACATATAATGGTTTAATAAAGTTTTTGTATTTTATTTTTTACTAGTTTAATGTGTTTGTCTTTGATAAGGCAAAATGTTGACATGTATCAGCATTAATCAATAATGCTGATACATGCTTAGCTGGGATGCTTTTAAACTCAAAAACACTAATATCATTTAAGCTGTTGCACAGATAGTGAGAGGGGTTCAGTGGGGGGCCAGATTCCTTCTTGGGCCCCCAGTTGAGGTATCAAAGTCTTATACAAATTAAGTAGCGATCAAACACATATTGTCACTGTCCCAGGAACGGTGATGAAATAGTATTAGCTGCTATTTTCTGATTGCAGTATTTGTAGGCTAACATTACATCACTATGAGGCTAAATAGTGACCTGTTCAATAGTCTCTGACTTGACAGAGCTTCCTCACACCAAAACTGATGAAAACCCATCTTAGGTCAACCACATTCAGATACTGAACTAATGAGCTTAGCTGAATATTGGGTCTAAAAGGGTAGAGGTCTTGAACCCACAATAATGTGTTGATTTATTTGTAGGAACATAAAAAACATAGAAAACAGTTATGGTAGTACTGGTGGTGTAATGATCTATGTTTTTTTCCCCTTTTTTCAGTACAGAAAACTGACCTGTATGAATAATAGGATGTAATGTAACATACTTTTTACTCCTTATTCTCATTTAGACTTTCATTACAAATCTGAAAGACTATCCCTTTTCCTTACCATTTTAAGAACCTCTAACCAAATTCTCTGTTCTCTACCTCTAATAAAATGAAGCTGCCTATAATGATGCTAATTAATTTTGTACAAGGACCAGTACTGGCCATTAGTCACCGCACCACACTGCCGTATCACACACCACCAAATAAAGAAAACTTTGAACTTTGTTAAAATGTTTACTTTTTACTTTTATATACTTCAGTATGTTTCTATGTAGTTACTTGTAATTTTCATTACAGTAACAGAGCTGTTTGTCGTAAGCATTCACAGCCACTGGATACGACTAGACGCTGTAAATGATCCAAAGTTGCTCTGGTTGGAGAAAAAATCGAGCCATTACATCTCTGACCTTGTGTAACCCAAAATTAGTTTGAGCTGTTGAAAGCACATGGCGATCAAGTGCTCTTTGTTGGAGTCCAACCGCGACCTCATTGTTCATGTGCCCCCCAGTCTCGGTAGCTGCAGGCTGCTGCCTGGCATTGAGACAAGCAACATGTCACTGTCACATCTCCATCAGCACGCTGATAACCGTGTGGAGCAGGGATGCACAACTCTGGTCCTGGAGCAACCGTGTGCAACACAGTTTGGTTATTTACCCGCTCAAACACACCTGATTACACTAACCTATTAATTGGCAGGTTTATTGGGTGTGTTTGAGAAGAAGAACTACCAAACTGTGCTGGACACTGGCCCTCCGGGACCAGAGTTATGCACCCCTGGTGTGGATGATACGGTTTCATATTTGTTCATGTGACATTTGCGAGAGAAGAAGAATAAGAACACAATTCCACAGTGTGGAATTTATGAAGGGCAAACCACTTCAGAAAGTTCAGCAACATTGTCTTTACAGTCAGAATGATAACAGTATATAGCGTCTTTGCTGGTTATAAGGAATGCATTGAGAAAAAAAAACTGAGCGCCTGAATGTCTGTGGCAGCAAGTCTATGGAAAATCTGACACAGCGGCCTTATTGTCACCCCCAGCTGCAGCTCAAGATGCATGAATACTTTTTTATTCCCTGTGACCAAACATTGCCATGTTCTTATATAAAACATTGTATTGAACTGTATTGGTTTTGTCAATGTCCAGTCTGAACGTACCAAGAAGCAGTAGTTTCCTTCAGACTTACCATTTGAGATCTGCCTGACACCATTGTGTAGCTTACACACTGACCCCTATAGAGAATGAAATAATGTATATCAGCGTAATCAGGTTTGAGATAGAAACATCACAGTAATACTGTATATTTAAAGCATATGTTTATGTAACGATTTTAAGAAATATAACACGGGGTGACATGGGTGGTCTTAGAAACCCTGAAAGTTTGTTTCGTATTCAGTCTGTAGACTATTATTTGCCATATATGGCACGGCAGGGGTAAACAGAAGATGTGCACAACTCCTGTCAATGACATCATTCAAGTAGGACAAGGGTGAGGTTGGGCGAGCGCTGGAGCAGAGAAGAGGTGGCTTTAGGAATGATTGGGGAGCTTTGTGCTGGACAGGCGTGTTCTGGGGAGATCTGACTCATTTTCAGTTAAAAACATCTTTACATCATTCACCATTTGAACTGCTCTGGTAAGTAGTCTGATAATATTTGACATAATTATCTTATCAGTCCTTTGAACTTTGAGCAGCCTAATGACTGCAGTTGCAGTTGTTTTCTTGTGATACGTTTTGTAGTAATGTTTGACAATTTATTTGTGAATCCACTGAACACCTCACAAGGACTGTGGTTATATTTAATCTGAAATGTTGTGTAGTAATATTTAAGATAGTTGTCTTATCACTGCCCTGGAATTTGAACAACACTGTAACTCTGTAAAATTTAATTCCTATTTGAGAACAAACTAGGAAACGGCTAAAATATCTAATAGACAACGCAGTTAAATGGTTATGATGTACACACAGTTATTCAGAGTGGTTTGATGTGAAATGCTCTGTTTTACAGAAATGTATAGAGTCAGGATTGTTCACAGTGGTGGTGATAGGAACCAGATGTCTGAAGTGTGTAATGCATTTTTCAGTACCTTCGAAAGTTATTACATGACACGTTATGAAGACACTGCCTGATGATTGGGACATTGTTTTTGATAGTTTTAAGATTAGATTTCAGTTTAAAATATATATTTATAAAATATATATAATACTAAAGTGTCACATGCAGGACATTTCAGTTTTTTTTTCAGATTTTCCACTATTTTACCATCATCAGCATTATAAATAACAACTCAGAAGACATGTATAGGTTCACTGGTGGTTTTAGATGGTAAACAAAATGGCTATATTTGTGTTGTATTTGTCTCCACTCAATTGAACTGTGCAGAAACTTTGAAAAAATGGTGAAATTCCCCTTTGAACAAGTGAAAATGTGACATTTAGATTTTAACACTGGTGTTATATAGATGTAAGTCACGCTGTCTCTCAAATAGGAGAAGAGCTCAACTAAACACTGAGACACATTTCAGAAGTGTTACAGAAAAACGTTCAGAATCGAAACACTTTGATTTACAGCGAGGCTGACTGTGAAAAAGTATGTATTACTATTTGGAATAAATGTCTTCCGCTAGGGAGACATCAGAATTATCAGCAGATACAGTGAGAGGAAACAAGTATTCAGACACTTTTATTTTTGTTACTTAATAAACTTCAAGAAGCAGCCCATATCATGATGCTCCCACCTCTGTACTTCACTGTGGGTATGCTGTTCTTGGGATCATATGCTTAACACTTCTTTCCCCAAACATGACACACTAAGTTATTGCCAAAGAGTTCTATTTGTGTTTAGTCTGTCCAGAGCACATTGTTCCAAAACAGCTCTGATTTGTCTGAATGTTCTGAAATTTTATGTGGGAAGATAATTGCAGCACAGTTTATTGCTTATTGTTCTCTGTGTAATTGTTGTTCCTGCTGTTTTCAGGTCAGTCTGCAGCTCTTTTCAAGTGACTGCTAGCTTCTCTCTTGCCTTCCTTATCATTAGTCTGAGATGTTGTGAAATCTTTTGTGGTGAAATGATGAGTTGTGGTTCCATGTGGTTTCCACTTTTATCGCATATTATCGGAAACAACTGTTCTGACAGGGATGTTTAAAGTCTTTGTTATGGGTCTGTCATTTTTTTCCATTCTGGTGTTGTTTAATAACGTAGTCCCTGAAAACTTTAGAAAGCTCCATCACGTTTACTACCACAATCTCCATGTGTTGTGTGAAATCTTCCCAACCAATGTCAGTGTCTTTTATAATGACACCAAATGCAATTTACATGAGAATGTTTTTCTTTTACTTGATATTTTTTATGTAATCTTTGTTTATGACTGTGAATACATACTTTTTGGTTCCTTTGTATGGGTACTAAGTCAGAAGACATTACATGTGTAAACCTGAAGTGAAAATTTAAACTGGAAGTATTTTAAATAACAAAACAAAAGGGTCTGAATACTTGTTGCTCTTCACTGTAGTTGTGTTAAAATTTTTGCCATTGGACAGATGTTTAGAATTGGCCAATATTACAAACTGATACTTGATTGTGTATTTATTGTACTCTAGTAGAGCAAAATGTTCAATTGATGCTGGGCTACTATGCAAAAATATCTGCTTATAATCCATTTTACTGTATTTGTAATAGTATACAGGTTAATATTTAATAAGGTTTTATTTATATAATCCAGGTAAATGTGGTCCCAAGTTCTATGTTTTATGAGTGTTTATGTATTGGTATCGGCAGATAAGGGCACAAAAATATCAGGTATCGGCATCGGCCCACAATTCCCATATTGGTGCATCCCTGCTGATCACTGCTGAACAGCCTGTAATGACAGTTGTATTTATGTGGAAAAATGTTGTTTGGAATTTAAAATATTTAGGATGACTATATTTTTGTGAAGTGCCACATTCAGTTTCTGCTTTTTCTGAAGTTTTCTTCATCTACAGGTAACAAAAATTTTGGCACAATGAAATACTCCATTGGGCTCTTCTTGGTGGTCTGTTCAGTGACTATAAGTGTTGGTAAGTTGTGTTAGATGCCTTGAATATTCAGCTGCTGTGCCAGTTTTTGGTTGATGACCCTGATGTTTTTTCATTCGAAACAGGCAATAAGCATTATGGAATGCGCTTCTCCTCTGTAGGCTCATCTCTGCGGTGCTATAAGTGCTCGGACTATTACGGTGGGAGGTGTGAGAAGGTGCAAGAATGCTCTTATGAGGACTCCTGTCTGACTCTGCATGAGAAAGGTAGGCCTTCTGACATCAATTGAAGCTAATACCTGCTTCAGAGCCAGTACTAATCAGCCCTCCGATACTTTTCCTGTGGAATAGGAGGGAAAACCATTCGCCAGTGCATCCGATACACGGACTGTGACAACTCTCGCCTGTCCCAGATGTTTCCAGCTGTGTCCGGCTTCACCTACAGGTGTTGCAACAGTAATCTGTGTAACAGTGCGCACAGTGTGTCTGCCCCGCTGCTCTCCCTGCTCATCTGTCTGCTCAGCCTCTGCTGGAGCTGCTGCTCTGCGTGAGAAAGCTCCTGTTTACAAAGATGTAGAATAGCTCATGTTGTACTCTGCTCAGCAAAACTCATTTGAATGTTTCTTAAGTGTGGTGCTGTTGGACAATGTGATGTCTTAATCTCTGTTCATGTTTTTAAATTAAATTAACAGCCATTAACAACTTGTTATGTTTCTGTAATTTCAGCTTTATTTGTTTTGAGCTCCTTTGAATTAAACACTTTTTAGAACTTACGTGTTTTGTTGCTACATTAAGATGGAAAGTCAACTAAAGTTAATCCTGGTTCTCTACTCAGTCATTTTGTTACAGTAACGTTGCTACCGTTGTAATGTTCACATACTGTCATATGCAGGAGTTTGAACAACCCCAGTCAAATGATGTTTTGCAGTTTTTTAAATTGAAAATAAGTTGACACAACCCTCTACAGAGAACACACTTACCTGTGGCATTTTTCTGCAGATTTAATTGCTCCATTTCTATTTCTTTGCTGAATTTAACATATTGGGAAAAACATACAATACAGGACACATTTTATGTGTTGTTTCCAATTCATTAAATTCAGTAAATAAACAGTAATTGAAATGTGCAGAAGTGTGTTCACTTATTTTCACTCAGAAAATCAACAAAACATGCAGCCAAGTGCGCTCAAACGATTGCATACGGCTGTATTATAAATGTAGCCTTACGCAAAATATCCATAGTAGCACTGCAGGAATTTTAACAGGATTCCAGTTATAATCGTATAGGAAATTTGGACAATTACAAAGTATTTACACAAGTATTATAGACTATAAGAAAGTACTACAGTAATACACAGAGGTAAAACACTATAGATTATTATAGACAAATTATAGAAATCTTATTATACTCACTTAAAAATGATGGTTCTTCAAGTGTTCTTTAGTAAAGAAATTGGATCTTTTTAGAACCATGAACACTCAAAGAACACTTTGCATGATTAAAGGGTTCTTTGCATCGTGAAAGTGTTCTTTAGACAGACGGAGGATGTGCTGTAGAAAAGGGTTCTATAAAGCACCAAAAAGGGTTCTTCTACTGTTACAATGTCAAGCTCGTTACAATAGCAGAACCCTTTATGGTGCTATAAAGCACTCTTTTCAAAAAGGTTCTACATTGAACTATCTACTGCACATTCTCCATCAATCTGAAGAACACTTTCATGATGCAAAGAACCCTTTAATCATGCAATGGGCTCTTCGAGGGTTCATGTTTCTATATAGATCCATTTTCCTTACTAAAGAACCCTGGAAGATCAAAGGAGCCCATAATTTTTAAGTGTGTAGATCTTTTTTTGTAATTGGATAATTAGAGAAAATCCTGCATATTAACTCTCTTCAGAGTCCAGATACATCTCTTGAATACAGTTCAGTCAAACGAAGTAGCAGTTCAGCACCAGAGAGAGTTCCTCTATGAGTTAAACACGCTTTTACCTGCATCCAACTGAGTCTTACCTTACCTTACCTTACCATTAGAATATGATGGATAAACCTGCAGGTAGACAAAATTAGTTTCTAAGTAATATGAGATGTAGAACAAATCATCAAAGAGGATGAGACACAGTGTCTAAACATGATTTGGATGGCACAATGCTGCCTCATGATGAAGGGATAGTGATTGAAAGTCACAGCTCACTGCTCACAGTGGTCAGTGGGCCGTTAAGCAGCCTGCAGAACCCAACTGCCCTGAGACAATCACCACCAGCCCAACTGTGCTTGATCAGTAATCTAATATCTCACTGCTCTGATATGTCTAGAAATCTCTTGTAGCACTCCTCAAAACAAATTAGAAAAGCCTTTTAAATAATTTGACAGATGTGATTTAGTGACATTTTCTTTAGCCACTCATTCCATACTGAACTGTTTCTAGATTATAGAAAACTGTTTGAAAAACTGTTGCAAACCTGTAAGAACCTTCCAAATATTACAACAAAAGGCAGCCCAACTTTTATTACTAATGTTATGAAGGGTATAGCTAGGGTATTGTAAAGATTTTGTCACCCAGATGTATTTAGACGTGAATACCTGACATTTAAACACCATCAGCTGATTAAGATGACCTAATGTAGGTTACCTAATGTAACCTAAAGTAATGTGCAACAAAATCAATAGTGAAAGAAATTAAATATTCAAACCTTTGCCAAACCTATTCAAAGTACAGTCGTATGCAAATGTTGACCTCTGTTAACTGACATATTTTGCTGATTTTCTAAGTGAAAAGTGCACAAATTTTTGAGTTTTGAGTGTAGCAAAAATTGCAGTAGTTGTGCATTAAAATGTACTAAAGTGTGTTCTCTGTAGAGGATGTGTTTCGCTTAGTTTTACTCATAAAATCAACAACTCATAATTTGTCCAGGGATGCTCAAACTTTTGCACAGAAATGAATATAGAAAAAAGCACTAATTGTCCCAGGGGGTGTACATACTCATTACACTACAACACACAAACACACTGATGCCCGTGTTTCCATCATAAGTTCAAGCCTGGTATCATTTAGGAGTGGATTTGAAGTGCATTAACTGAAGAACTGCTTCTTAACTATTAGGCCACAGTCGCTCAGCTCACACTGTGGTCCTAAAACTGTTCATAAATAAAACTTTAGAAAGGCTGTAGTTGAGTTCATTGTACATTAAGACAAAAACATGTAGAAAACAAGGAAAGCAAATCTGAATAATCTTTTACAGCTGCCTGTGTCCAGCTGCTGAGTCGTAATCTGATGACATAACGAGATGTTGCATGTACAGTGCCTTCCAAAAGTAGGCAGGCAGTGAAGTCAAAATTGTTATTTTCGCTACTCACTGAGACGGCTTAGATTAAAGTAGAACATCAGGCAAAAGTATAGACTGCACCTTTCTATTTCTGGATATTTCTGGGCCTGACAGCAAGTACTGGCCTAAATGAACTAAACGTAAATTGAAAATGACTGGGAATTAAAAGACAGCACTAGTTACACACAATAAGTACACTGATTCTGTGGACAGTACCAATCTTTTGGTGTCTGTCTTTTACACCAAAATGCATAAATCAATATATAGGTCTAAGAGCTATTCATGAGGAAAAAAAGAAAAAAACAACTTAAAGAAAACAAACTTGGGAAGTTGTTTTTTAAAATCAACAAAATAGAATAACTGAAAAAAAAATTAGTACTAAAATGACATGGTCAGATAAAAAATAATTTATTAAATATTTATACCATAAATACACAAATAAATAAATAAATTCAGAATTCAACTTGCATTCCATTCAGTAGAGAACAAGAGTCACACAGCAGTTTACAGTAGTTTCAGTAGTATCACAACGAAGGAAACGGAATGTGAACTGAATTCTCATATTCAGTGCTTGATGTACACAACACAAATTGCACAAGCCCACAATAAACAAGTCACCAAGACACACAAAGCACATGTAAACAAATCAATATTCTAACACAGCCAAAGTAACATTGATTCATAAAACAGAGGCAAAAAAATACCATATATGACCACAATAATAAGGACGGACAGGGATTTTTTTAAAATAGGTGGATGCATTACAGAAAAACCACACTGAGCTGCCTTCGTGTTTATTTATCTAAAGGTCTTCCAAAAGTGTTGTAGTGAGCTCCTGAGGGCAAAAGGAGGGACCTTCTTGAAGGAATACCCTACATCTCTATATGCTGCATCTGTGGCATTTTGACACTTTTTCCAGTATTTAGTAAAAGAACAGAATAAATGTTGCTGTGAAGAGCACTTATAATAGAAGCTAAAGCACCTGTCCATTGGCTTCTATCATAAATGTGTTTTGAGCCATTGGAATTTTTGTTCTTTACTAAGTACAGGGACGTTATTGTCCACGTACACCGCAGATGAAAAAGACAGATTAGATGGTACAAAAACTGGAGTATTACTTTCAAGAAGAACAAGTATTTCAGTAAAGTGCAGATACAGATAAAAGTCATTAAAAAAAAAAGTTCATTAAAAAAGCAACTCCCAAAGTTACTGTTCATTCATCCCAAATCAAATACAGCATCTTTTTTTACACAATTCATTTTAACAGAAAAATGTCAACAGCATTATAAACATTCTAAAAATGTAGCTACTCTATACATTCTCCACATCGATCACCAATGTGCAGCGTATCTGCTTCATTTCAATCACTCATATCCTCCACATTCTCCTCCTCGATCTCTCTGCCTATCACCTCTAGTTTCACCGTCTTCTTCTGCCCCTTCCTCTCCTTCCCTTTTTCATCATCCTCCTTTTCTGTCGGAGCGTACCATGGCCTGGCTGCGTTGTCTTCGCATGCCCGGCCACCGCCCCTTCTGTAGCCGCCCCGTCCGGCCCGCACCAGCCCCCAGCCCTGAGGCTTGCCTTCGTGTGGGCCGTTGTCCTGCACTCCTCTGGTCTGGTCCAGCTCCTTGGCACTGAGGGCGGGCATCCTGACGGGCACGGTGTTACCAAATTTAGAGTAATCTACTGAGTAACGCCCGTCCTCCTCCGTCATGATGGAGACGAAGCGCCGCCCCCACAGGATCTCATCTGGTGTGTAAGATGTGCGTGCCTGCATGGTGATGCCAGTGGTCTCCACAACACCTGTCAATCAAATAAACATCATGTACATTACTATTCAAAAGTCTGGACACACCTGGTTATAGACAGGCTTTCCTTATTTTTACTATGTTTCACATTTTAGTGAAAAAATAGTGAAAAGATCAAAACTGTGAAACTGTGTTAAATTTGGGTTTTTGGAAATCATTTTGTACATGTATCAACTTTGTTATCGCTATCTTAGAAACAAATTTAATTTGTTTATCAAGGGTTTATGCTTAAATGCATTCTTTAAAGATTCAATTGCTGGGATGTAAACGAAGCCAGTCAGAGTTCTTTACAGTGGTGGTGATAGAAACCAGGGGTCACCATGTCTACGACACAAATATGGACATTTTATTTACTATCCAAAAATACCAGTGAACCTACACATGTCCTCTGAGTTTTTAGCAACATATATAATTTTGGTAATGGTAAAACAGTAGTAAATCTGAAAGAATAAGCTTTCTTCTGGGACATTCTGCATGTAACTGTGTGTCATGAATAGAAAAAAAAAATTAGGCCGAAATCTTATCTTAATACTATCATAAAAATTGTCTCAGACATCAGGCAGCGTTAGAGCATTTCACAGTTTTAACTCTTCCCAAAATTGACTATTAAGTCATTCATGAGTCTAAAATCACAGGCTTATTACATGCAAAGGTTTATTACACAGAAATAACAAGGAAAACAATGGATATTGACTGTTGACTGAGTTATTCTTAATATGTAGGAGTGAGAAAGAGAAACTTGGACACGTCAGTGTTTTGTGGTCATTTAAGAGGTTAGATTTCCCGATGACATTATATGGATTGTAAATTATGGGAAAAAATGAAAAATTAATTTTAATTTTTTTTTTTTGTAATTTCCATTTTTTTCTTTGTATTTAAACATGCATTTAAGATACTTTTCATACTCCAACACAGTGGTGGTATGATTAAGTGTCAAATAAATATGTCCGGTGTACTGGTAATGAAGCACTGTTAATCCTAGCTGGACCAGAAACTTTTCACTCCTCTTCTTCAAAAGCCTAAAACTCACAGCAATGTGTCTACGGTAAAACCTCCTACCTTCCAGTATGACAATGATTTCCAGGTCTTCATTGGGCAGTGACTGAGCAGAGACCTCATAGAGGGGGCTTCCTCTCTCAATGGTGTGACTGATGATAAGCGGTGACACGAGGAAGATGCCATTGCTCCTGAGGGGATTTTCCACCTGGATATCCAGCTGGCAGACTGGAATGACCTCCCCTTCTGCTGTCACTGTCCTCCGAATCACCTGAGTGCAGAGTGACAGAAAACAACCAAGGAGAATTCACTCAATAAACAAAAACATCTCTTGTTGCAGTGCGCTGATTGAAACACAGCCTAAGAACATCATTTATAATTTCTCAGGTATCCTTTTTCCCAAAACAGACTCATATACTCTTATTGCTTTACAGATTCAAATACATCACTGCAATAAAATCTAAGCCTAAGAAACGAGTGTAACGAATTTCCTTTTAATTTGGCTGAGCTCTTCCTCACCTGCAGCTGAATGGTAGCAGAGATGATCATACTCTTCCTCAAGTCTCCCACACGGAACATGAACGTTGGTCTGCCGTTGCGTGGGGCGATAACAGCATTACGGGAGAAGATGAGCGTCTCTGCTCGCCGATTAGCTTGAGCCGTTTTCATAAACACACAGCCCAGCATGACTGCGTTAATGATGAGGCCCAGAATGTTCTGGATGATCAGAACTGTGATGGCCAGTGGGCACTCCTCAGTCACCATCCTCCCACCAAAACCGATGGTCACCTGACATTAGAAACACAGCTGGTAAAAAAGGTACACTGTGATATCTTATTAGTTGGCATTACTCAAACATGCTTTTTTATTTCAAAGAATGACCCAAAACCCTTTTAAGATTAATATCTATTTCAATTTGTAGGTATCAAAAGAGCAGTCAGCTGTCCAACACGGTTTCAGTCCATCCAGCCAGTTCCTCACCTGCACCTCAATGGAGAAAAGGAATGCTGAGGTGAAGGAGTGAATAGCAGTAACACAGGGAACGTGCCCAGGATCGTGGGGGTCACGTGGCTCCAGGTCACCATGAGCAAAGGCCAGGAGCCACCACACCATGGCGAAGAGCATCCACGAGCAGAGGAATGCTGAAGTGAAGATGAGGAGCGAATGCTGCCACTTGAGGTCCACCATCGTGGTGAAAACATCCTGGAGAAAACGACCCTGAAAAGAAAAATGAGAAAAATTTTATCAAAGCATCAAAAGCATAATACAGACCTTGCTCACTTCAACAAGAATGTGAATAAGCATAGTAATAGAAAAGTGCTGTACTGAGAACGTATTACAATTTATGAAGTAATGACCTCTTAAGTAGAGTACAGTGTTTTACCTGTTCCCGTATATTCTTATGAGCAACATTGCAGGATCCGCTCTTGGTGATGAAGCGAGCTCGCTGTGATTTGGTACGGAAGCGGTTGGGCTGTGTGGCATCTTCAGCCAGTCGTGTCAACAGAAATCCATCGGGCAGCAGGCCTTTCCTGGCCAACATTTCTGGTTTTTCAGAGCTTGACTCTAATAAACTATAAGAAGAAACATTTGACTTAATCCACTGCTGTTAAATTGACTGTAGAATTGTGGCAGAAGGGGCATGAATGTCTAGCTATTGCAATTACAGAGGGCCCAGGGCATGATGGCTAAATTCCTAATAGAAATGATAAATTGTAAAGTTTACATGTAATCTTGCTTTAAAACAAACCAAAAAATAAATAAATAAAATAAATGTTTATGCTACGAAGTTTTAGATCTACTGTGTAAATTTAAAATACTACAGATCACTCTGGAAGATTTGGCTCACTCTTTCTTCTATGTGGTGTCATCAAACAACCTCTAAACAAATGGTTCAACTCTTAAAAACACATGGAAAACGTGAACGAACACGTGATGTTAATTCAACATTTGATGTTATAAAGACAGACAAAACAGCTGAACATCTGCCCAGAGAGAGCCTTTAATACGACTCGCTGTAGCCCACCAACCAAACGTAACGTAAGGTAACAACATTACAACGACAAAGTCCAGGTTATAATCCCAATAGCCCGGCTGCTACCAAACAAAATCGTCTGCTAGCCGTTGTGTGTCTCATTGCCGTCATTGGTTTCTCTAAGATACATCGTTGACCAGCTCGCCGCCATTCGGCACCACAAAGCACGGATGATAATAACGTGACGTTTTTTTTCTCTCTTTCGTTAGCTGGCGATGCTAAACCGATATGCGCAACAAAATGCACCTCGAAGGATTCAGATAAAAAATATACAGGTAATAATCATCGTCAAAGATACATTACCTTGCTGGAGGGCTCCGTATGGAGGATGCTATCTAGCTGGACATCTTATGCAACGCATCTGTGTTGAGCCTGAGCAGCAGCGGCGGGCTGAGCGGAGCGCAGCAGCTCCCCATTACAGCCTTAATGAGAGGACGCAGCCAGGAGGACCAACATATCCCACAGTCCTCTGCGCCCGTTCGCTCACAGGATCTGTGAGACCGTTCGTGTCTGACGTGTTTTGGGCCGTAATGAAACTGTCTTGTCTGTTTGTGTACATTTAGCTCTCGGGTTTGTTTTTAAGGCCCGTTTTCAGTCAGACCTCTGCTTGGTCTCGGTGTTTTGTCTCTGCGGGACTCTTACGGTAAAGCGTCTCTCCGTTAAGATGGCTGATCACTGGAACAGGGGTGAGTCAGTGACACGTCGCAAGCAGTTTTTAAAGTTGGGAAGAAGGGTTTTGCCATTTTAATTCAAACTGAGATTTCGAGTTAAATGGTATGAATAACGACCAGCTGTTTAAGAGTAATGTTTACTGAGTCGTACAGAGGGGATAATGGAGTGCCTTTAACTTTCCGTGTTGCTCATGTAAATGTCGTGCCACTCTCTAATGTTATGCGCATTTATAATAGTCTGTTAGCTGTGTCAACACTGCTGAGCTTGTGAGGATCCTGTTGTCATGCGGCCAGGTTCGCTCGGAAAGGCAGTGCTCCTAGTATGAATAGTTAAAAGGGGAAATCCACCGAATTTTATCGAGAGTTCTGCCTAATTTAATCGTTGAGATGTAAACAAAGTAATTCAGAGTGAATTGATGTGAAGTGGTTCATTTTAGGAAAACTTACAGAATCAGAACTTCCTTCTTTACAGTGGTGCTGAGAGGAACCGGGAGTGTTAATGTTTACAACACAAATAAATGAATACATATATATGTGTATATGTGTGTGTGTGTGTGTGTGTGTGTGTGTGTGTGTGTGTGTGTATAAAATATAATCCAAAATTACCAGTTCTGGATTTATATAATGGACATATTTTAGGTGAACTGTGAGAGTTTCCACAGATCATCACTTTTTACCTCTTTTGAGAATTAAAGGTACAGTGTGTAAGATGTGGGAGATCTGTTAGCAGAAGTGGAACACAGTATACAAAATCCTGTTTTAATTAGTGTATTATCACCTGTGTTTTCATTAGCTTAGAATGAGCCCTTCATATCTACCTAGGGAGCAGGTCCTCTTCCTACAGAGGCCGCCAATGGAAAACATAGAAAGAAGAAGAATCAGTGGTTGCTGCCGGCTAACTATTTTGTGTTGTGATCATTGATTTAAAAACTTCCCATCTAAGTCTACTTGAGAACTGTTTGAGAATATCAAAGTATTTTCAACATGTGAAATATTGAATGTTGACCTCCAAATTGAAAATTGTATTTAACCTAAAAAATATCATAAGAGTTATTTATGGTCGCTTCAAGTTCCTGCTCTTCTTATCCTGTCATTCTAGGACATGGTGCTGTCGATGATATGTTGGATGCAGAAAACAAACGCATGGCTGAAAATCTTGCAAGCAAAGTATCCAGACTGAAGTCGGTATGTCAATCACTTAATATCAAAAACATCTGGCTGACAGATAACATCCTGTGTTCACAGGCCACAATATATGTATTTCTTTTCATTCACAGTTGGCATATGACATTGACAAAGACGCTGAAGAACAGAATTCATACTTGGACGGCATGGTATGTGCTATACTCTGATTAACCTTAAGGTATTGTGTACATGCAGAGTAACTAGTCCTAATTCAAATGCAATAGTGTGATATAGTCCAAGGTTAGACAAAATATATGCAGAAAAAAATGGTCCTTGGAGTTGATTTTATAATACTTTTTATCATGGTTTCATGCTATAGAACTGTGAGACATATAAAAACCTTTAGCAGCACAGTCATTTGACCCATTATGTTCCTTCAGGACTCAAACTTCCTCAGTGCAACTGGACTGTTGACGGGGAGTGTGAAGAGGTTTTCCACAATGGTCCGTTCTGGCAGAGATAACCGGAAGATCCTGTGCTATGTGTCCATAGGCCTAGTCCTAATGTTCTTTGTGCTTTACTATCTAGTCAGAAGAATACAGAATTGACAGATATTTTCCTAACATTTTCTATTATTTCTCTTCTCAGTTTTATGAGAAAAATATTGTTTTGTATGAATGCAGTACTTCATTCTTGTTTACACAAGAAAACGTTTTTACTGATGTGCTCAGCTGGCATCGCCCTGGTACATATAAAGAGAAAGATTGAACAGAAAGATCGTTGATTGGAGATGCTTGCTCACTATAGTAATCTTGCTTTGCTTGTATTACAGTTATAGCATTAAAAATATATAAAAAAATAACATGAATACTCGGAGGACCAGTTTCCATTACTTCAGTCTTTTCTAATAATTTCTGTACATACAAAAGTGACTCATGGGTGTGAGGACTAAAATTCCGTATGGCTGGACTATGTTTGTACTAATAGTTGAGTATGTGACTAAGAATAGAGTTATCTTGTTTATTATTAATATTAGAGATGTTACTGCCCTGCGATGGACTGGCGACCTGTCCAGGGTGTATTCTGCCTTCTGCCCAATGACAGCTGGGAAAGGCTCCAGCACCCCACCGCAACCCAGAAGGATAAGCGGTTTAGATGTTGGATGGATGGATTAGAGATGTTACTAAAATGACCTTTTCTGTTATTCAATAAAATTTCTTTTAAACATCTTTTTTACATCTTGTGCAATTATATCGATTTTGTTCTTGTACATTCATGACAGTCTTTATCTAATTCTTGATTCAGTACTATAAAATTTTTGTGGTCACAAGGAAAAAATGTAAGGTATGTTTGAGTGGAAAAAAAATCATATAAAGTGCACCTCCACATGATACATACACAAAACAGCTCTTTTTACCATATACTGACGTGAGTCCCATAGTATTATTTGAAATGGCAGTGAAGCTTGAAAACTAATGCCGAAGATGGAGACAACTTTACTTTTGTTCCTTCTTACCACTTTCTCATTCATTACTACCCTGATAGTCTAATGATATAACACTCAACTTCTGGTTACTCTTGAAAGTACAATCACCCAGCACTTTATGAAGAACACTATACTAATACTAGCTCTACACACTTCATAATTCATCCGGCTGTTTTTGTCAGCAGTCACATGATCAATCAATACAAAGTAAGGTAGTTCCTTGGGCAGCCATACATGCCCACACCGATGAAGTGGTATTGTTTAGATCATGAGCAGTTCTTTCCTTTCTCCATACTCTTCTCTTCCCATCATTCTGGTACAAGTTGGCCTTTGTCTCATCTGTTGTTGCAGAACTGCAAAAGCTTTTTAGATTTTTTTTGTTGTTGTTGTTAAACTTGTCTGGTCTTCCTGTTTTTGAAGCTTATTAATGGTTTATATAATTTGGTAAACCCTCTGTATTTACCCTGGCGAAGACTTTTCTTTTTTGTGAAAATATTTTTATTAAGCATTTTCAGTACAAAAATAAACAATCCAACAAATGAACAGACAAACACAAAGATGCACAGTTAATTAAATAAATTCAGTTAGACAAGGTCCTGTCCCAGACTTTTTTTAACAGAAACAGTTGCTGCAGACCAAGAGGCCACAGTATCAATCTTTGACGAGGAGTGTGAAGAGGTTCTGCACAAAACTACTTTCTTCACTGCTGTCAGAGGAGCCATTACTATTTTCTTTTGAGTGGTTTTCAAGTTAAGTATTGAGATGTCTGTTATGAAGGGTTTTTTTTGCTACCAGGGAAAATATTCTGTCATCCAGCACAGTTATTTTGTATGGACTTAAGGCCTTTTGGTGTTTCCGAGCTCACTAGTGCATTCTTTCTTTTTAAGAGTGTACCAAATAGTTGATTTGGCCACACCTCATGTTTTTGCTGATGGGTGTGGTTTGATTTGGACCAGAATCTCAAAGGAATGTTTCCAACACCTTGTGGAATCCATGTCATGAAGAATTAAGGCTGTTTTGAGAGTAAAAGGAGGCCCTACCTATGTTAGGGCTATGTTACCTGCTCAGACTCAGCCAAATGCTTCAAAACTAATTGGGCAGCGCTTCATAGTACAGATGGACAATGACACGAAGCACAGAGTGAAACCAACCCAGGACTTTTTTGAGGTAAGGAAGTGGAATGATTCGCAATGGCCAAGGCAATCACCCAACCTCAGTCCAATTTAGCATGCACTTCTCTTACTGAAGGCAAAACGGCCCAAGAACGAGCAGGAACTGAGGACAGCCTCGGTGAAGGCCTGGCAGAGCATGACCAGGGAAGAACCCAGCGTCTGGTGATGTCTATGGATTTCAGACTTCAGACAGTCATTGACTGTCAACCAAGTATTAAAAATGCCATTTTAATTTATGATTCACCATTAACTTCACCAGTTACGTGGTGGTGGTGTTGTGTTGGTACAAGTGGATCAGCTGGAGTTTTTAAACACCTCAGTATCACTGCATTGCTGAGAATGATCCACCACCCAAAAAATACCTGCTCTGTGGTGGTCCTGTGGGGGTCCTGACCATTGAAAAACAGGGTAAAAGGGGACTAACAAAGTATGCAGAGAAAAGATGGACTACAGTCTGTAATTGTAGGACTACAAAGTGCACCTATATGGTAAGTGAACAATGAGCATAGAAACAAAGAGGTGGTTTTAATGTTACGGCTGATGAGTGTATAAACACAGCATGTGCAGATGAAGATGTGAAGAAGAGAGCAGTGGAAGTGGGAGAGTTCTTTATTTGGGAGGATTGAGACCTGTGATAGTGAATAATATAAGATTATATCAAATAAGATTAATGAGATACAAGACAAATGTATTCATTGATGATGACGAATTTCCCTGTTCGTCTTTTATAGCTGAGTTACAAGACTGACTCTGATTTTTCCTGATTGATCTGTCGGTCAGTGGTGCCCCGGGTCTATAGGGGGCGCTACTGCAGACAGCAGAGCGAGCTTGTGGACTCGGTCCAAAAAGTTCATTTCCATCCGCCACCACTAGCAGAATAGCGGCTTTGTGGAGGAGCTTCTGGAGACAGACGAACGGTGTAACGCTGCCGTGGTGAAGCGAGGAGAGACTGTTATTCACACTAGTTATCTTGATGTCTACCGAGGCTGAGCCGACACAGGCCGTGGAGGAGGCGAGCACGGAGGAGCAGCAGGTGAGCTCGGCGGTACACGCCGCCAGGCCAACGCTAAGACACAGGCTAACGCTAGCGTGCTAACGGTTTTCATACTGACATTTCCGAAGCCTCACTTTAAATGCACGTCTTTGTAGCTAAACTGACTGTGCGGTACAGAGTTGAAAGTGTGTTTAATAGAAGCTCGTTTCTTTTTGCGTATTGTTGATTTAATGCTAGCGAGGAAGGTTAACTAGGTGTCTTATCTGTCTGTGTGGGTTACTGCCTGTCTTGCTAGCTCTGAGGGGGAGACCTGCGCCTGTTCGCAGTTTATCAGCTGCTGTGCTGTTTAGCGGCTGTTTTGTTGTCGTTTACGGTGTATTTCTTTGCTGTGTACTCAGTGAATGTGTTTTTACATTCTCATGTTGAACAGGAGATGGATGACACGGTTGTGAGTCCTGAGAAAGCAGAGGAAGCCAAACTGAAGGCTCGATACCCGCATCTGAGGACTAAGCCTGGTGGCTCAGATCTTCTGAGGAAGAGGCTTCAAAAAGGGGTAACGTTACGTTCTCGTTTTTCTTCTTTATTTATATCTGACGCATCTTTGGAAAAGCTGACCGTGAAATATATTGAAAATTGAAGTGTAGTCTGAATGGGATGTTCTGTCTTTCTGCAGCAAAAGTATTTTGACTCTGGGGATTACAATATGGCCAAAGCCAAGATGAAGAACAAACAGCTCCCCACAGCCACTGCGGAGAAAACGGAGATCACTGGAGACCACATCCCCACTCCTCAGGACCTGCCCCAAAGGAAGCCCTCGCTGGTGGCCAGCAAACTGGCCGTCTGATATGAACTTTGTGGACTCTGTCCTCTTACCATTCCTGGTGTCTTGATCTCCCTTTACCTCCATTTTCTGTGTTCTTGTTCTTCTTCCTGTCACTCTTTTTACCTTTCTATTGCCTCTTTGATTGCTCTGAAGAAAATGCATTTTGATAAAGGAAAAAAAATAGGACACTTGTTTGTTTGCTGCTGGGTGCTCTCTTTACGTGTTCATCTGTGGAAATGAGGTTTTGGCTGTAGATTTAGTTACAGAGTCTACTCCCAGGTTTGAACATACTGTAAGCTGACTGAAGCAAGTGAACATTTTTTAGGGTTTTACATTTTTATGCACTCATTCTCCTGCAGTGGTTCATGTACAATATGTTGTTTGATTAATAGATTTGAGCGGACTTTGAACGGTGACCGTGTCCTTCTCATTTGTCAAAACTATGTCTTGTGAGACACAGAGGTTTTTTTTGAGGCGTGTTGCTTGCCTCCTGCCTGTGACTTGGGGGGATATGGCCTTAATGGTATCTGCCACAGTTTCTCTTGGGCAATATTTGTCCACTCTGAGAGGGGAGCCGTTTGAGGCTTCAGAGCTTGAAATGCTATGTCTCTGATGTCTCTTTCCTTCTTCATCATTTAGGTCATCTACAAGGCGCTCAAATAATATCCAAACTGTGCACAAGCAATTACTGTCACGGCTGTGCCATTTGTTTTGTAAATAAAATAGTTTTGCACAATATCTGGCAGATCTGTTTCCTCTTTTGTTATCCTTCTATCTGCATGTTTACTTAGAGAACACCATGCTGCTGAAGAGCAGTGCTTTTGGAATAAGTCATTTGAGTGACTGCATTGAAACCAGTTTATTTTGATAAAAAATGCATGAGAAGAAACTTTTTTCTTTTTTTTTTTTTAAAAAGACTCGTTTGGTTTTCAGGATAAACACTATCATTTACTATTTTGTGCCTTTTTGTTTCCCAACTATGCTGTTACACAAAGCAGCACAAGAATATGTCAGTAGTTGTTAGTCTGTCCTGATTATATCACTCGTATCTTGATGAGAAACTTATAGTTTGTTTAACTTACTTTAAAAAGAGGTTGACTTCTGATGGTGTCAAACCTTTTTTTTCCAATTAATCCATTTATGTCCAACAACTACATTTTAAAACTATTTGTTTTGGGAGGGCCAAACAGCAGTGGGCCTCATTCACCAATATCTTCCTAGTTTTTTCCTTAAATTCGTTCTTGAGAAAGGTCCTAAGAAAAAGTCTACGTCAAATTCGTGACATGTTCTTAAACCGCAGAGCTGTTCGCATCTTTGTTCTCTTGAGTGTGTGTAGATTCTGTTCTTACCTAAGAACAAATCCCAAATAAGAAAACACTGGTGAATGTCAGAATATTCGTAAAAACTATGTAAGTGGGTTTTGAGAAGAAATTTCATCTTAAGAATGGTTGGTGAATGAGGCCTATTTGTGTTTGTTTTTAAAAATTGAAATTTGAATTGAATGTTTTTTCATAGTATTGTCATAACATTACACTGTATTTTGTTACTAGAATACTTGAACACAATTTTAAAAGGGACAAAACATAAATTTAATAAGTATATAATGTTAGTATACATGTCTATACCGATGTGTATATGTGTATGTGTGTGTGTATATATATATATATATATATATATATATATATGTGTGTGTGTGTGTGTGTGTATAGAGAGTGGGTGAGGTGGCTTATTGACAGGCCAAATCAGAACTTCAGTCCTATTTCAAAGCTAAGAAATTTTGTTTTGAATGAGTGCTTCAAAGCAATTTTTTGGATTACATGTAAATTTAATATTGATTTTTAATCACAATCATTTTTTTATTGTCACTATTGTTTTGTTATCGTCTCATGTGACCATAACACTACATTTAGTATGCTAAAGTAAGGGATTAAAACTCACTCTTTAGCTACATGGTTTGATTAATTTGGGAAGAAAAATCGGTGTGCTCAGGCAAACCAATGACCAGTGGGCCAATGGACATGTACAGTTTCAGATATGAACATTAATGAGTTAAAACAGCCTGAATTGCACTGAATCTCTGAGCGACCCCAGCCTCACCAATCAGAGCGCTGGAGTAGAGAGTGGAGCTCCTTTCCGCCAGCAGGTGGCGCACTTTCTCCTGGCGCCTTCAGAACGGTAGCGGTTTATCTCCTACTACCTACCTATGTACCCACAATGCCTTAGACTCCGGCAAGGAGGATTTACAACCTCCTGAAGGCGGAGGCGTGTTGAAGGACTGCTGTCGGTGCTCGGCTCTGCTGGAGTCTCTCGCCTCATGAAGCGGTTTAGCCTCAAATAAGTTGTATTAGTTTTAAAGAAGCGCGATGGCAGCCGCGCCGGCGCTTTACTCGAAGGTAACACTACTGCACTCCTCCTCCTCCTCCTGTCACCATCTGTCCGTTAGAGAGACTCTCTACATTGTTGCTCGCTGTATTTGGCTCTGGTCTACTTCAGTGGCGCTAGTTTAGACGTGGTAAATGCGGTTAAAGTACTTTATAAGTCACTTTTTTAGTTGAGTTATGTTTTTTGGTCCATTATTAAAGGCGGAAGGATTACAACGGACATGTATGGCTAGTGTGTGATTAGCTTAATTCGTACTAAACCTCGCGTTAAACGCGGACTTTAGCAGTCATGTAAAGCTATACGGTGCTGACTGTGTAGTGTGTGTTACTGACACCCTATGAGAGCAGTTTGGCTTGTGGTGAAGTAAGACTTCAGTACAGCAGCGAAGAGGACAGGCTAGCCCCCTGAAAGACAGCCCCAGAGTCTTTAGTGACCATTCAGTCTACCTTCACTCACTTCACCTCAGGAGCATTTCGATAGAGTGGCATATTAAATCTGAATGTTTTCAGATGATTCTCCTTATACTTTCTTGATTTATACATATATACACATTTAAAAAGGTGCTACCAAGGGTTCTTTGGTCTGTGCTATAGAAAAACCACTTTTGTGTCCTGAAAGAACCGTGTTTGAAGAGATTTGTGAAGGTAAAGAACCTCTTAAAGGGCTAATTAACCTTCACATAATGTAACCTAAAGGTTCTGTCTCCATTATGTGGAGGTTCTTTAAACTTCGAAAAGGTTTTTCACATCACATTAACAAAAATGGTTCTCTAAACAAAGAACCATCCACTGAAAAGTTCTTTAGGGAATCAGAAGTGGTTCTTTAATGGCATCCATCAAAGAACCCTTTCTGGCACCTTTTTTGAGAGTGTACTTTTTACATGTTTAGCTTTGTCCCGTTCTGCTGGTGACAGAACCTGGACTGCTTTTCTATTATTTGCGCTTCTCTGGAGCTTTAGCGCTTTATTTTAGACCAAAAGTGTCGGTAAAATAGCACATGAACTTCATATTGCTGGTAGATGCTGGCTGTGCAAAGAAGTTCCACTGTAGTTCTGGTGGGAACTCAGTCCTCTTTAAACTGATGCTTGTATTTACTTCTCTAGTCGTTTTTAATAGTTGCTTTATTTCTTCTTCATTCATTATTTGGATGGCTTCTCTGTCCTGCTTTGTCAATCAGAACTATGTCTAAGATGTCGAAGGGCATTTAGCTAAAAACCTCGTGAACGTTTTCCTCCTGTAGTTTGCTCGGGTCTGGATTCCTGATGCTGTGGAGGTGTGGAGATCAGCAGAGCTCACCAAAGACTACAGCCCTGGAGACGCTGCTCTACAGCTACAGCTTGAAGATGGCACAGTGAGTTGGGGAGAAGAAAGCTACATTGTCTTTTTTTTTTTTAAAGCCAGTTGATAAATGCTGTTCTTGATGCACATAATTGTCCTGTGTTGACTGATCTAGGATGAGCTAATGAAACCTGATTCTACAACTCGATAGAGAGAGAACTATTGATGTTGGCTTTTCTTATTAATCATATCTTTAATACTTTTCATAATGAGTCGGTTTTGACTAGTGTGGCTGAGCGCTTGCTTTGCTCCTACTCCGGCCTACTCTTGTGAGTGCAGGGAAAATATGATGGCACCAAATAAGTCATTTTATCCATGCTGAAAGGGAAGATGACACAAAAGTGACGAAACGGATGTCACGAGGAGCAGGGTGGAAACGGTGATTTAGTTTGGAGTTTGCACATTTGACAAGAATGAGCAAGAAATGAATTATGAAAGATGGCAGGAAATCTGGGTGTGTGCATCCTCACAAATCGCTGGGCACTGCACTCACTCGTTAGTTTCCAACTGGCTTAGGAAACACTCATCAGCAAATGGAGGTGATGTATGTACTGCAATGAAGAAGTTGAGACTTGTGTTCCTGTCATGCCTGTAAAGTGCTGTAAATTTATCTGTGTCTGCAAATGTGCTGCTGATAAGTAAACCGCTTTGCATGTTGTACCCAAAACTTAACTGCCCACTGAACTGCGCCTGCAGACGAGATGCACTCTGCTGGAGCTCACTGGAGGTCACTCCATAAGTAGTGAAGTTGCATAACTAATTTCATAAATCGTACAAAAAAAAGTATAGTGTTCTAGAAATACTGATGATGCCTGCAATGTAACAAGTTTAGGAGAAGTTGTCACAACTCAGCAAAATGTTTTGTAAAATTGAAAAATGTAATTTATCCTGCGATATTTGTATCGTAGGATGTTTACAATGATAATGTTGTATTGCCCAGACTGCTTACCTATTGCTGTGATTTTTATTTTTTTTTTTCCCCCACAGGAGTTGGAGTATAAATTAAACCCCAAAGACAACACCCTACCCCCTCTCCGCAACCCAGACATCCTGGTGGGTGAGAATGACCTGACAGCGCTGAGCTACCTGCACGAGCCTGCTGTGCTGCACAACCTGCGTGTCAGATTCATTGACTCAAAGCTTATCTACACCTACTGTGGTGAGGCATCAACTGGGCTGTAGCCACATAGGCTTGAGCTCCGTGGACTGTAGACTTTGGAGTTACATTATTACACACTGTAGCTGTGTATATCACACGACACAGCAGTCCTGTGAACTGTAAAGTTTAGTTTGCCTTCAGATATCTGAGTGTGTAGAGATCCGCAGTGGCAGTAGAGCGGTGTAGTGAAAGTGAAGTCATAGTCAGTGTAGAGGAGGAATCTCAGGGTGGATCAGAAACTGAAACTGGAAATGGAAGTCTAGCCAGCTGTATCTGTGAACTTACATCACATTTCAGTCTTATGTCACTGAAATTTTCCTGGAGGAAACCTGTTTTTTTAAATGTCTTCTTCTAATTAGGTATCATCTTGGTGGCCATTAATCCTTATGAGTCTTTGCATATCTATGGAGAAGATATCATCAGTGCATACAGTGGGCAGAATATGGGGGACATGGACCCTCATATTTTCGCTGTGGCTGAGGAAGCCTATAAACAGATGGCCAGGTTTGATACGTTTTAGCTCTTTATGTTGTCTTCCTGTTAGGGTAGAGCATGGGTACAACCTGGACCTGGATAAGTTGATGACTGTGTTTCTTTTTTTCTTGTAAGAGATGAGAGGAATCAATCTATCATAGTAAGTGGAGAGTCAGGAGCAGGGAAGACTGTGTCTGCTAAATATGCTATGCGCTACTTTGCAACAGTCAGCGGCTCCTCCACGGAGGCCAGTGTTGAGGAAAGAATATTGGCTTCCAGTCCAATAATGGAGGTATGTTTTATATTAATCTGCTTATTTAAGTAGTTAAAAAACAAAGAGTGATTACAGTGATGGCTTGCTGTCCTAGGCCTTTACAGACCTGCCCCATTTCACATTTCATTACAGATAATGAAAATTGTGAATGTATTCTGAATAACTTGGAATGCAGCCTGAACTTACACTGTTTTGTGTAAATGTCACCAATGCCTTTATATCTAGGCCATTGGAAATGCCAAGACAACCAGGAATGACAACAGCAGTCGCTTTGGGAAATACATAGAGATTGGATTCGATAGGAAGTATCACATCATCGGTGCTAACATGAGGACGTACCTTCTGGAAAAGTCCAGAGTGGTGTTTCAGGTCACTGCTTTAATTTACTGACTTTTTTTTTCTTTTTTGGAACTCTTCTCTTTCAAAATATGAGTTTTCTCTCAGTCTCACTGTTCTTCAGTCAAAGATCTGGCACTCTCATTTGTGATTCAGCCTCACATAGACACAAAAATACCTCACTAAGGACTTTTTTCAGCTAGGAGCTTGTCATCATGTCTCGTGTTGGGCATCTTCAAGAGGAAGGCCCTTTTTTTACGGAATCTTTCGGTTCTGCTTTTAGTGAAATTATTGAAGAATCCCAATAATTCTAAAAAAATGCGAGTGTCTCTTGTACTATTAAAATTAGTTCTGTAAGCGATTAAGGAGAACCCACATTTGGCCAAATCAAAAACTTTAGAGATTCCTAAACTGCCTAACTTGATATAATTTAACAGCACAAATTCTATTTGTATTGTGCAGTTTTAAACAAAGAAAAATTGCTGACGGACTGACGAAACAAGGTCACCAATAGTGGTTCTGTAATAAAGCTCTATTATATCATATTTGTATCTCAGTAGACAATGTCTGTACTTAAAGGTTCTGTCCAAATGCTGTGTTTTGGAAAGCTCAGAGGAAATGTGGCAATAATAACCCAAGTTGAATTTAGCATTTTAGAAATTGAAATGCGTAATTTGTTGAGTGCTAGCTTTCTCATCGTCTCCAGCAGCACCGATCATATACTGATAAAAACAATCACTGATAAGCACTGAGCTAAGATTTGGAAAATTGGTTGAGATGTCAAAGTAAGACTAGTGCTTATTTTTTGCCTGTAAGCATGACTTTCCAGTCTCTCACATTAAAAGAAATCCCACAGCTATAATTTTAGAATGGTGGTTTGCTCTCTATCACCTGCTCTTTAACAAAATGTTCTGTTTCCCCATTGCAGGCAAGTGAAGAGCGCAACTACCACATCTTTTACCAGCTCTGTGCCTCTACCCATTTACCTGAATTCAAAGCTCTGCAGTTAGGTATGCGGCTGTTCTGTCTGACCTACAGGAATGCATAGCCTTTGGCGACCAGAGAGATTTTTTAGGCCCTTCGTTTTAAGAAAATTCTTGTGCACTCATACACTAGGAATACAATAACCTCAAACGATATTTTGTTGGTGGAAGAAAGTGATCACTTGTAATATCTGTGGTAATAATCTCGGTTATTTGTAATCCTCACTTTTCCTGACAGTAGTCAATTCTGCCATGATTTGTGTGAGTGATAAATACGGCTAAGAGTAGATCAACACTTTCTTGTTTGGATTCTATAGACTGCTTTCCATCATGCATGCCATGTTAACTTGTGCTCAGATCTGTTGCTCAGTTAATCAGAAATACTGCTGGAGATATAGGCAGTCTAGGAGGTTGTTTTATCCAGTGCATCAGCTTGGACTAGTTAGACTTCTTTGCCAGTTCTATCTGAGTAACCAGCCTCTCTCTGAAGGCAGCACGGATGAGTTTCACTACACTAACCAAGGCAAAAGCCCTGTCATAGATGAAGTGGATGACGCTCAGGAAATGCAAACCACCCGGAGGGCTTTCTCGCTTCTGGGTAAAAATACTCTCACTTTTTCTCTGTTATAGTAGAGCTGTTTGCAGCTGATGTGGTTTTTGTAGTCTCATAGTACAATAACCTAGAATAATATTAGGTTAATTGCATTCATGTGAGGAAAATTTGTTTTCACATTAATCTTTTTTTTTCCTTTGCAGGAATTCATGAAAGACAGCAGATGGATTTGTTCCAAATCTTGGCCGCAATTCTTCACCTTGGCAATGTGGAAGTGACTGGGAGAGGCTCAGGAAATTGCAGTGTTTCTGTGAGTTTGGGGCAGAGAATACAGCTGCACCACTGAACATGCAGCATAGACCTTTATGGTGTGTATGGTGTTGTAGAACAATATTTTAAAGCGACAGTTTGGTAGAAATTCAAATTTACATGATTTCTCCCTTAACCAACAACACATGCTGTCAGCTAAGACATGTTTGGTGTCTGAAGTTTACTTCTTTAGTTTTGCATGCTTTGTGACTTATGTAGCTAACAAGGAAGTACAGCTCCTACCCCACAAGTTAGCATTATGTAACCTGCATGCCGAAATCATCACAGACTTACCCTTCAGACCACGTACACTTGTTAATTAATCTGAAATAGACTTGCTTTTATGGTTTCAAACACTGTTGTCAATAAGAATCTATACAATATCTATAAAACATTTCATTGCAGAGCTAAAATTACTAATCTTGAGGCCTGCTATTTTATTTATTTTTCTCTGTATCCATTTCAGGCTGAAAACTGTTACCTGACTGTGTTCTGTGAACTGATGATGGTGTCTTGTGAGTCCATGGCCCACTGGTTGTGTCATAAAAAACTGAAAACAGCCACAGAAACCTTGAACAAACCTTTGGCCAAAACTGAGGCTGTGGATGGCCGTGATGCATTGGCAAAACATATCTATGCTAGACTTTTCAACTGGATAGTCAGCCAGATCAACAAGGCTCTGCGTTCGTCTAGCATGCAGCACTCCTTCATTGGGGTGTTGGACATCTATGGGTATATAAAGGATTTTCACATGCTTGCATCATTAAGTACAGTTTTATTTTGTAATTGTGAGCCATTTGTTGTGCTGACAAGTCGTATATTTTATGGTCCAGGTTTGAAACATTTGAAATCAACAGCTTTGAGCAGTTTTGCATTAACTATGCCAATGAAAAGCTCCAGCAGCAGTTTAACTTGGTGAGTGTGGCATGTGTTGTGTGGCGTTTCTTTGCTCCGCATGAATGAAAACGTTTACTATTTCCAAAACACCTCAAGCCTGTTTGTATCATTGCTTAGCCAAAACGTTCTCTGTCCAGCACGTGTTCAAACTGGAGCAAGAGGAGTACTTGAAAGAACAGATCCCTTGGACACTGATTGATTTCTATGACAACCAGCCATGCATTAACCTGATTGAGGCCAAGATGGGGGTGTTGGATCTGCTTGACGAGGAGTGCATGGTAAGCATTCATTCATTAATTCATTCATTCTCTGTTTTCTGAGATGCTACATTGTTCACTAGTTCATTCTTGCATTAGGTATTTTAATAAAATTAACAAGTTCTGATAAATGCTTAAATAAATGAGTGCTATGTTTTATCATTAGTGTGGTCATTTTCATTTCCTATCCTGCCACAATCTCTGCAGATGCCAAAAGGATCGGATGACTCGTGGGCTCAGAAGCTCTATAACACCCACCTGAAAAAGAGTGCTCATTTTGACAAACCACGCATGTCTAACAAGGCCTTCATCATCCATCATTTTGCTGACAGGGTGCGTAAACATGTCAGCATAAACCAGATAAAAAAATTCTTGTTTTCTGGCTTTTCTGTATTGCTTTTTTTCTGTCTTTGATTCTGCTTCAGGTGGAGTATCAGTGTGAGGGGTTTCTGGAGAAAAACAAAGACACGGTGAATGAGGAACAGATAAATGTGCTGAAGTCGAGTAAGGTTTGTGCAGCCCAGCATGGCACTCCTAGATTCTTTATGCAGCCATCATGTAGTTCTGCTTGGAGGCTTTGCTGAGATGAAGTTTGAGGAACATGCTGCAGCTTGTGGGTTTTTTTTTGCTGATGTGTTAGCTGTTGGATTCCACTTTGTGTTGGATGGATTCCTCCCTCCTGGAGTGCCTCCTCATTCCTAAACCATTGCCATCTGGTGTTCACAGTAAAAGCAAAATAAAAGATATAATAATAAATAAATTAAGAATATACTTGGCAAAATTGGTGCAATTATTGCTATTTCACTCTATACCATTTCTTTGAAGGGGGTTCTATATATTCTAATATAGATAGGGAAGTAATCTTTTTAGAAACATTGTATGTAATGAATTACGTTACCCACAGTGGGTTATGTAATAAGACCAGGATGTGTTTTAAAGGGCGCATATCATGGAAAACTGCATTTCCTTGGATTTTTAAATAAAGAGTTTGATGTAGTATGTAAAGTTTGTTGAAGTTTTAAAAGGTTCTGTATGCTTCCCAGGTCATATGTGGAAACTGTGCTGTAGATACAGTTCGTTTTAAACTCATTGTTTTTGTGATGTCATGAGAACCAGCTAATTTACATATATCCACCTGTTCAGCCTACAGCAGTTTAGAAAAAAAATTAGATTTATTGCTATGCTTAAAGGTATTGACATTTAAGCTGCACTTAATTTTCACATTAAACTATGTTCCAGTGTTAGCATGTGGTGTGAGTTTATCTTTGAATCTGCTCATGTTTTAATGCCTCTGCCTTTACATTCCTCTATTGCAGTTTGCGTTTCTGCTAGAACTTTTCCAGGAAGAGGAAAACACTCCGTGTCCTACGGGCACAGCAGCATCTGGCCGCACAAAGATAGCACGAGTGGGCCAGTCCCTCAGAGAGCACAAGAAATCTGTTGGTTTACAGGTTTGTGGGATGATCTTACACTGACTTTTCATTTTCTTCAATGTCGTTTCATTTCTGTGAGTCTGTTTTTAAAATATCTTGGCTCGATTGAAGTACATTTCTTTTTTACTCTATTTTAGTTGATACATTTTTCATCTCCTCCTTCTGCGTTTTAGTTCCGGAACTCTCTGAATTTGCTCATGGACACCCTGAATGCTACGACCCCTCATTATGTGCGCTGCATCAAACCCAATGATCACAAATCTCCTTTCATGTTAGAGCCCATTCATATTTTCATTTTAGATATGTTACTTCATAAAAAAAATATCTTTTCCTTATTTATTACAGCATGTACACCTCCACTTTGCAGGATGGACCCCAGTAGAGCAGCACAGCAGCTGAGAGCATGTGGAGTTCTGGAGACTGTCCGTATCTCAGCAGCAGGCTTTCCATCCAGGTTCATCTCTCTAAAACAAAAACACTTCACATTGGTTATTACTAAAGGCTTAAAGCAACAGTTTGGTGAAAAAGCACAATTTCCTCCTTAACCCAGATGTATGTAGCTAACAAGTTCAGTGCCATGAAAAACAAAATTTAAATTTTGTTTTGAGATCAGAAACAGTTAAGTGTGACAAATGTGGAAAATGCAAGAAATAAGGAGAGGACAAATACTTTTTCACTGCACTGTAATGAAAGCTTGTACCCCACCAGATAGCATTGTGTCAACTACATAAATCATCACACATACACTTGCTTCAAACTGTTTGAATTGAAGTAATCTCAAACAGACTTTCTTAGGTGAACTTTGACAGTGTATGATATAAGCATGAACAAAGTTCAGGCTTCGAGATGGCTACTACAACTGGTTTTAGTTATGTGACATACTTTTTTGTTAATGGCTTTGTCAGGTGGACATATCAGGAGTTTTTCGTCCGGTACAGAGTGCTGATGAAACAGAAAGATGTGCTCTCAGACAAGAAGCTGACATGCCAGAATGTTCTAGAACAGCTGATACAGGTAACAAAAATGCTGTCATTAAATGTAAATATTATAGGTTTTATTTTTCATTCTTATTTTCAAAATAGCATATGTCGAATGGTCATGTGAAGATTTTATGGACATTGTTTGTCTCTGCAGGACTCGGATAAGTATAAGTTTGGGAAGACAAAGATCTTCTTCAGGGCAGGACAAGTGGCATATTTAGAGAAACTGCGGGCTGACAAGCTTCGTGCAGCTTGTGTCCAGATCCAGAAGACCATTCGCTGCTGGCTCGCTCGCAAGAAATATCTGCGTCTGCGCCGAGCCACAGTCACCATCCAGAGATATGTGCGGGGACAGCAGGCTCGAGCGTGAGTACAGGGAGACTGTTTCGCTTAGTTTTGCGTGTTACTAGTTGTATCTGTATTTTACCGTAGGTTGAGGTTTATTGATATAAATCTCCAACAGCTGAACGAATTAGTAGCAGTTTATTGACTGGTTGATTAGTAACAGGGCTTTCTGTTTGTTCTGGACAGCTTGTGTAAGTCCTTACGGAGGACAAAGGCAGCTGTGGTCATTCAGAAGTACCAGCGTATGTGTGCAGCCAAGCGACTGTACCAGCGGAAGCGAGCTGCAACAGTGCTTCTTCAGCGCCTGCTACGCGGCCACGCTGCCAGACTTCGGCACAGACAGGTATAAAAAGGCTCCCAGTCATTAACATATTCAGCATGATAATGTGAGTGAAGATATAGTTCCAGAGTCAGTTTTCTGGATGCAAATTATGTCTTGTGTAGGTAACATCAATAGTGATTTACCATGTGAGAAGACTTTTTATTCTACAGCTGAGCATACTGCCTGTTTTCATTTTCAGTTTTTGTGATGAGAAAATTCCTCACCATTTAATTTATGCTTTTACCTGAGTTTAAGAACTGTTCAATTATTTAAGTTGGCTTGGCATGTTACCATAGCAATGACCTAGCTACACCTTAGCAACCACCTAGAATATTATATACTCAGAAAAAGAGTAGTCTTTTAATGCTCCGTTTTGCTCTCTGGTGACTGATATGGTCATCCAACCGGATGAGTACGACTAATCATTAACACATGTATAACTGGTCCATAGTTGTAACTACTTCAGAATGTTAGAGTTTAAAACATTCCCCATAAACTTACTATGTTCGTGTGTTTCCTGTTTAGCTGCGATATGAGCAGAAGGTGGTGGTGGTGCAGCGCTGGGTTCGTGGCTGGCTGGCGCGGCTGAGGTACAGACGGACCGTACAGGCTGTAGTGTATCTGCAGTGCTGTGTGCGCCGGATGCTGGCACGCCGAGAGCTCAAGAAACTCAAGATTGAAGCACGGTCAGTCGAGCACTACAAGAAACTCAACGTTGGCATGGAGAACAAGATCATGCAGCTGCAGAGGAAAGTGGATGATCAGGTATGTTTCACTGTTCACTGTTCAAAGTAATACCATGGTTTTAAAGATGATATCAGTAAACAAGACTCCCTGCTTAGCCGTAAACTTTCCTGAGTGTTTCACTTGTGATCCTGTCATCAGCATAAGGAGAACAGGGAGCTGTTGGAGCGCTTGATTGTGGTTGAGAGTAGTAGCGCGTCTGAGTTGGAGAAATTGCGCTCCCAGATAGAGGCCCTACAGGGAGTGGAGGAGAACGCTCAACGTCTTGGTGACCAGGTGTCCACCCTAGAAGAGGAGCTGGGATTGACCCGTGAGGAATTGGAGAGGAACAGAAAGGTAGGATGTTCTCTGTGAAAAATGGAAGTGGATTTTGACATTACTCTATTGTAGGTCTGGCAAACTTTACCAGTTAACTTTACAGTTAACTTTAAACATAATAAGACTGTAATAATTTCAATACGGTTTTAAAAAATAGAATTAGAAACAGTCAGAATGTAAAACTGTATTGATGATATGGCCCCTGCCTCAGGGCCAATGCTGTGTACACACCCATGGTTAATTGACTGGACTTTTTTTTCTGTAGTCACTTAAATTCTAAATTTAATTCTTAGGATTGTGATTGTTAGAATGCTGGAGATCGAAACCAATCTGTGTGATATGTATTCTAAAGCTCTAATAGAATCAAGACATTTCTAATACAAAACATCAAAAATCAAATACAGTCTTTACCTGAAATTCATAAATTGCATTGAACTTGAAAATGTGTCATTACACCCTTAAAACATTATTATTCAATAGTGACAAAATGTCAGCTTTTATTAGCATCATCAAACTCTTTCAGTGTTTATAGTAAATGACCAAGATGATGTAGACCAAGTCAGACATTACAGTTTTTCTGGTAATTAAAAAAAACTTGAAAGCTCTTTCCTGAACTTGCTTTTTCAGTTTCCATGGTTTGTTGTGAGTATTTAGAAAATGATTTGAAACTTGTCAAGGTCATTGAAATGTCTCAAAGATAGTCTACAGTAAACACAGTAGTGACTAACACCCAAGAGTTTCTTCTCTGTGGTGTCACAGATGGTTGAAGAGTTGAATGAGAAGAACAGTCTTCTGAAGAGTGAGAAAGATGAACTGAACATGCTGATAAAGGAACAGAGCCAGCAGATTACTGGTAAGTACATGTTTTTGTGGTTTTGTGTTTATGGTCACACCTGGTTAAACATATGATCCCTAAAAATGGAACTTGAGACAGCCAAGACATTCAACAGAAAGGATAAAAACAAGCTTAAAAGAAGTGCACTTGGTAAGTGTGCAGGTGTAGAAACAAAAATTTTCTTGTGGAACTCCTGCTGGACCTGTTGTTGGGGAGATTCACATTTTATGGTCTGAAGATGTTTCTGCTCTGCAGGTTGTTTTTGGCCATGCTAATCTTGCTTGTAATAGAGAATCAATTTAAAAATGTATTTGTTTAAAATTTAGTTTTCTGAGAGTTTCTGGTCTTCGCAGGCCGAATATCTTTTGTCATTTGATGTAAAAGGTAATTAAACTACGCACAGAACAGCATCAGCGTACAGGGTTTTGTGCTCATTGTTGGCTCAGTTATCTGACAGCAAGGGACTTGAAGGGGCATTACAGGAAATGTGTGATAGAGTGAACATACACATTAAATACACAAATCCAGTTTCCTAAAAAAGTTGGGGCAGTAGGTAAAATGCAAATAAAGACAGAAATCAGTGATTTATAAATGTGCTGTGGTCTGTATTTGAACAAAAATGAAGACAAGATATTTTAATGTTTCATCATATCAGCTTCATTGTCTCTTTTGTAAATATGCATTCATTCTGAAATGGATTCCTGCAACGCATACCATAAAGGTTTTTTTAAGACTGGGAAAATGTGAAATGTTTAAAAATCTTGGGTATAAAAGGAGCATCCAAGAGAAACAGAGGCATTTATAAGTAAGGATGAGTCAGTGCTCACCGCTTTGCCAAAAACATGTCAGCAAAAAATACAGCAGTTTAAAAATAATGTTGTAGCCAGGGAGTGCAAGGATTTGAGGGTTTTAACCCTTTTGTGTGCATAATATCATCAGAAGACTCAGAGAATTCTGGAGAAATCTCTGTGCATAAAGGATAAAGCTGAATTGCACTGATGCACGGTGGAAAGGTGTTTTGTGGTCTGACAAATAAACCTTTCAGATTGTTTATGATAAATAATGGATGTTGTCTTCTCTGGTCTAAAAATGAAAAGGACCATCCAGATTGTTACCTGCATAAAGTTTCAAAGCCAGGGTCTGTCTGTCATGGTATGGGAGTTGTACCTAAATATCAGGTTACTTTAAAGCTGTCATTTTTACCCCTACTAAATACACACCTTTTCACAGATGAGCTGCAGAAAGACTATCAGGAGTGCATTGAACATCTGCAGACAGATCTGAATGAAGAGCGGACTCGCTACCAGAACCTTCTGACTGAACACCTCAAACTGGAGGAGCTGCATGCTGATCTGATATCAGAGAGAGAGGCTGCAGCAGTAAGGGCCATGCATTTATAGACATTTATAAAGCACATAATGTTCTGATATTTCTGTAGCCTTAAGGCTGTTGAAAGAAGAGGGGAAAAAATTCCATTGCCTCTGATCTTTTTATTCCCAGAATATGTCCAAACCTGGTCACGTAAGGACAGACTCTGCTTACAGCAGCAACGAATCACAGTATACTCACTGCTCTGAGTTTACAGGGTCAGAAGTCAGCTTACAGGGTCAAGAGGTGAGTGACCATCTGCACTGTTTACCTATTAAGACTAAAACTCTACTTTATGCTTTTTTACATTAACAGTTGCCACTGTACACATATAGAGGAATGCACTACAGATCAGTGCATTTTGTTTCTGAAGGTCATTACTTTTTCATGAAGTTTTGTAAGGAAATAGAAACAGGTTAATATGTGATCACTGATTAGTGCCTGGCAGGAGTTGTAGTCACTCTACAGTGACAGCAGAGTGCAAAGGATGGAGACATCAACACACATAGAAGAATGGAATAGTCCTATTCCGAAAGATGCAGAGAACTTTTCGTCTGCTGTGCTAGCCATTCTTCCTGCTGTGTTCCCCAGGAGGAGCTGCAGGGAGCTGTAGACGTTGCTCTCCTGCTGAAGCTGCAGAGGCGAGTGGCTGAGCTGGAGCAGGAGAAGCTGAACCTGCAGAGTGAATGGGACTCCAGAGAAGAGCAGCTCCAACAGGACCATGTCAAGGTACCCACTCACTGAGGAGAATAGAATTGAGCTGAGAGACCCACTTCTGGAGTTCTCCAGGCTCAAAAAGCATTGTGTATAGTAATTGTGACACACATAGATTTGAGGAAAAATGTTTAAGATAAGGTTTTTCTTTTAATAATTGTATTTCAAAGAAAGATGAAGTTTTTGTTAAATTTGAATAGTTTGATAGTTTGAATAAAGGATCAAAAGGATAAGCTATAAAGAATGTTTTTACAGCCCATTGTGCACATTGTTTACCAGGGGTGCCAATATTTGTGGAGGGCACTATATTACACACAGCATTACAACACATTCTTTTTTGTATTCAGGAACTGGGTGAGTGTCGGAGAACATTAGGAGCTGAGAGAGACTATGAGGCACAGAAGGTAAGTCTATATCTAGGTGTTTATATGGTACCTGCAAGCCAAGTTTAAGACGGGTATAGCTCATTGACTAGAGTAGTAGTAATTTTATTAGTATTACATCATTTGGCTGCGGCTTTTGACTACTTTGGCTGCCGGTTGGGACCCTTACCCTTGAGTAATCTGTATATAAACGCCTCACTCAAACCAGAAAAAAATCATATTAGAGATGCTACCATCCAGGCTAAAGTGTTTTGACTGCTGAAATAGCATAAATTGTCTGGTGTTTCACTTCCACCAGCGGCAAGAGCTGGAGTCAGACAATAAAAGACTGAAGAAGGACCTGAATGAGCTGCGAGTGTCTCTGAGTCTGGGGAAAGGATCAGGGCGGGCATCCCCTGGAGCCCCAGCCTATAATGTTCTCCTTGAGCAGCTAAGCTCCATCACTGAGGAACTGGAAATCCGAAAGGAGGAGGTGCTTCTTCTGCGCACTCAGCTGGTCAACCTGGAGGCCTTCAAATATAAGGTGAAAACATGAAACAGAGACAGATGTACTCACTATTTACATACACATAAATTCTATTTGTATTATTTTGTTTATTGGGTTAAATTCTAATAAGCATTCAATTGACTACGGGGCGAAACTATGTAGTGTGTTCTTTTTATGCAGAGGCAAAGTGTGAGAAAGCAATAAGACTAGCTCTTTATCTTAAAGTGGTCTGTAGGAGAGCCTTAACGATGTCACACATTGCACGTGCACTGCTAAACTGTGCTATGAAGCAAGACATCAGGCTGATGAGATACAGAAGTTGGTGATATATAATTACTGCACTGCCCCATTACTTTTCACAAGCCCAGTATTTCTTCCACTTCCTTATTGGCTCATATACAGTACATTTTGCTGTTTCAGGAAGCAGCAAGTGAAGGCGACTCTGGTGAAACCAGTAGGTATGTCCTCCACCACATACTCCTAACTAACCAGTTACCACATATTCCTCTGGTGTTTGTGACAGATCAGTGCTACAAATACACACAATAGTCCCAACAGCCAATTCCTTCTTTATTTATATGCCTGTGTATCTCTCTGTGCTCAGATCCCCCACTCTGGATCTGCATGAACTGAATGAGGATGGAGAGCTGTGGATGGTATATGAGGGCTTGAAAGAAACTAATAGGTAGGCTGAAAGGAATCAACATGCATATGCACACACACACTTTTACATCTACAATATAGCTGCTCATTTTATACTGTAGCCCATGTGTTTTGCAACATGTTCCAAAAAAGTAGTGACAGGAGAATGTTCATCATCTTTCCTTTTAACAACACATATCGCTTGGGAACCGAAGGCACCAACTGATCCACTTTTTTGTCGTTCTTCCACTATACAACTCTTTAGCTGCACATGTACATCTACCATATAGCTGCTCATTGTATACTGTAGCCCATGTGTTGCTGCACGATTTATCACCCCCTCTACCCAGATATCATTTGAGTGGTGGACCAATGTCAGTACAACAATGACACCAATAGGCTAGTGGCATGTTAAGGCCAAAGCGCATCAACCAGACAAACGCCAACAAGCAGAAACGTTTGGTTGGTGTGCCATACACGTGATTGATTTTTGGGAGAATCTAAACCGTCTCTCATCATTTACTCTAGTTCATCTGGTTTCTCAGTTCTTTTTCTGGACATTGTAAAGACAACTGAAAATATTAGAATGTTGGTGATTGTTGCAGAGTGTTTGGTGCTCTGGCTTGTAGTAGAGAAATACAATGGTAGAGTAAATGTCCAGCCAGCTCTGTGGCTGTGAGTCTTTCAGACCTAGTTGACCTTGTTATATCTAGGTAGAATACGTCTCCCTCTCCCCTAATCAATCTGCATGATGCTAACCAATGTGAGTGTGTTTTAGCTGGTGTAACAGAATTGTCAGTTTTTCTGAGCAAATAAACACTTACTGCCTTTTTAAATATTATTTTCTCAGGTGCCTTTTTTCACAGCACTGTGCAGTAGTCTCTACCTGCTTCACTCAGTATGTCTTTTTGTAGGTTGTTGGAGTCTCAGCTGCAGACTGAGAGACAGGATCATGCTGAGGAGCTTCAGGCTCTGAGAGCAGAGCTGCAGGCGCTGAAGGAGGAGAGAGACCAGCAGCAGCAGCTTCTCTCAGACACACTGAAGCTGCCTCAGGACGGTCGCAGTGCATGCTGCCCTTCAGCACGAGATCAGCCGCCTCACCCGCCATAATGTGGTGTGTGCAGAGTTTCTCACAGCTTTAATGATTAGTTTGTTCAGGGGCATGTTGATTTGGCTTAAATTATGCTCCCTCGATTATGGTCTTACATGTTGAATGAATGAAAGGTAAAAAGAAGTTTGATAATCATAGGATCTAATGGAGCAGATGGACAAACAGGACAAGACCATTCGCAAACTAAAGAAACAACTGAAGATGTACATGAAGAAGGTCGAGGAGTCAGGCCGTGAGTTCTTTTCAGTTAATCATAACGTTCAGTAAATCATAACTTTAAAAAAATTCTGCAGAATTACTGTACATCTAATGCATGTGTTTAAGTGACATTTTAATTAATGATTAATAAATTGCTTATTGCTTACTTTTTTAAACATATGCTAAAATAGTCTCAGTGAGGTGTACTTTTAATGTATGCAGAAGTCCAGATAGATCAGCCCATTCTAGAAAACAAGGCAAGTGAAGCACTTCCATCAGTCAGCATTATCCGCAAAGAGCGACACTGCCAGGGCATGCTGGAGTGTAGGAAGGTGGATGAGAGCAAACTGCTCAGGTCCCTCATAACAGGTAATGTACTCTGAACAGGAACTAAGATTTTGATTTAAAGGGTTTGTCTTGTACATTTTGCTGCTGTTTTACTATTTATTTATTTATGCATTTTAAACATTTTAGATGCCCTTGTGACCTTAGCATTTTGCATTTTAAATATCACATTGCAAAAAATGCTAATTTTTTAGACTTTGTTTCTGTACATAAGAACATTTGGACAATTTGAATAACAGATATCCTACTGGCTTCCCCCAAGTTGGTGAGGTGGTTTTACAGTCTGTTCCCATAACATATTCTAAGAAGAGTGGACTGTAGTTTATATCTGACTGTGCTGTGTTGTGGGACAGATCTGAAGCCCAGAGGGGTTGCTGTGAGCCTGATCCCAGGCCTGCCGGCCTACATCCTCTTCATGTGTCTGCGCCACGCCGACTACACCAACAATGACCAGCAAGTCTGCACGCTGCTCAACTCCTCCATCAACAGCATCAAGAATGTGCTGAAGGTGAGAGAGCACCTTCATTCCTAAATAGAAATGAAAAATCTATTTATAGATATAGACTGTTGTAAAGACTGAGCAATTCTAATATTACAGACATCTTTCTAACACTGTAAGTTACACTATGGGCAATTTATTGTGGTTGTCTATGTCTGTAGTTATTTGTTCAGTGAACCAGAAGACTTGCTGTGGAAACTGAGGAGGAGTGGAGCTCATTAGTGAAATGTTTGGCATTGTTCTGAATAGGAACTAGTATTGGCAGAAGACTGGGGGTTATAGAATGACATTTTGTGATAGCTTAGTTACTACAACGATAAATCATTGTTTTTAGATTTTCACAATTTTAATGAAGGATAAAGAATGAATTTGAGTGTTTTTGGAACTTGTCCTGTGTTCACAGAAAAAGGGGGATGACTTTGAAACAGTTTCATTTTGGCTGGCCAACACCTGCCGCCTCCTGCATTGCCTGAAACAGTACAGTGGAGAAGAGGTAGGGTGTGTGTTTGTGTGTCTAATAAATACAGAAAGCAGTGATTAATAAATTCTGTTTGACCTGTATTAAATAGAAAACAGTACAAAACACAGTATTTTATGTTGTACCCGATGTATTGTTTTTTTGTTTGTTTGTTGGTTGTTTTTTTTATTGGTGAATATGTGTTCATTTCAAATTTGATTCCTGAGTCATATTCCAAAAAGTAGTGACAGGAGAATGTTCATCATCTTTCCTTTTAACAACACAAGGCACCAATTGATCCACATTTTTTTGTCGTTCTTCCACTATACAACTCTTTAGCTGCAAAGCCGTACAGGGTTTTGTTGTTCTATTTTGTGCTTCATAATGCACCACATGTTTTAAGTGTGGGACAGATCTGGACTGCACTTAGGTCAGTCTAATACCCACACTCTCTGAGTATGCAGCCATGCTGTTGTAACACGTGGCTTGGCTTTGTTGTGAAAAAAGCATGGATATCCCAGAAAAAAAACATTGTCTAGAAGGCAGCATATTTTGCTTCAAAAGTGTATATATCTTTTAGCGTTATTGAAGCTTTCATAGATGTTTAAGTTACCCAAGCCATAAACTCTAATGCTCCCCATACTCTGACACACCCTGGCTTTTTTAACTTTTGCACTGGTAACACTTTTCTTCTTTGGCCTGAAGAACATGATGCCTTTTATTTCCATAAACATTCTAAAGCATTGACTTCTTGAAGTCTGTGGCATTTCTGGACATTGTTGACATATGGCTTCTGCTTTGCATGGTAGTCTTACCTTTACGGATGGAGTGATGAACGTGTTCATTGACAATAATTTGTCAAATAATTATCAATCCCATGTGGTGATTTAGGCCCCATCCCATTTCTTCTTTTTACCCCTACCCCTTGTTTTTGAGTGTCAAACTAACCCCTTGGAGTTCCAAGGGGTAGTGGATGAAATCTTGCCCTACGAAATGGGACAACCCTCAAATAAAAAAAAAAACAAACAAACAAACAAAACATTGCTTCATTATCAGCCTACTAGCGGTACTCTGTAGGCGACCCGGCCCATCTTCAGTGATAGCAGAGAAGGGAAAGTTCAGCAACCTTTACATTTAGGGCATCATATCCTTTCAAAGGGGGGCTATAAGACAATTATTTATTGTCACCCACCGCTAATTCATTGGTGATACGAAGCTGAAGTCAGCTATTCGCCAGCTTCTTGTTCGAATTCTCCCGTTCCACCTTAAATGAAGCTGCAGTTACATTCTGGCGCTTCAGGCGTCAACACTGCTGGACTATTTAAGGTGGAACCGGAAAGTTAGCTAGCTAGCTACCGAGACATTAGCATGCTATTAACGTTTTTTTATGCTTGCTATCAAGAAACAACCATAACACATTAAAATGACATTAAACTAAGATAATACGATGATTATCGTAATTTTTCAACTGAGAAAATACTCAGATTTGTGGGTTTCTCTGTTCACTCGTGCAGCGGTCTTGCCGGTTTTTCTTTTTTTTTTTCATAACACTCTGTTTGGAGTGTTGCCTCTGAAAAACCTCCGTAACTCTTCGCCCCACCCCTCTATCTCAACAAAAATTGGGACACCCTAACCCTAGACGTGAACGCTCAAAATAGAGGGCTAAGGGCTAAGTGGTAGGGGCAAGGGGTAAAATGGGATTGGGCCATAATCTCAGAAGCGTGACTGTGTTTAATCCATTACCTGTTTGAGCACTGGATTAAAGCATTCAGTATGGTATTCAGAATTTTTCCCAGGCATTCAGTTTTTTCTGTGTTTTTTGGGCTTGCCCATTACACATTTAAATGTCTTCTCCTTATACTTTTTTAAATACATGTGGATTTACAAATCACTGCTGTATTTCTTTGCATTTCACATACCATCTCAACTTTTTTAGAACGGAGTTTTGTGTATTCAACCCCTGACATTCAACCTCTGTTTGAATTTTCGTAGTCTTTCACTAAGCACAACACCCCTCAGCAGAATGAGCAGTGCCTGCTGAACTTTGACCTGGCTGAATACAGGCAGGTTCTGAGTGACTTGATCATCCAGATCTACCAACAGCTTATCAAGTGCATGGAGAGCGTCCTTCAGCCTATGATTGGTAAGGGCGGGATACCACTACCACAGAACTATTTAATAGCCTTTTTCTTGATTTTTCCTCCATTCTTTTTATTTTTTGCCAGACCGCTCAGTGGGATGGCCTAAAAGATGATTTCGCTCACTGACTGACTGACTGATGAACTTTGTTGAAATGCGCATGTGTGAGGAGTGTAGCTAGTCCTTACTTAGCCTGCCAACTGTCAATCGTCCAATAGAAGAAAAGGCAGCAAAGAGAAACAAAAAGTAACATAACTACATTAGCCTGCAGGGAGTGTAGCAGGGGCAGCTGCAGAGAGGAGAGGCAGCGAAATGTAAGGTAGCCGCCTAACACTGTGTAGAATGAGAAGACGGCGTCTTAACCCCAAGCACCGAGTGACCAAAGCCCCACACTGAGAAGCGTCAAGAGGCCGAGCCCCAAGCTGGGCGCCACCTTCTCATGCAGCACAGCATTAAGTAAGCTAAGGCTAATGCTGTTGCATTTCATATGAGTGTGTGTCCTTGCTCGAAATATTATGCTGTGGGTGTGAGCTGACAGAAAGTTTAGCGCAAACTGAGAGAGATTTCGTGGCTCCTTGACAGCTCTTTTTTTGGCCGATTGAACACATGAAATCAGCATTAGCCAAGGGCAAGCTGCAGGAAACAAAGGAAAAAAGAACACATAGCGTAGCAAGATTTTTAAGTGCAGAGTAGAAGAGTTTTATCAGTATGGACAGGCGTTTGTTATTCTAATGTTCAAATCCATAAACACAAAGTGTTTGAATATTAATGAGAAAACAACATATTTTAACTTTTCATCGAAAATGGCTCACAAAATGTAAATCAGACTAAGTGACGCAGAAGTAAATGGGGAGAGTAGACTCAGATTATTTGCTTTAAGTGAACATTCAACAAATTATAGTTAAAACTATAATGAGAACTGTGAGATTACTTTCCCTGGAAGCAATAAGTAAAGTGATCCCATTACAGTTTGAGTGAAGTAGTAATTTGTAATGGAATATTTTTGAGTAACTACCTCACCATTGGTCAGTGATGGGTCAGCTTCTTATTTTGGGGCATAACCATAGTTTTGTGTTCTTGGAGCAGATTGTGTGTCTAGCTAAAAACTAGACACTAAAAAATTGCTAGTTTTGAATCATGTGTTTGAGAGCTGGTGGGAGGTGTTTGTACATTGCTGCACCAAGCACTTAAATTGGCTTGATTGTAAAAATGCACATGCTGCTGCAGGCTTTATAATAGTAATACTGAACCCACAAGTAAGAGGTGTGGGGGTTTCAGGGGTGTCATGTACTGACAACTGTGTCCTCCTTACTTGTAAAATGGCGGCTACACCCTTGCAGAAGACAGAGTGTGTGGCCTGGCGGTCTCGCAAAACTAAGCTTGTGTGGTCTTGTTTACTTTTTTTACAACTCTAAACTTCTATGTTTCTCTGTTTGTTTCCACATTTTTGTGTTCAATCTATGCTTGTATTTTCCTTTATGCCATGTTTCTTTGCTTATGAACTTCTCCTTTTTTGCCTCCAGTGGCAGGCATGTTGGAGCAGGAGACCATCCCAGTAGTGTTGGGGCTGAAGCCCACAGGATTGAGGAAACGTACCTCCAGTTTTCCTGAGGAAAGCTCCTACACTCTGGACTCTATTCTGAAACAGCTTGAATTATTCCATTCCACTTTGCTGCAGCACGGCAATGACCCTGACCTCGTCAAACAAGTGGTCAAGCAGCAGTTTTATTTCATCTGTGCTGTCACACTTAACAGTCTGCTTCTGCGCAAGGACATGTGCTCCTGGAGCAAAGGGCTGCAGATCAGGTACCTACCACCAGGGGGCTCTACAGGGACATCTCATTTGTAGAGTCAATCTGGGCCAAATTTCTCAAAAACATCTTAGTGTTAAGATCATCTTAAATGGTAAAGAGAGTATTCAGGGAGATACTCGCACTACCATTTAGAATCACCTTTGTGCTGAGATGCTTTGTTTTGTGATTATTTTTGCCTCCTTTTTCTTTGTTTTTTTAATATATAAAAAATGTGTTGTAGAAGTATTCTAACCCCTTAAAAGTCATCAGATTCATCTGGATTATAAACGGTATTTTGATATTGTGTGTTTTGTATATATCTATATATTTTTTTTTTTTTATGGCCAGTTTTGTACTTAATAAGAGTCTTTATTTCTGCTCCAAACTTAGAACAAGGCTTTGTATACGTTTTATGTTAATGCTGGTGTTCGAAAAACAAAGAGATGGTTTTACGTTTGTGTGTGTGCAGGTATAATGTGAGTCAGCTGGAGGAGTGGCTGATGGATAAGGGAATTCAGGGCGGTGGAGTGCGGGAGATGCTCGAGCCACTCATTCAGGCTACTAAACTGCTGCAGGTCAATAAAAAGACTGAGGAAGATGCAAAAGCCATTGCCACAATGTGCACCGCTCTTACCGCTGCACAGGTAAAGTCTGACAACTCACGTGGGCTAGGCACTGTGATAGGATGATCATTTGCTTTGCATAAAGTGAAGTATATAAGTTGAGCTCTAAAATATAAGAAATGTATTTTTAATGTCAAGTCTACAGTACAGCAAAACTGTGTTAGGTTTTAGATTTAGAGATTTAAAAGGAATAGTTTGGCAAAAAGTAAAATTTACACAATTTTCCATTTAACCCAGTTGAAGCTGATCAGCCGAGTTTGATGTCTAAATTTTGCTGCTGGATGCCGGTAGTGAACCAAATATTTTCTGTAAATGCATCCTCAAAACTCCTCTTCACACGATCTATCCATATCCAGACGTTCATTAAGGTTGTGCAGACTTCATGTGGTTTAGAGGACAGTATTACTTAAGGTGAGCTATAAAAATGAACAAAGCTTCACTGTGTAGCGCTACGCTACAGTCAGACAAGTCACACAGGCATATGGACGCTATAGATTACGTCTGCAATTTTTCTTGTTTCTTTTCATAAATAACTGTGAATTGTATTTTTTTTAACTGAAGAATTTTATACATAGGAATAACAGAAATCGAGAACCTGATCTAGAGCCTATTTGCCCATGTGACACCTGTTGTCTAAAATTGCTACCCTGAAATTTTGTTCATTTTTGTAGTTTGCAGTAAGTCATACTTTGCCTTAAACTACATAAAGAATTCTGTGCAGCCCTAATGAAGATCTGGATATCGGGGAGAGATGTTTTGGGGATGAATTCATGGAAAAGATTTGTTTAGCAACATGAACCTCATAGCTTCCGTTTAAAACTAAAGAATCAAAATTTGGACAAAACATGTCATGGCTGATCGACAACATCTGGAGCACGTGTAAAGTTATGTGATTAAAGTGTTTTTTTTTGCACTGAACCATTCCTTTAATAAATTGTTTCAGAATAAAGCCTAAAACTTAGTGTCCGTTATATTTACTATGCTATTGTGCCTTTTGTCTCCAACAGATTGTGAAGATACTCAACCTTTACACACCAGTCAATGAGTTTGAGGAGAGAGTGTCTGTCTCGTGCATGAAATCCGTACAGGTGAGATGTTTGTGTCTGTATGTGTCTGTGCATGTGTGTGCATTAAGCCTGGGTGATATCACAAAATAATTACTACTGTCTATTTTAGTCTACGTGTTTTTAATGTTATATAACAGTTTTAATGAAAATCTAGAATAAAGCTTACGTTAACCCAACATCTTTTGAGAACCACTTGATCTGTCATTATAATAAACGTTACTGCAAACACGTGCGTTCATGAGCTTCTTTTGCTGCGGATTTGTGGTGACTTGCATGCAAACAGCGCTCCCTGCTGTAGAAACTTTAGACTGCAAGTGCTTTCCAAAGCCACATCCACATGCTTTCCACATAAAAACAAGGCGTTTTCCGTCATTACAGCAGTGTTTTCATAATTTCATAACCACCAGGACACTTAATCCGTCCAGAAAATACTGCACACCGGCCATAGACGAGGATCAGAGGAACTTTCTCTTCAGGTTACAGTTAACTTAGGTGCTCTTCGCTAACTTTATTCATTATAGCTCGTTTTTTTACTGCAGCGAGTCACCGAGAGGTGAGCGAAAGTTCCAAAGCATGTCAGCATTCATTTTCAGTTCCATTCACATGAAGTAAACAAAGGGGAATCTGTGTGGTAAAGCTAGCATCACAATGTGTAGCAGAGAGAAATAACACAGGCAGTTTCTTAACAAACCTCTCTCTCTCTCTCTCTCGTGCGAGAGCCCACACGAAAATCCCACTGTATTTTTAAAGCTGTTTAATGGTGTATATTAGTTCTCTCTGATTCTCTCTCTCAGTTCTTTACCAAAACACATCTCCATCGCGTCTGCAGATTACGTCTGCAATTTCTCTTGTTTCTTTTCATAAACAACTGTGAATTGTATTTTTTTAACTGAAGAATTTTGTAAATAGGAATAACAGAAATCGAGAACATGATCTAGAGCCTCCATCGCGTTACAATATTCATGTCCATCACTGACAATATTCAATTACATCACCCAATCGCGCAGGCCTAGTGTGCATACTTGTGTACGTGTGTGTTGTAATTTCCCTCTGTGTTTGCTTTCTACAGGCCTTGTTAAAGGACCGGCAGGAATCTCCTCAGTTGCTGATGGACAGTAAAACAGTGTTCGCCCATCACATTCCCCTTTAACCCTTCTTATGTGGCCCTGGAGAACATTCAGATACCCGCCAGCCTCAACATCAACTTTCTCACACGCCACTAAACTGCCTCCGCAGGGACGTCATGATTGGATTTTCTTGAAGCCAAATGAAATCTTCCATGGAACTAAAGTTAAAACAGAGGCTTTAGCTCTCAGTTTACGTTACAAGTAAGTTTAAAGAACCAAATTACAAGCAAAATGACCAAAGTTACTTTTATTTGCCTCAATTCCTCTATGGAATCTGTTCTGACCTGCTGCTCCAAAGTTGACAGCATCTGCTCTTGAAAACAAGAGAATGTGAAAACAATATTTCTGAACATAGTAACTTGAGCATGGTGGTTAATTCTCTCACCATATTCATGTGTATTCACCTTTTATTACTAAGCACTTAGTTCTGTAGAAAGGAGACTTTAATTTTTGAATGCACTTCACAAGTTTGTAGGGGATGTCTCTGGGTTTAGCTACTAAGAAATGAGTATGTTGCCTTAATGTTAACAGACGTTGAGTAGTCAACAGATGGTGCTGATGAGTATTTGGTACATTAATCTGTTCCTGTGTTGAAAATGTTATTTTTGTACAACACTGACTTGAATTGATGTCTGTGGTGGTCAGTTTGCCTCTTAAGTAAATGTAAACTCACTATATATTTGTACTGCATGAAGTTGGGACAGTGTTATATGGAACATGTTATTATGCTCTTAGCCTCTGCTTTTTCTTAGTTAACCTGTAGTTTTAATATCATTTAATTTCTATTGTAAGTCTTTGTGCCCAAAACCCAAAAGGTGTGGGTTGGAAATGGAATGGAAAAGGCTTCGACCAGCGCATAGGTGATTTAGATATTTATTTTATTAAGTTATTAAGGATTGTTTATTAAACAATAATTAAGCAAAGGGTTTTGCACCCATATATATGTACATATGTGTGAGTAGGAATATTCAGAAAAAAGAGAGCAAACTTGACAAGTTTGACAGTGTTTTAATGTTATTTAAAGTAAAACATAATTGTTTGTTTAAAAATAAAAGTTACAAATGAAAGCCTTTATTTTTCCCATTCTGTCATTATTTAAGTATCTGCTATTTCTACAGTAGATAATCAGAATCTTAGAAGAGCATGTGGAGGTAAAGCTTTTACACCAGGCATTCCATCTCAGTCCTGGTCTTCCCACACTATACACATTTTTTTCTTTTTACTTTCTCTCATCTAGCACTCCTTATTAAAATTCATTAACTGATGAGCTCTCTCTGAGCTGAGGCAGATGTGTACAATTAGGAGGGTATAAAAATGTGCAGAGCATGGGGACCCTGCTTTTCTCTCTCATCCCCCAACTGCCCTACACCTCTGTCTCGCTCTGCATCTATCTCTCCAGGCATTTCTCTCTATCTTGCCGTCCATCTCGCTTTCTCGCTCTCACCTACACACACTTACAAATGTCATTTCTTCTCCTTTTTCTTCTTTCGCTCACATACATAAACATACACAATGGGCCCTGGGGTGGGGTGCTGTGAGGGCTACTGTCATGGCCTTGTGAGGCCCCTGGGAACAAGCACTTTTGATGCCCCCAATAGTTTGTGTGCTATGAGTAAAGCAATTTTGTTTCAAATATATTAAGTCTTATTCATGTGCAGTTTTTTTATTGCAGTGGTTTCCCACTCCAGTTTCTGGTCTGCTCTGCCCTAACACACCCAGTCCAGCTCATGAAGAGCTCGATTATCAACATGATCAGATGTGTACAGTTGAAACTGTGCAGAGCAGTGGGTCTTCAAAAGTAGGGTAGACACTAACACAGGAATGACACGCCGTCTAAATTGCCGTCTAGGTCTTCAAACCAATGCACAGGGCCCCCAAGACGGTCCTCTATTCCTAGCATTGTGAACTAGGTTGGAGTAGAACTGGGGTCCTGAGGAATGGTTTGAAGCTGCTGGACTAAAACTATTCATTTGAATAGCAACAATAATATACCATGAGTCAGAATTATTTAAAACCTGAAAAGCCAGAGAACAAATAACATTTCTTCATTTACAAATTCTAGGGCTATTCGATCATCTAGTATTTATATCTGCGGTGGGAGGTCCCAAGTGTCTGAACCCCCTTGGACCCCTTGTGGTCTGAGGCCCCCTTTGGCCCCTGGGCACTGACCCCACTGGCCCAGTCAGTAATTCATCCCAGACACACACTTACAAACATTAATTCTCATTTCTCTCCCCTCTCTCTCTCTCTCTCTCTCTCTCTCTCTCTCTCTCTCTCTGCTCTCTGCTGTGCTCAGCTCTACACGAGTGAGGATCCTGTTTCTTTTGTTTTCTGAATCCTTGTTCAAATGAACACACCCCTACAGCAAGCAGGTGTCACAAGACCCGAGGGCGGAGTGCAGGAGAAGTCGGAGCAGCAGTGCAGTGCAGGTGCGCGGGGGGAGAGTGAGAGAGTGACCCAGTCCCCTGATGACGCGCCGGTGGTGGGACATTTCTCTGTAGTGAAGCCCCCCGGTTCCACCCCACCGTCCAGGCCGGAGGGCGAGCAGCGGGAGCGGAGTGTCTGTGGAGGAGCCGGCGAGCGCCGTCATGGCTCTGCAGGAGCTCTACACTAAAGTACGGCGGAAAACGAAAGTGCTGCTCTTTCAGTCTGTGCTTTAACACGAACTTCACAGCAATTTAACTACTACACTTCGGGAAACGACTCATTCCGCCGTTCTCTACAGCCTGTCTGTGGTGTTGGTTTGTTTCTATGACTACGATCAGTGTAACATATGGTGGAAAGTCTCACACGTGAACCTGTCGTTGTTTTTAATGTGTTAAAACTGATGAAGCCGAGCTGGAGCTGAGTTCTCCCACCACTACACCACACTACAGTACAGTACACCACACTACACTACACTACACCACACTACACTACAGTACACTACACCACACTACACTACAGTACACTACAGTACAGTACACCACACTACACTACACTACACTACACCACACTACACTACACTACAGTACACTACACCACACTACACTACACTACACTACACTACACTACACCACACTACACTACACTACACCACACTACACTACACTACAGTACACTACACCACACTACACTACACTACACTACACCACACCACACCACACTACACTACAGTACACTACACTACACTACTCACTCGTCTGTCGTTTTTAGCCGCTGTTTGCTGTTAGCACTGTGAGAAAGGCTTTGACTGGACTGTCCTGACCTGTTCGTTCACAGTATAACCGAGTGTGGATCCCTGACACTGAGCAGGTGTGGAAATCAGCAGAAATCCTCAAAGACTTCACACCAGGAGACCAAGCTCTGCACCTACAGCTCGAGGATGGAACTGTAAGTAGAGTCAGACAGAACTGTGTTTGTCTGAAGAGCTACACACTTAAAGCATGTGGTTCTTCAAGGGTTCTTTAGTAAAGAAAATGGTTCTATATAGAACCATGAACACTCATAAAACTCTTAGGGGTTCTTTACATGGTGAAATTGTTCTTCAGATTGATGGACAAGGTACTAAACTGTCATTGGGGCAGTACCCCTCTTGTCACTTGTTCACAGCACATGGGTGTTTGGTTACATCTGATTGGTCTAATCATCTACAGACAATTGAGCTCCATATTGTTGGGTTAAATTTTCCCACTTCGTAAGACAACACTGTTGATAATGTATATGGCTTTTATAATGTAATGGCTTTTGCGATTTGAAAATTGCACTCTTTCAATGTAAAACAATTTATCTTTCAGCCCTACTAATGTGTACAGGTTGCAAATGAGAAAGCCACACTTAATACCAAACTGCAGAGCCTCTATAATGCAGTTACAACACCCATAAACTGTTTCCTCGTCTCTGAGACTCATGTGCACCACACAGTTTGTGTTTTTCCTGCTCTGACACACCTGATTCTGGTCAAGAAGTGGTTGATAATTAGCTAACGGTATCACTCAGCTGTGTGCACTGCAGGGAGACTGTGCAGTGCAGGGTGGGGGAGTTATATTGAAGCAAGAAAGTATTAGGCTGTGTTTGCTTTTTAATTCAGTAAGCTTCAGGCATGTGCACACAGTCTTCAGGCATAGACCCAGAGCGAGCTTCATCCCTTTTGCTGTCAGATTGGAAAAGTGTGTGTGAATAATATAACCACCTTCATTATTAAAGATCCATTTCGGCTTAGTTCAGCTCAGCCTCGCTCCGAGAATAGAGCTAGTGGGAAGATTTGGGTTCCACAAGCTTTATCACTCTTGGGTGCTGCTTCTGGTGCAGTACCACCACCTGTGGAGATACCACCTCAGTAACTCTGACCTGTCATGGACACAAGTTTTACACTATTGTGATCACAAGGATTTAAGCAAGGCAACATGAGCCGCTCAAAGACACCTCTTGCTTAAAGAGAGTTATGACTCATTAATAACAGATAGTTTTAATACAGTGGGCACCCCTGCCCCATCTGCTGCAGACTGGAGTTCCATGTTCTGCTAGAAACACCATAAAACTTCTTGGGCCAGGACTCTGAAACATGATTAGACTGTCTATGTGATCTTGAGTGTCTGCCATATGCTGTAGATTAAGTTAAATTTCAATCATATTTAGGTCGTCCTTTTTCTCCCCAGAATATCTGATAATGCCCAGTAAGCTTAGTACCGTTTTTTTTTCTTTGTCTTTTTATTGCATTTCTCGGAAAGGGGAGGACAGACACATACAGTGTTAGGAGTACACACAGGTCAAGGACATAAAAAAACAATCAACACCAAGATAATTGTTACATAGTGCATTCGAAAACTTGAATTAAATCAGATAAATTCTCCCAATTATCAATAGTTGACTGCAGTTGGCTGTAAACAAGTTCTGAAAACTGCAGGGTGATCCAAAGTTGTAAGACAGTTTTTTTTGGTGGCTGTAAAATCTAACTTACTACTTTTCTAAATGTCTGTCCTGCAGGTCCTTCAGTACCCTGTGGAGGGGCCTGGTCAGTTACCCCCTCTCCGTAACCCTGACATCCTGGTGGGGGAGAATGACCTGACAGCCCTGAGTTACCTGCACGAGCCTGCAGTGCTGCACAACCTGCGCGTCAGATTTGTGGACTCTAGAATCATCTACACTTACTGCGGTGAGGGAGCGCGGACAGCAGTGTGACTATATAATAAAGAAAAAGCAGAATCAGTTGAACCCAGGCTGGAACTATAAACAGTATTTTTGCCCTCAAAATTGTTCCTCATTTAGAAAATAGCTTATCTAATTGGTATTCAAAAATGAGAGATGCGGGCTGCAGCAAAGCAGTTGAGGTGCTGCCACCAGCAGACAAGAATGAAATAAATCTCAACAAAGGAAGTAGAAACCACACACGAATGATCAAACTACAAATATATTTTAGATGTTTTAGTAGACTTCCATGTACAAATCCATACAAATTTTACTGGAGTACATGTAACTGTGTAAATTTAACTACAATGAAAAAAATGGTCAAGGATCAAAATGGGTCATGTGGAAGCACATGAATGAAATAGGTCACATCAACACACTTGCTATGTTTCAGTTTATTTCCTTCGGCAAGAATTGTGCTGACAATACGTATTTTATTTATGTGAAACCACTTGACAGATTTGAATTGTGTAAACTCAAAGCACTAGTGTAGTGTATACTTCCCACTAGGCATCACAATAATATCGGAAATCCTATCGATATCAGCAAATTTGACTGCTATTTCAAACCGATGTTTGATGACGTATTTTTTATATGTCAGAAGAGTAGAATGTGTAGGTGAAGCAGGGCTACTGTGATAAAATATCTACATCTTATTCATTTTGCTGCGTTTGTAGCCCTACTGAAATAAATATTAAATTTCTCCATGATGCTAGTCCAGGTGGAGTTCTAGTTTCTGTATTTTCTAAATATGTATGTTGGCTGATAGATATCTGATAGATTGCTGGCCCTGGTCATTTAAACATCATTATCTCATTTTTGATGAACTATTCTGTTTTCCCCTGTCTGTGCTATCTCACATTGTGTATTTTAGGAATTATCTTAGTGGCTGTCAACCCTTATAAACAGCTCCCCATCTATGGAGATGCAGTCATCCATGCTTATTCTGGCCAGAATATGGGCGATCTGGACCCCCATATATTTGCAGTGGCAGAAGAAGCATACAAGCAGATGGCAAGGTAGAAGCGTTCATGTATTCCAACAAGCTGGCATTGACCACCAGCAAACAAGCTGTAATATGCCGTGCATACACTCTTATGTATCGTGTAATGACTTCTTTCCGTTTTGTCAGCACTAGCTTGTGGATCTATTAAAATGTTTTGTTTTTTTTTTGTCTTCATTAAGTTTGGACTCAATGAATGAGTTTTAAATGTATGACTTCACAGTTTTTACCGTGTCTGATATTGTCATGCTGTCAATTTGTTGATCCAGGAATAATCGGAACCAGTCTATCATAGTGAGTGGAGAGTCTGGAGCAGGGAAGACTGTGTCTGCTCGCTATGCTATGAGATATTTTGCAATGGTCAGCAAATCTAGCAGCAACAAACGAGTAGAGGACAAGGTTTTAGCATCAAACCCTATCACTGAGGTACTGCTGTTCACCTTTGAGTCCACCGCACTAATCTTCTAATGTTATATAAAATTTATTCTTTACATTACAGTTAAAGATGAAGCTGTGCATTTTAAAGTGACCGATATCAGTGTTTTAAGTGGATATTTGGAAGGCAGTAGATAATCAGCTGTATATTTGAAGGCAATAGGTAATGCAAAGACCACAAGGAATGACAACAGCAGTCGATTTGGGAAGTACACTGAAATCAGCTTTGACAGAAGATACCAGATCATTGGAGCCAACATGAGGACGTACCTTCTAGAAAAGTCGAGAGTTGTTTTTCAGGTAGAGAACTTTTCATGACTTTTTAGGTTTGTGTTTTTGATAATGTGATGAGTTTTATTGTTTGCTTATGCGATCATGTGCAAAAATTTGAACACTCCTGGTCAAATAGCTAATTTTGTTGATTTTGAACACAGTGTGAACACATCGTCTACAGGGAAGAAACTTAAATATGGCATTTTCTGCAAATTGTAGTGCAAATTTTCTTTCAAATTAAATTCAGTAAATAACCAGTAATTGAACATTAAAATGTGCAGAAGTCTGTTCTCTGTAGAGGATGTGTCACTTATTTTCACTTAAAAAAAATCAACAAAACGTCATTTGACCAGCGGTGCCCAAACTTTTGCACTGACTGTATATATTTCTTTGAATTACACTGAATAATGGAGTTTTCTCATTACATCAATTCTGTACTACCTACAGTCAGAGAATGAGAGAAACTATCACATCTTCTACCAGATGTGCGCCTGTGCAGAGCAGCCAGAGTTTAAAAGCCTAAGACTGTGTGAGTGTCTTTACTGTTTGCTTTGCTTCTCTTGCTCAGTTTAGATTTATTTCATACAAAATCAAATAGACCTGACTGACCGCTTTATGGATTTCCATCAAAATTCAACCAGAAACCTTTTAATTCATGCATCCATGCAACATTTCACAACTGTGCACCAAATAGTATTTCGTTATTAATTTTTAATATTTAATGTAAAGTTTGCCCAGATGTTATTCTATATTGCAACTTCAGTACTGAGTTTAACTGCTCACTGAATTCTAACACTGTAAAAAAAAAAGTGTTTCAACTCAAAAGAGTTTTTAACCAGGTTGCCTTAAAATTTTGAGTGTATTGAACTTCAAGTGGTAAGTCAATAGAACAAGGGTTATTGTTCTGTTCTTTAAAAAAGCAGCCTAGCTTAAAACAGCTGTAATAAAAGATTGAATGTTTTAACCTAAAAAAGTATACAACCTGGTTGCCTTAAAGTTCTGAATTCACTGAAATAATAGTGAGTTAACAGAATTATAATGTGTTTTAAGTTCAGTGAACTCACAATTTTAAGACAACCAGGTTACTATTTTTTTAAAGTTAAAACATGTAACTATTTATTAGATTGAGAGTACTTTTCTATGAAGTCTTTCAATGATCAGTTTCTGCAGTCAGTTTTTGAAGCTACGCAATGAGTTCAGAATGCTTGAGGACTAAAAATCCATTTTGATGGCTTTTTGGACCCTGTATTTCCTCGAAAGGCGTTTGTCCTGTTTGATTCAAACTCTTTCCTGAACACAGGTGGTATTTGCTTATGTATTATCTGTTATCCCTTCAGTGAGCGCAGACAAGTTTAACTACACCTGCATGGGAGGGGACACAGATATCCAAGGAGTGGACGACCGCGCTGACATGGCTGAAACCCGCCGCACTTTCAATCTACTGGGTAAGAAGCACGGACCCTTTATCTGCCCATTTCATTTTCAGCGGGATGACTTTGTTTGGGGCTTCATAGTAAACGTTATGCACAACAGCACAGATTTCTGTCCCAGTTGCTTGTGGTGGTGATGAAGGCACTATGCTGTCCATCCTGCAGGACTGAAGGATGACTTTCAGGCTGACGTGTTTAAGATGTTGGCAGCGATTCTGCACCTGGGCAATGTGGTGATCGAAAGCAGTTGGCTCTGACCAATCGTCCATTAGTGTAAGATATATTTCAGCTGTGTGATTTAAGAAGTCATTTGTGATTGCATAGCACAGATACAGTCATATGCAAAAAAGCTGATGCCCCCTGGTCAAATGGCATGTTTTGTTGTGAAATCAAGTGAACACATCCTCTACAGAGAACACACTTCTGCCCATGTTAATGCACTATTACTGTTTAGTTAATGAACTTAACATATTGGGGAAAAATAAAGCAGAAAATGTGGCATGTGTTAAAGTTAAGGCACATTTCATATTTTCTGGGGTTTTTTTTTCAGTATTTTAAGCTCAGAAAATAAATAGAATTTGCGCTAAAATTGCAGAGAAATAATGTATTGAAGTGTGTCCTCTGTGGAAGATGGGTTAATTTACTTTCATATAAAAAATCAGCAAAACGTAATTCGGTTGTAGGTGTTCAAACATTTGCATATGACTGTACCTCTAAATCTGAATACAATGTCTATGTAAATAGTCGTGGTTGGAGCAAAACCTCATATCTCCACAGCGGAGAAAAAGAACATTCTTAACTTCTAATGGAAGTTAATGTAACCAGGTTTTGATTGAAGTAATTTTGGAGTATGTCTATGAGTCCATTCATCATCAAATTTTAACACGATGCAAAGAGATAAAAGGTTTTTGTGCAACAGTGACAATATGTATAAATACTATATATTTATTGCATTAATCCTGTTTTAAATACATATTTATGCATAAAATAGTCTCTTTTTGATACCTGCAAAAGACGTAGTCTATGAAAGAATGTCCACTCACATTCCCCTCTTCTTGTCTTAAACACTTCCATTATGGATCCAGCATTAATGTTCTCTTGCATCTCTTCCAGTCTTCCAACTCTCACCTGGCTGTGTTCTGTGATCTGCTGGGAGTCAGACAAGAAGATATGAGCCGCTGGCTGTGTCATCGGCGTATTGTCCTGGCGTCTGAGACAGTGGTCAAACCGCAGCCGAGGGAACGTGCCATCAACGCCCGGGATGCACTGGCCAAGCACCTTTACGCATATCTGTTCGACTGTGTCATCCACAAGATAAACCAGGCGCTGCGTGTGCCTGGCAAACAGCACTCTTTCATCGGAGTGCTGGATATCTATGGGTGAATAGCTAATTTTGCAAAAAGACTGTGCAAAAATATGTGTTATTTTTTGAGCTTTGGTCTTTACTAGAGACGTTTCTCCACAAAGGAGTCATTACCCCTTTCTAAAAATTAAAGAGGATTACACCGATCAGCCATAACATTAAAACTACCTCCTACCTCCTATTTACACTCATTGTCCATTTAATCAGCTCCACTTACTATATACGTTCACTTTGTAGTTCTACAATTACAGACTGTAGTCCATCTGTTTCTCTGCATATTTTGTTAGCCCTCTTTGACCCTGTTCTTCAATAGACAGGACCCCCACAGAGCAGGTATCATTTGGGTGGTGGATCATTCTCAGCACTGCAGTAACACTGACGTGGTGGTGGTGTGTTAGTGTGTGTTGCGCTGGTCTGAGTGGATCAGACACAGTGGTGCTGCTGCAGTTTTTAAACACTGTGTCCACTCACTGTCCACTCTAATAGACACTCACACCTTATTGGTCCAACTTGCAGATGTCAACCAGTGATGATAGTTCATCAGCTGCTGCTGTGCTGGTCATCCTCTAGTCCTTCATCATTGGTCACAGGATACCCACTGTGCCTCTGTGCTGCCCAGCAGTGACACTAAGGTGTTTAAAAACTCCAGCAGCACTGCTGTGTCTGATCCACTCTTACCAGCGCAACACACACTAACACACCACCATCACGTCAGTGTTACTGAAGTGCTGAGAATGATCCAGCACCCAAATAATACCTGCTCCGTGGTGGTCCTGGGAGGGTCCATTGAAGAACAGGATGAAAGGGAGCTAACAAAGTAAGCAGAGAAACAGATGGACTACAGTCTGTAACTGTAGAACTACAAAGTGGACCTATATGGTTAGTGGAGCTGATAAAATGGACAATGAGTGTAGAAACAAAGAGGTGTTGATGTTATGGCTGATAGTTGTAATTCAGAATAGAGCCATTGACCTAATTTTCATGCTGAACTTCTTCTAATTTTGAAGCATACTTCATTAAAGATCTACTAACCCAATCTCATTATTTCATAGATTTGAAACATTTGATGTGAACAGCTTTGAGCAGTTTTGTATCAACTATGCCAATGAAAAGCTACAACAGCAGTTCAATCTGGTATGTACCCACCTCTTTCTGTATTTACATTCCACTTCAGTTTCCTCATTAAAGTAATGAACTTCAAACTGATAGGGCCACAACTTCTTGACCTAGTTTATGACTGTCTTTCATTAGCATGTGTTTAAACTGGAGCAAGAGGAGTACATGAAGGAGGACATCCCATGGACACTAATCGATTTCTACGACAACCAACCAGTCATTGATCTGATCGAGGCTAAGATGGGTATCCTGGACTTGCTGGATGAAGAATGTCTGGTGCGAAACTCTATAAAGACAGTTATTGCACAATATGTCAGTTTCCCAGCCTAAGCTGGGAGTAAAGTGCAATATCAATTATTACTCGCCATTAAAAAGTCACTTTAGTCCTTTAGTCACTTAAATTTTGTTGTCCAGGCTTGAACTTAATCGGTGGATGAGAGTTCAGTGCAATGTCACTTCTATAGCTGGACAATCAAATCAATGTAATACTAGTTTTAAATGTTTTTGTAGACATTTAGTCTAATCTGCTTTATATAGCCAAGTTTAGTTTTCTCATGAGTGTTGGTCAGTCGTGTCCTTCTTGTGTCACAGTTTCCTCAGGGGACGGATATGAACTGGCTGCAGAAGCTCTATAATTATCTGGGCTCCAAGCCTCTGTTTGAGAAACCTCGTCTGTCCAATGAGGCGTTCGTGATCCAGCACTTTGCAGACAAGGTGAGACTGTTGTAACTGCATCATCAGTGAAGCAAACATTACTGTCAAGTGGATAAATGATGTAGTAAAGATGCTATTTACGGCACTTTTCATCTCCCCAGGTAGAATATCAGTGTAAAGGTTTCTTAGAGAAGAACAGAGATACTCTGTATGAAGAGCTGGTGGACATAATGCGAGCAAGCAAGGTAAAAAGAGCTGCTTACTCCCACTTTAGTTTCTTTAGAATTATCCATTTTTTTCTTTTACATGGATGTGGCAGCTTGTCTCAGATACATACAACTGAAGATGTTTGAAACCTGTTGTTGTTAGTTTCCTCTCTTGGCAGATTTCTTCAATGAAGAGGAAAATAATTCTGTTATCAAAGGTGTCAAAGTGAAAGCGGCAAGACCTGCAGTCAAACCAGTCAATAAGCAGCTTCGGACTACTGTAGGAGACAAGGTGCACAATTACACAGACTTGATTTAACATAGTCTCAAAAAGAAAACACTGAATTTGTATCCATGAGAACCAACTCAGCTGATCCTAATGTCTGCTATAATGCTTAGTGCTTGATAAGTCATATTTTATTTTGAAGGTGTTGTGTGTTTAAGTGGAATCACTGGTAAAAGTTCTGAACTGGCATCCTGAAAGGGAATTTCACTGATTCTTCAAAATGAAATGAAATGAAATTGTTTGGATGTAAACAAAGACATCCAGAGTGGTTTGATGCGAAAGTTTCCATTCTAGAGAAACTGAGTTAGGTTTGTTCCCAGTGGTGGTGACAGGAACCAGACATCTGAAGAGTTTAATCCATCTAAAAGCTACACCACAGAATGTTATTACATGAAAATAGTTACATATGTACAGCCTGATGCCTGAGAGTTTTATGCTAGTTTAATGGCAAGAAGGAATTTTGAACAATCAGTGGAAATTCCCTTTAACCTCACCTGTATGTGGGCCCATGCTTCAGTTAACTCTCATAACAACATAATTTACATATTAGTTTCATAGTAATTATTGAATAATTCTTAGTAGTTATTGAATAAAAAGTCTTAAGGTTAATAGCTGAATAAGCCCAGGGTTCAGGGAGTTAAACCAACATTTGCTTAGATCAATTAAGTTAAATCAGATTATCCTCCCACTTTGTCAATGTTCACAGTAACTAATACTTTGCATTTCTTCTGTCTGTTCAACAGTTTCGCAGTTCTTTGTACCTGTTAATGGAAACACTGAATGCTACCACACCCCATTACGTCCGCTGCATTAAGCCTAATGAGGAGAAGCTGCCGTTTGAGTGAGTGATCCTAAGCATCCTGTGAAACTGATGGTCACACCTTCGTGCTTATCTTACGTCATGTACGTATTTGTGTATGTATTTGCACAGATATGACTCAAAGCGTGTGGTGCAGCAGCTGCGGGCGTGTGGTGTACTTGAAACTGTGCACATCAGCGCTCAGAGCTACCCCTCCAGGTAACTCATGGGTCTGTCACAGTGTCAACACCACTTTGTATACCTTTCTATATTTAACCTTATTCATGTTGCACTGATGAGGGAAGAGACAGTCATGTGATTGCAGGTGGTAAATTGTAATAGTGTTGATCTGCTTAGGATTTGGTCTAAGAAGCATTTCACCAGCTTTTTTCACTTCTGACTTACACGCAGTGGTGGACAAAGTATAGAAATCATGTACTTCAGTTAAAGTAGAGATAAAATTAAATGAAAATTAAAAATTAAATAAAATTAAAATGATCATAAGCACAAAACACTGAAGGCAAACAATTTCCATTAGGTAGAATTAAGTGGCTGTGAATTAACTTTTTGCAAACAAGCAAAGTTTCAGTTTAAGATTTATTTGCAACTTAGTTACAAGTTTAGGTTTAATAAAAACTTGCTTTAAACACAGGTTCACAAATGAGTTTTCCTTTACCATATTCTATATATGTTTCTGTTCATAAACATAAACTAGCAAAAACAAATTTACTATAAAATGAAAGTGTTTTTATGTATTCAGAAAAAAGACACATGCCAGTCACAACTGCATATGTGTACATATTTCTATATTGTGGTCTATTTACGCAAAGTTAGGTTAGTTCCATCATTTATGTAGGAATAGGCACTCCCAAAATTTTATGCTGCACTGATGTAGATCTATATACTTGCACTGGGTCGGTATGTCCAACAGGTCAAAACAAGCTCAAAACAAAGTGTGCGCTATACCCTGATTGGTGTTCTTGCTTCACGCTTCTTTCATTTTGACATGTTACATTTTTATACACACATAAGCCAAAAGGAACGACAGATTTCGCATAATGTAGTGGAGTAAAAAGTAAGATATTTGACTTTGAAATGTAGGGCTATAATTCCTAATAGACTAACACAACTGTTTGATTTTTTTTCATGTAGTCACCCTGAAAATGCTTAGAAAAAAATTTACTATTCATTAGTTTCCACAGTTATTTAAAAACAAATTGTTTCACTTAATTAAAAAATCCTTACTGAAAACAATTTACTTAGCAACTATCTTTGTAATAACTTATGTCTAGTCATTTGGATCCAGGTCTGAGGAGCTGTTGCTGTTTTGCAGGTGGACATATATAGAGTTCTACAGCCGCTACAGTATTCTGATGAGTCAGGCGGAGCTCAGGGCGGGAGAGAAGAAGCAGATTTGTAGAACAGTGCTGCAGAGACTTATCCCTGTAAGAAACCCCTTCATCTGTAGCACTCACATCAATAAGTTCAGCATGACACACTGCTATTAACCTGCTATGCAAACTGTTACTTTACAGATTGTTCAATTCCAATTCCTTTCTTTTCATGCTTGCCTGGAGGACACCAGAGAACTCTATGAGGTTCTTTGAAGACAGTTTTACTTTAGTTCAGGTAGTTTGTTAGTCTGGCCATTGGCCATATGTGTATCTCAGCCTAATATCCTTATTTACTAAACTTGTTCTAAATTAGAAGTGATTTTAATTCTAAAAAAATGTATGTGTTCTAAATTCATGAATAAATATTTTAGGGAGAGTCTAACTTCATTTTAGCTTCATTATTGATATTTTATGTATGTTTTGAGAGCACCAAAAAAAAATCTTCTTATGTGTGAACATTTCTGATGTTTTGACTTGCTACAGGACTCAAACCAGTACAAATTTGGCCGGACCAAGATTTTCTTCCGGGCGGGTCAGGTAGCGTACCTGGAGAAGCTGCGTTTGGACCGTCTGCGAACTGCATGTATAACAATCCAGAAGCACGTGCGGGGCTGGAGGCAGAGACAAAGATACCTGAGCATGAGACAAGCTGCCATTATCATCCAACAGTACATCCGCGGCAAGAGGCAGATCAGGTCAGTGTCTAAAGCATAATGCACAAATGTACCTTTTAGACACAAAGCACCTCATGGAGCTGGCTTTTAACTAACTAATTAACTAACTCACTCACTCATGTTGAGCAGGTTGATGACTCTCATAAAGGGCCCTCTTTTACCCCTCGAAGATCTTTTGGCAATTTGCATCAATGACATGGTGTCCTTGTTAATGCAGAAGTAAATTACCTTTTTTACTTGTTTTATCACAAAATGTCTGTAATATTAAATATATTTAATATGACTTGCAAATTTAAATGTATTAAAAAAACAAATTTACACAGTTTTCTTCTTACCCTGAATGTGAATCAGCCACGACGTGTTCTGCATTAGAGGTAAGAGGCTATTGTAGTTAACTAATGTAACTAATTATAGCCTTCAGTCAACAGGGACAAAAGTACAGACATAATTGAGGCTTCAAGATAAGTTTTAGCTGTTTTTTTTATTTTTAGATATCAATATCTCCACAAAAGAAAGCACATAAGAAAGCCTATTTGAACTAATATGACAATTCCATAAGCTTATGTTACTTGAAACTTGATCAGATCTATATGTTTTACTTGTTAGCTACATTAGCCTTATAGCTCAGGTGTCCTGGACGATGGACTACATTTGGGGTAGTAGGAAAATTGTGTAAAGCTGGCTTTTGGCTGAAGCACTGCTTAAATACCTTCTGAAGAGGTCCATATTTTGTGGGGAATCTCTGGCTTATAATGCACTACAGAATTACTCTCAGTGGCTCATCATCTTTTCTACTGCTGCAACACAGGCTTTCAGTCTAATACTGCTAGAACGTTTGTTCATTTGGCTAGCAGGTGTGTAATGCATGCTTTTTCTAGGCGCACTTTGACAGCAGCAGCACTGAAGCAGGCCTGGGCAGCAGTGGTCATCCAGAGACACTGCCGTGGCTATCTCATACGACGGCTTTACCTGCTTGTTCGGGTTGCTACCATCACTATCCAGGCCTACGCCAGGGGGTGGATGGCCCGCAAGCGCTATAAAAAGGCAAACAGTTTAAGTTCATTTGAACTTCATTTTTCTCAAGCTGTGCTTCTCTATGTAACATGTTTAATTCTGTACATTATATCACTGGTGTAGATGGTGGAGGAGCACAAAGCTCTGGTTTTACAGAAGTACGCCCGGGCCTGGCTGGTACGGCGGCGTTTCCAGACCATGCGCAGACTCGTTCTGAACGTACAGCTCTCCTACAGAGTCCAACAATTGCGGAAGAAAATAGAAGAGCAGGTGATGCAATAAAAAATATTTGCCTTTACAAGCTAGAGAAGCGAAAAAGGAAGTATCTGTCATCTTTATAACGTCCTCTATTTGCTGTTCCAAACAAACGTAGGTAGATCTGTTATTTGTGTCATTGTAAGTGACTATTTATGATTGTTGCCTTTATTGTGACATTACTGCTGGTTTTGACAGGAATTTTAAAAGATCTTCCTGAAGGACTGGTATATTACTGGTATGGGTTTATATAAAAACTGAGTCATTATACAAACCCAGTTCCAAACAAGTTGGGACAGTATGTAAAATGCCAATAAAACAGGAAGTAGTGAGAATCTGTTTGATCTGTATTATATTAAAAACAGTACACAATGTTTGAGGTTTTACCTTATAAATTGTGTTGTTCTTTTTTTGTGAATAAACTCTGATAGTGATGATGCCTGCACTATGTTCCAAAAAAGTTGGGACAGGAGCATGTTTACCACTGTGTTACATTGCCTTAACTTTTAACAACACATAATAAAGCTTTGGAAACTGAAGACACCAACTGATCTGGTTCTGAAAGCAGAATTGTTTGCCATTTTTCAGTTATGCAAGTCTTTAGCTGCACAACCCATGTGGGGCCTTTGTTGTTGTGCTTAGCACTTAGGAGACAGGCACGTGAGTCTAGCACTTGCACACTCTGATTACGCAGACATGATGTACAGAATGTGGCTTGGTGTTGTCATGTTGAAATAATCATGGACCCCTCTGAAAAGGATGGCTTCTATTACATTTTGGAGCAATATTTTGCTCCAAAATGTGTAAAAGTCTTAGTGTTAATGGTGCTTTCACAAATGTGCCTGGTGGCCACGGCATGGGCACTAATATCCCACCCTCCACCAAGTTACCCATACCATGACAGATGCCATTCTTAGTCTTAAATTGCTCCTGTCCCAACTTTTTTGGAACATGTTGCAGGCATCATTTTCAGAATGAGTGTATATTTACTAAAAAACAATGTAGTTGATAAAAAAATTATTTAGTCTTTGTACTGTTATCGTTTAAATATGGGTCAAAGTGGATTTACAAATCACTGATTTCTGTTTTTATTTTAATTTCACATACTGTCCCAGATTTCTTTTGAAATTGGGTTTGAAGTATACTTTATATCAAAGAATACATGATCATTTATTCCCGGACATCACAGAAGCGGCCCAAAAGTCACTTTTATTTATAAAGTACAATTAAAGCAACAGTTGACCAAAGTATTGTGTGTAATTATTCACAACTTAAATGAACATGTCGTCACTGTCAGAACAAAACCTTGTATCAGCATTTTTGGTATTTTTAAATTTAAATTTTTTTTTTTCACAAAAGCACAGCTGCCGTTTACACTGTGTCAAAAATACATGACATATGGACCAATAGAAATGGTCCAAAATGACTTAGAATAAAATCTTTCACATTAAACTGAATGAAAAGTTGAAAGTTTTTCCTTCTCCTAAAAAGTTACTTTTTTTGAAGATATGAGGTTTTGGCCCAAAAGCAACAGTATATAATATCAGTATGCAGGCAAGTAATTGGCAGCATTGGCAAGTAAGTAAGTAAGTAAGCAAGTAAATGAATAAATACATTAATTGATAAATTCATTAGAGTGATAAATAGGGTGGAAATATTGGTGTTCATTATATTTATTTTAAACAGAAATGTTCAACACAGATACCTAGAGCTGTCTTTTTCTGTTTAGAATAAAGAGAACCGTGGACTTGTGGAGAGACTGACCAGTCTGGCCAACGCTCATGCTCAAGGACTGGACAGGGCACAGGCTCTGGAGATGGAGCTTAGCAAAGCAGTCAGTGAGAAGGCATCTGTAGAGGAGAGGGAGAAGAAGAATAAAGAAGACACTGATAAGGTAAGACACTAAGGATTTTAAGCATCAGTGACTGAATGGATGGCTAGAGTGACTGGAAATAAATCTGTGTTAAAACTGTAGCTCTGACATGACGGCGGAACCAAGTGTCTGACACATCTTCTGAAAAATGGACCAAGCTAACCAGTGTCTTTGAACCGTTTGTGCTGAAGTCGCATTAAATTGAATGAACAGTGTCATAATGTAGTGTAAAAACCATTTTGGTCATATTTTATTTTGAGAGTCCTTTTTAGAAAATCTACAGATGCTTTAACAAACTTTCTGATGAAACTCAGTTGTTCATAAGCAGGTTTAGGGTCATGTCTAGGATTAGGTATAGGTGTTGGGTTAGGGCTAGGTTTAAGTTTAAATTCAACTTAACGTTCAGTTATTTAGTGGAACATTAGTTAAAGACAATCTGAGCATCTACAAAATAACTCATTCAGCGCAATAAAAATTTGAAATGGACTTGATTAAACCTCACACAGCAACTATCGCAAACAGGTGTTTCGTCAAAAAGTAGAAGAGCAGGCACAGTTTTTTCCAGATGCCATTGCTGTCCCTGCTGCCATCGTTGCTCAGCGTCCTTATTTTAAAAGGACACCTACAGATTGCATTTCACTGAATATTATTCTGCATGAAGCATCCTTTAATTATGTTAATGACATGTAATCCTGATCATGTGTCCTTCTTACTCCATAAGGTGATTGCACAGCTTCAGGGTGAAAGAGACAAAGCCAGACTGGAGAATCAGACTCTCCAGCAGAAACTCAAAGACTCCATAGAGCAGATGACAGGTAGTCCAACTGCACTCACTTACATTAACCTAGCTAATAAAAACCATGCATTTCAACAGCTTATATAAAATGATTGAAAAGTGGCGTTTTTGCAGACAAATTTGAGAAACACAAGAAAAAACTCATGGAGGACCTGGAGCGAGAAGAGAGGCTGCGGAAGTAAAAACCACATTTATAAGCTACATTTCAGAGCACTGATTTTGAACTTCCACATTCAGTTTATACATTCTACACTGAGTATAGCTAAAGCTTGTCTGCTGTGGTTTGTCAGGGTGGCAGAGCACAACAGTGAGCTGCAGAAGGAGGACTTGGAGAAGGAGATCTTGGCACTGAAGGAGGAGAACCGCAGGCTGAGAGAGGAGAAGGTTCGGCTGCAGGCACAGATTGAGGAGGACACACAAGTCAACAAAGAGCTGCAGGAGCAGCTCAGTCAGCTCACCAAACACGTCAAGGTAGATAGTATAGACTCATTTATGTCCCTTTCTAAAAATTCCCAGGCTATTTTCAAATATAATTACTATGTTTTTTTTGTTTATGTTCACTCTGTGTCCTCCGCTGTGTGAAAAGTTAGTCACATTGGTATATTCAGTAAATTTTAATTAATTTAAATGAATCATACCAAAACAATTAAATCAAACAGTGAACTGTGAAATTTGAAATGTTGTGATCAGGGCTTTCACACATCCTGGAAAACCTGGAATATAGTTTTCCAGTCATTGGGTCATTGGGGTTCATAGGTAGGATGCATGTCGACAGTCATTTTATTAGGGCAAGTCCAGTACTAATAGTATTATTCATGATCATCACAAGCAGGGGTCAGAAAAGCAGGCAGGCAGGTACACACGAGGCAAATCCATTATAAAAAGTCAGTAAACAAAGCAATACAACACAAAGAAACACAGCTCAGAACTCACAACAGAGATTTTGCAAAACTCAAGACTAAAGAGTTGGGTGTACATCACCAAATGTCCATAAATCAGCTGCAGGAGTGTGTAATGATCTGTGTGTTGTGGGTGGAGCAGGAGATGGACACCTTAAAACAGGAAAAAAAGAGAAAACTGACAAAATCCTGGTAAAAAAGTCCTGGTAAAATGTAAAGTCATAGGCTTTACAATAGGCAATTAAACCACTGATATTGAATATTATATCATATTCTTACTTGCATGTTTTAACATATTTAGCTGGTAATGATTAGTTTAGGTGTCTGTAATTAGCTTTTGTAGTTTTAAATGCTGCAGCGTCACATGGACATTAGGGGCCATGATGGTATGCCTGGTAGAGCGAGCTCCATTAACACACGCCAGCTTCATGCAGCATGTAACATTCACTTCTAACATTTTAGTAGAACCTGTGATGATTGATGAGATTATGGACTTTAATGTTAATCAATGTCAGCAATTATGCATCATTTAAAGACACTCTTTCATGAGCAACAGATGTCGTGCATATAAGTCACAGATATCGTCTTGGAATAAGAATCATAATCAGAATTATTTGTTATGAGATTTACACCCTTTCCAACTTTCCAACTGATCTGTCCTGACTGTTAATTCTGGTGTTTCTGTAGGTGATACCAGAGTTACGTAAGGAGATTAACAGCCTCCAAATGGAAAAAGATGAAACTGACAGAAAGATGAGGGAGCAAACTCAGCAGACCAGAGGTACTGCGTGATACCTAAGACTATAGTATGAGTAGCAGTAGATAGATTTAACATATTGCTTTCGAGATGGGATTCTTTGTGTAGATTATGACATAATGATAATGATTGACTTAATACAATAATAAAACGGGTATAGAGACTGAGATTCCTATATAGCTCAATGTGAAGGTGTAGAAATCTTCAAATAAAGCTGGTCTTCTACATAGATCTCATATTTATATATTATATATTATATATTTCATGATGCCATAATCATCATCTCATTTGAACAAAATGTCCCGTTTCTTATGGACTATGAGGCAGTGAGTGAGACCTATATTTGTCTTTCCTCAGAGAAAATGAATTTGATTACGAGACGGCTGCTGGGTGAGGCTAAAGAAGAGGAGCTTATTCTCAGGTTGTGTTATACCTTACCTACTTAAATGCAAATGCCTGTTTATCTGAGCAAGTGTTGCTGTAAGATGCACGTTTTCTAGGCCACTAAAGAGCTTTTAAAAAATAGCCATACATTTTTTGAATTTTTAGGTGTTAACATAAGTTCTTCTGCTTGCTCTGAGTTTGACGGTTGATCTTATTTCAGGATGAAAAAAGAGGCAACAGAAAATGCTGATGATGAAGGAGATCTTCTGTTTGCCTTTGATGGGCTGCAGAATGCTACCAGGTTTGAAACAATTACATTTACAGATTTATCTGTGTTTTGTTAAGCATTTTAACCAGTCCTTCTCTCTCTCTCTCTCTGTCTCTGTCTCTCTCTCTTTGTCTCTTTCTCTCACTCTCTTTCCCTCTTTTTTCTCTCCCTTTCTCTCTTTCTCTCTCTCTCTCTCTCTCTCTCTCTCTCTCTCTCTCTCTCTCTGGTGTAGGGTGATGGAGACTCAGCTGAAGGAGCAAAGGGAAGGTTATGAGAGTCAGGTGGAAGCGCTTGTCTTTAAGAATGATCATCTGACTAGAGAGAACCAGCAGCTGCAGGCTCTCTTTCAGGAGAAAAGTGATGTCAACCGCAGCATTGGACAGGAAGTGGCCCGCCTCAATGCGGAAAACATGGTACTACCACCCTTCTTAATTTTTGACACTCTTTATAGTTGCATTTATAGCATTCGCCAGAAGCTCTTATCCAGAGTGATTTACAGAAGTTTTATTGTGTTCTTGGAAAACGTCTTCTTAGGTAAGTGCAAATGGGCCAAATGTCTAAAGATACCCTGAAGCTAAAGCACTGCCAGAAACAGGAGTCAGTGCTGATACACCACAAACTGGACCATATATCCTTGTTGTCATTCCTACTCCTGGATGACCTCAACACTGTACAGTGTTCTCCAACACTCGTGATACAGCTCCAGAATTAGAGCACATAGAAAGCACTGAACTGTGCAGTGGCTCTACTGGACTGTGAGTGTAACTGTTTAGCTGTGTGTTATTCCTGTGCTTCTGTAAAGCATCACTCAAATCATAGTACATGAAAACACTAATACTGAAGGTTTTCCTCAGAAAATGAAAGAAAAAATAAAAAAAAAATTTGGAGAACGATCATATTATGCATTCACTGTCCATCAAAAGGGGACAGCTAACATAAAACGTTTTTCATTCATGAGCATTCTGAACTGGTTTGTAATAAGATGTTTAGATCATTTTTTTTGCAAAACTGTCAGCTGTCAAAAAGGCTATTTTTGGAATAATGCCAAACCCCACAATGTATTGGCTTATGTAGCATGTTTTCTCACCTGAACAATGAATTTTGCGTTAAATTTTGGGTGGAAATGTTAATTTTAGTTTGGCCTTAGTGCTAAGAACACATACAAACTGAGTTAGAAAATGTAATTTAATTTGGTTTCAAATTATTTGTGGCTGACCACAAACTTTGAAATAATAGATCAAATAGAGATAAATAGTAAGATAACAGAACAACAATCTGTGTCTTACATTGTTATGTAAGCTTATTATCTGATGTCCATTTAAGTGAGCTATGTTACTTTTTAAAGTTAAAACAACAAATTATAGACAAAGAAATCTGAGCCTCCTCGGGGGCTCCTGCGTGGTGTTACTGTCTAAAAGTTCAAGCCAACATCAGGAGATCATGAGTTTGAATCCCAGTGATGCCACAGCCATCCATACCTGGGAGCCCAAGAGGAGAAGGAGATGGTAGGAGTTCCAGCTAGTAAAGAAATTGGTAAAGAAAAATACTAAACGATAGTAAACAAGGTAAACAATATGTTGTGTAACTCCAGAAAAGCTGTGTAATAAGTTACCTTATAATTTTAAGTTGAGATGACATTTGTACAGTGTATCTTTCTAATGTGCGCTCTTAACAATAGGTTAAAAAAGAAAACTGTCAAACTTTTAATTAAGAAAAACCAAGGAAGACATTTTAATGCATATGTGTTCGCAAATAACTGTATTTATGTTCAAAACTTAGCAGGTATTTTTTCTTACTTAATTAAAAAGTGCTGCAAAAATAGAAATTTTCTTGGAATTCTTGGAACATTTCAGAAAGAAGAGAAGGTCCTTTTGACAGGCAGTGTGCATGTGCTGTGTGTAGGTGATCCCAGAGCTGAAGCAGCAGGTTTCAGAACTACAGCGACACAGACAAGAGCTGGAGACTCAGCTAAAGGAGCAAAGCGCTGAGATGAATGGTGAGCTCTTCAGAAAGAGTTTTACAGCAGTTTAAGCCTTAATTTTTCTTAATTTTAATTCTTAAACATTCTGTCTGGTGATTGCGATTCTTTCTCTCAAATGCATTTGTCAGACAAAATGATGAAGGTATCCAGTGAACTTCAGAGCAAACTTGAGGAGGAGCGCTCCCAACGGAGGTGAATATCACTTCACCATAAAATACACCCTTTTTCAAATCATAAAGCCATCTGGCAGAACTGACAGTGTGTACATTTTTGTTCTGTATGGATTTCTATCTGCAGGCTCTTGGACGAGAGGAATAGAGAGAGTGAGAGGGAGAAGGAGGAGCTGGAGAGGAGGTTGGAGGAGCTTGAGGAGGAGATGGAGCAGATAAAGAGACTCCAGCAGGCAGAGAGTGAAGCAAAGAACAAATTCAGGCAGGAGACTTCCCGCCTTACAGCTGAGAATATGGTATGTGTGTTTATTACTGTCCCAGCCTACTTGTGTACATCACATCTCATGGGTAATGGAAGTGAATTGAATAGGAATTGAATGGAATGGAATGGAAAGGAATTGAATTGAATTGAATTAAGCAAGGCTGGGTTTCTCAAAAGCATCTTAGTGCAAAGCTTATTCCAAAATGGTAGAGCGAGCACCACACAGAACACCAGCTCTACCAGCTAAGAGGATCTTAACACTGAAATGCTTTTTGTAGACTGGGCCCTGAAATTAACTGAATTCAGTTGAATATACATTATTGTCCCTGAGGAGAAAATTGTCTTGTTCTCAGTGTGGCTGCCCATATAAAAACAAAATATTTAAGTATACTTACATAACACGTTCATTCGTCCAGTCATACATACAGTCATACGCCACTTATTCCAAGGTCTTTTGTATCATGTAATAAAATTGTCAATCTAAAAAAAAGTCTATAAACATCCTCTGTGCTCTGTAAATTTTAGCACTGTTATATCAAAACCATGTCCATTTTTTCTTTTTTTTCAATTTTTCATACCTTATTTGAGAAGCTGCTCTTCATATTGTGTGAGTACTTCATAATGAGTGGACCAGTAGAAATGCTCCAAACTTGGCTTTGTTATTTGAAACAAAGTATCTTTAAATTAACTTAAAGTTGAGAACATTTTGACTTTATTGTTTTGCCTTTGGAGATCAGATTTTCTTTGGACACAGACGAAAGCAGCATAGTATATGAAAACACTTATTACAGTTATACAATTATTGATACAATAATTATTGACATAACAGCAGCTTAAAACAAAATCCATGGCTATGAAGAAGATTGTCTCCAAAAAAACAATAAACAGTAACAATCAGTGAAAAGCTTTGTACCTGTTTGGTTGCACACACATTGTTCTCTTTTGTTCCAGGACTTTGAGGAGCAGTTAGATATGAAGGACAGAACCATAAAGAGACTGCAGGACCAAATCAAAGCTCTTCAGGCACCTGTGAAAGGTAACCTGTGTTTCCAGCTGTGTGTGATCTCCTGTCCTGGGTTTAGATGTGGGACGCTGTCTACTCTGTTCTGTGTTTGATCTTCCCCACAGTGAACCAGAAAGCTGCACCAGCCCTTCCTAAGGAATACCTCGGCATGCTGGAGTATAAGAAGGAGGATGAAGACAAGCTTGTGCGCACATTAATACGGGGTAAATACTCCTCACAGTGTGCAGTCCACACTCTATATAGACAACACACAACAGACTCATTGAATCAGGAATGAACCGAGTTTTTCTATTTTTTAAAGTTAGATAAAGTTACATGTTTTTTGACATATAAAGAGTAAATAGGCCTACAACAAAGTGCCACAATTTACATTTCACAAATTACCTCAGTAGTAATGAGAATTAGAAATATGATTAAAAAGATACTGTTTCCTTTGTATGCTTTGCATGCATGTCATACAATTTAAATAAATTAGTATAATTTATGCAGTGGTACAAAATGCAAAATACAAAAAACAAACAAAAAATAATAAAACCCTTTGTTTTTGGTTTAGATTTCCATCATAGGGACTCTTATTTTTCAGTGCATCAAGAAAGTACATTTCTTTTGATATGAAAAGTGCTTGAAAGATTACAAACCCACATACACAAACACTCACGAGTCTGTGTTGTGCAGAGCTGAAGCCGAGGGGTGTGGTGGTGAATATGATCCCTGGGCTGGCAGCACATCTCCTCTTTATGTGTGTGCGGCATGCTGATTACCTCAGTGATGGAAACAAGCTGAAGTCTCTAATGCACGCCATCATCACGAGCATTAAGCAAGTCATAACGGTACGAAGCTCTGACTGCTTCAGATCATTATACTGAACGCAAAGTAGTAGTTTAACAAGAAATCAAATTTATTTTCCCCTCACCCCAAATGTAGCAGATCAAATGGAGGAATCATTACTTTTACTTACTGTTATCTCTAAAAAACAGACAAAAACACATAAAAAATTTAGGCTTTTAGCTGTGTTGTAATTTTGTCCCTCTTTTATACATACGTAAAATTTAGACACCAAACATGTTTTTGTTGGTAAACTCTATTAGGAAAGGACAATTATGTAAATTAGAGTTTTTGCTGGATGACTTTTAACTGTTGAGTGATAACTGTTCATCCTCCTGTTTCCAGGATCATCAGGAAAACTTTGAAATTTTGTCCTTCTGGCTCTCGAACACCTACTACCTGCTCAACTGCCTCAAACAGTACAGTGGAGAAGAAGTGGGTCTAATCCCCCAAATCCCATCATCCCCAGCCCATCATTAACATCTTATCAACCCTTAGTTACCCTTAAGAAAGCTTTGTTAAGAGATTAAAGTGTTGTCTTACTGTCTCAACAGGAGTTTATGAAGCATAACACACAGCGACAGAATAAAAACTGCCTGCAGAACTTTGACCTGTCGGAGCACAGGCAGATCCTCAGTGATCTCGCCATCCGCATCTATCACCAGTTCATAAACATCATGGAGGACACCCTCTTTCCTATGATTGGTATGTTACTGTATGTCCTTTTTTTACTGATTTCATATCAGTTAAGTGGTTAGTCTCAGAAAATGTAAAGACCACCTTTTGGGCAGGTGGTATTTTACCTAACAGCAGCATAAAAGGGCAGGTGGCATTTAAGGGCTCATATAATGGAAAAAATATTTTTTTCTTGCTTTAAAATGTACTGCTCACTGCCCAGTCCTTACAGTCCATGACCAGCGGCAAAAACAGACTATTTTGAATTATAACATCATAAAAATTAACACACTTACATATGATCACCCATTCAGCCCACAGCAGTGTAGCTCACTCATTTACACTGAAGTGATACAGAGTGTTCATACTGCAGAGAGTCTGTAGCAGAAATATGATAGCAGTAGATGTTTGGAAAAAAATGATTAAATGTTGCTGTTTAATATATCATTGCAGCTTTTTAAAATATCCAGACATCTGAAAGGAGTGGCTGAATTTTTTTCCATGTCCCTAAGGATTTCTGTTCATACTGTACAATAAGTACATTTCAGCCCACAGCTATTGGAACACAGGGCAGCCAGAGAGAACATTCATTATGTATTTATTTTAGTTATTTTATCTATGACGTTTGATATTTCTCAAAAAACAATTTTATATTTCCAGTGTTTCTTTAGCCATTACAATGAAAATATCCTGTTTCCTTTTAATGGCTGAAGACACGTTAAGTAGACTTCGTAATATATGAAAAACGTAATATATGAAAATGTTGATGTTTTTTCCCCACTATTTAAGGTATCAAATTCTGAGATGATGCCTAAAGGTTCAGTTGAGAAGAGAAAATCATGTATATTAAACTACTTCAGAATAGAACACCAACCAAAAATATCCAGCTGACATTAGTCCTGTGGTCAGAAACTGACCAGTGGTGAAGGGCTAGGAAAGGCAGAACTGATTGTAGTCAAACACACTGAAAAGATCATGCAAGGAAAAAAAAACTGAGAAAGCAGGTAGTGGAGCTAGACAAGGAGACTGAGATGAGAGCTGTGTATCTATGACATATGTCATACATATACTGTACACTAAAGCATATTGTTGTTGTCAGAACAAAACCTTACCTTTACAGGAGAAAGAAAATCATTTTTAACTTTTAATCTTAATGGCTTAAGTTAATGTAACAAGATTTTATTATAGTAAGTTATAATAAGTAAATATAGTATGTAGTAAGTAATTATTGGAGCATTCCTATTGGTCCATTTGTCATCAAATTTTAAAACAATGTAAAGGGCAAAAAAACAGAAAAAATGGAGATACAAGTTTTTGCTCTGACCATGACAATACATTGGTGTGTTATTTTCAACCAGTCTCTTTGATTAAAACATAAAACTTAAAGACAGAGTTGAAGTAATTTGAATTTATTCTTAACAAGTAATAAAAAGCATTGAATTTGATTTTTTAAATTGTGCAGCAATTCTGAATTTGGCCCTGTGACAATGCCAATGCAGTACTGATGATATTCACACACATTCACACATTTAAAAAAATAATGCCAGTGCAGTTAGACTGTCTCTACACAAGAGTACGCTGTACTATGTGTCTGAGGTGGGGTGGTGCGTTCTCTGTGGCTGTAGTCCCTGCGATGCTGGAGCACGAGAGTCTGCAGGGCATCTCCAGCATGAAGCCCACAGGTTTCCGTAAGCGCTCCAACAGCCTGCTGGAGGACGGTCACAGCGAGGGTCAGGCCTACAGCATCTCCTCCGTCCTGCAGCTGATGAATGCCTTCCACAGCAGCATGGTGCAGCATGGTATGGAGCCACAGCTGCAGGGACAGGCCATCCGCCAGCTCTTCTACCTGATAGGAGCAACCGCACTCAACAGCATCCTCCTGCGCAAAGACCTCTGCTCCTGCCGCAAGGGCATGCAGATCAGGTCAGTCGCTTTTCTTAACTAGGGCAAGGCCGTATAAGCTCCATTGGGAATGCCATAACAGTGTCATAAATGGCATGAATAACTACCACTTTAGTTTAGTTTTGTTCTAACAGAGATAATGTTCTCGTGCTGTACTGGAAATTAGGTCACATATTTTTCACTAATGAATGTTTAGACTGCTGTACTGTGTGCTGATCCGAACTGATCAGATTCTCTCTCCTGCAGGTGTAATATCAGTTATTTGGAGGAGTGGTTGAGGGAGAAGGGTCTGCAGGGCTGCAGTGTGATGGAGACTCTGGGGCCGCTGTCTCAGGCTGCTTGGCTTCTGCAGGTGAATAAAACTACTGACGAGGACGCAGCTGAGATCCAGCAGAGATGCTATGAGCTCTCTCCTGTCCAGGTACAGCACATCGGTCCATCCATGCACTCCTTCATTCTTACAGCTGTTATGTAGCCTCTCTGTCAGGGGTTACATTTAGCCAAAACACCTCTGGAGCAGAGCTATAATTTTGATGGAAATGAATGACGTGAACAGCAACTGGAGCTCTAATGTGATGGAAATATAAGGCATTTCTGTTCAATCTTTGTAAAATCCATGTAATCCATGATTACTGGTTGCATGCTGCATGCTAGGCTGATTTTGTGAAGGAGCTCCTCCTCTCGTTCTGCTGATTTTTTTCTGTGTCATGCAAATGCGTATTCAATTCATCCTGCTGTTTCATAGCGTTTCCACCTTGCTCTGTAATTTGGTTCATCTTCATGTCATATTAGTCAGGCCTCACAGGTCCCACAGGTGCTCAATTGGTTTCAAGTCTGGGGAATTAGGGGGCCAGGGTAGTACTTGGAAGTCTTGATCATGCTCTTCCAACCAATGTCGGACATTTTTAGCTGCGTGACATGCCGCATCATCTTGCTGGAAAATCCCCCGCCCCATGGAAGACAATCAGCATGTATGGGTGTACGTGATCTGCAAGGATGGATATATATATATATATATATATATATATATATATATATATATATATATATATATACTGAAAGTGAGTTTTAACTATATTTATAGGATGCTATAGGAGCTGTAATCTATGTAATCTCTTATCTCTTACTAAACACCTACAACCTCATCACCTCTTATTATAACCCTTGCTTGCTGCCTGTGTTCTCTTAATGATCTCTTTCCTCTGTGATTCTTTTAGATTGTGAAGATCCTCAACTCATACACACCCATCGATGATTTTGAAAAGCGGGTTGCACCATCATTCGTGCGTAAAGTTCAGGTAAGCTTTCATGTGTCAGTCATGCAAACATTAACCATCTGACAGAAAACTTTCTGTAGATTGAAGCGTTTTGCTGATAATTAGAGGCCTTTCGTTCATTCTATTGTATTATACTGTATTGTATGTGTGAAGAATGAATGTAATCACTGTGAGTTGTGGATTTACTGAATGCTTTTACATGTTCATTCCGGTTGGGATTCTGCCCTGTAACAGGCGCTGCTGCAGGAGCGTGAAGGCTCGAATCAGCTCATGATGGATGCACAGTATCGCTTCCAGGTCACATTTCCTTTCTGCCCCTCCACACAAGCTCTGGAGCTCCTCCAGGTTCCCAGCAGCCTTCACCTGGGCTTCCTCACCCGCATATGACCTCTGACCCAGACCACTGACTGACTCTTCAGCGTCAAGCCTTGAATCAAAATTGGAATCAATGTGCTGTTAAAATGATACTTTTATTATATCATAAATTTTATAAATGAATGACTCTTTGATTCACACATGAAAACCTGGTCATTAACTTATTTTAGTACCATGAAATGCTCTACTGTGTGATTTTTTTTTTTTTAACCTTTGAAGGTTTCTTTGTGTATAAAAAGTCTCAGGGAATAGAAAGAAAACTGTTTCCTGTGCAGCAAAAAGCAAAGTTTATCTTAGATACAGTATTTATACATTTTTATTTCAAACTTATTGTCAAGATCAAACATGAACAAAATTTGTAATTAATCATTGCTTGAACCAGATCATATGAAAGCCTTAGATATATTAAATGTACCACTTTGTTTGAGAAATTAAGTATTACGATAAATGTTCAATAATTTATCTTGTGCAATGTATGTAATAAATCAGCTGATACCGCTGCTCTGCTTAAATCCCATTTCAAACTCCACCATAGCTGATGTAACTCATAAATATTCATTATATCTTAGTAACTCCTCTGAGGGCTCCTAATGATTAGAAAGCAGAATTGCAGCATATGAACTGACTTACTGGGTGGCTGAGAGTAACCTATCTATCCATCTATCTATTATCTATCCATCTGTCTATCCATCTATCCATCCGTCTGTCCATCCATCCATCTACACTCACATCCATTTTATCAGCTCCACTTACCCTATATGTGCATTTAGCAGCTCAGCAATTACAGACTGTAGTCCATCTGTTTCTTGGCATACTTTGTTATCCCACCTTTACCCCGTTCATCAGTCAGGACCCCCACAAAACCTATATTAGGACATATGTATAATAAGACATATAATGTGTGCGTGTGTGTGTGTGATATGTAGATGTTCTGTCTAGATTGCTCTGATATTGATTGCTGAGCTGAGAGCCTGTCAGAGAGCTGAGCTGTAACCCTGCTGCTGAACTCACCCGGGTCGTTGTAGGTAGAGCATCCTTCTCGTGACGTCACGGCAGCTGCGTCAGCTGTTGCCTTTCTAACATCCCTCTCTTTCTCAGGACTCCCCCTCTTCCTCTCCCTCTCTCTCCCTTTCTCTCTCTCCATCGGAAACATAATAACCCATCGCGTGCAGGTGAGGCAAATTTTCCTTTGGCAAAAATGGCTGCACAGGAGGTGCAGCCTAGTGAGACCATAGCCAAGCTGAAATCAGAGTCGGAGGCGCTGAAGACCAAGCTGGAGGAGGAGAGAGCCAAACTGCACGATGTGGAGCGTAAGTGCATCAGCTGGGCCTCTCACTGCACAGACCACAGGCACTCGTTTATCACATATTATATGACATCTATAGACCTTTAGCTCCGCGGCTCGTGTGGACGGTCAGCTCTGACTCACATCAGCGAGGGGATGGAGACGACGGTGGTGTTGTGGTGCGCTGTTCTCGAGGCGCTCTGAGTGTGTGTACTGCTCGGTTTACCTGAGGAGGTTTAGTGATGTGATGTGATGGTGGCTCTATTGCTGGATTATGATTTTCGAGCTTCAGGCCTGCTTTGTGTTGAGCAACCAAGCATCAATAAAAATCGACGATACTCTTGTTCCTACAGCGTTACGCTACCACACACACACACATCCAGTAGCATTATTTTTCCTAACCGTCGTCTGAGTTGAAGGATAATTACAGCCTGCGTTTGTTCACAGACGGTAAAAGCTGAGGTGTCGAAACATTATTAACGAAAAGAGAGGTCGAATAAAGCTGTGATTCCTCCCACAGTACACCAAGTGGCAGAAAAGGTGGAGCCCCTGGGGCAGTTCGTCATGAAGACGAGGAGAACCCTGAAGGGTCACGGGAACAAAGTGCTCTGCATGGACTGGTGTAAAGACAAGAGGAGGATTGTGAGCTCCTCACAGGTAAACCGGTTTAACTCACATATATGTACAGCAGACAGAGCCGTTAGCGCCACGCTAGGCGCTATCCAGGGTTCTGAACGAGATATGACTGAATAACTCAGGTTTGTCCTAGCCATCAGTCCTACTGCGCATGCGCGTTTCATTAGTATGGCACAGTAACTTAGTATTTCTAACATTTTATTGTGTTTTAGTGTTAATTCTGCCTCACTCAAACACTGTTAAACTACACTAACTTAATTTTTTGGTTTACTACTTTGTTAAAATTACTAATACAAATCTAGTAACACACTATTTCTTGTATAATCTTGAGTTACTGAGGTAAATCTAGTTCAGATCAGTTCATTTGGATCAGTCCTACAGACTAAAGAGTCTTATGCCCAAAAAGGTTCCCAGCATTTATAGCAGTTTTGCTAATTTATGTTAATTAACTCTTGTTTTGCTAATATATAAATATAATTCTCCTTGCAAAATGTTATTTTTGTGTTAGAGCATACTCTCCTGTTAAATATTAAGTTTCGCTGCATTTCTACATGTTGCTGTTATTTTCACCATGATGGTGTTTTGTGTTCAGATGTATCAGTTCAGCCTTAAAATGGATGTTCCTAATCTTAACTAGGCCATTTATTCGTTACTGTACAAAGCAGCTCATTTAACATAATGTTTTAGTTGATGCTCATATATTACACAAAGAAGGATATTTCAGTCACGTTAGCCTAACTAATTCATGAGTGAGCAGAACCTGAAAAAGTAAACCACTGGCAGCTCAGTGGGAACCACTTATGATTACTGGGCTGTTTGAATTAACCTCACTGCAGAAGTTTAGATCACTGAAAATTAGAAAGTAACTACAACTCAAATATAAAGTTATTTAAGTTTGAACCTGTTAAGTAACTTTACTTGATATTTTCAGGGTAATAAGTTTGCATGAATTTTTAGTCAACTGAGATTACAGTGAAGAGTACTGTACAGACTTAGCTTTATGATACCATTTACCATTGATAAAAAGACTTAGGCTTATCCTAAGTCCTACTTATAGTTTTAATGCTGGTAGCATTTGTTGGTAAGTTAATTTTGGCTGTCAACATATCCTACCTCTACTCTTAGTGCTGCTAGCATTATCTGATAAGATGATTTAGGCTATCAATTTGTGCTACATATGATTTTTAATGCTGGTAGCATTTTCAGATAAGGTAATTTGGTAATTTATCAAAATATCCTACCTATAGTTTCATGTAGGAATCTGTCTATAAATATGCACTATGGTAGGACATTATGACCAGCTCCTGGTCCTAGTGTGGTCCATGTTCTAGCTCAGTGTTGTATGTTAAATTCACCGTGTGCTCTATTTTGTCCTCTAGGATGGAAAAGTGATTGTATGGGATGCATTTACAACCAACAAGGTAATCACTCCATGCTCAGAATTGTTAGGATATATCAAGCTCATATAAAGAGAGTATTTATTTTAAAAACAGATGTTTTTCTGCTTCCTTCTCCTTTATCACTAGGAGCATGCGGTGACTATGCCATGCACATGGGTGATGGCCTGTGCATATGCCCCGTCTGGGTGTGCAGTAGCCTGTGGGTGAGGACCTGGGACCTTTTTGTGAAAGAAGACTCTTATAAAGAAATATAAATCAATATCCAAAGAGATTCCTTGTTAAAACTTTGTGTTCATAGCAGTTTGCTGAAAATAGAAAACACTGTAGCTTCAGGTGCTAAATTTTCCAGCTAAGAATACTGATACTAATTTATAATAACCCCTTAAACTGCAAATCCTCATTGTCATAACTACATAACCTACATCTTAGTTTGGGAGTAGGTATTGTGTAATTCATAGTAATTACTGCATAACATGCCTATAATAACTGAATAATAAGCTTGCAGTTTAAGGGTTAAACAGTGGAAGTATTTTCTCTCTATGACTTGTGTAATCTTGTTTGTGCTTCTCAGTGGTCTTGACAACAAGTGCTCAGTTTACCCGTTATCCCTGGACAAGAACGAGAACCTGGCGGCTAAGAAGAAGTCAGTGGCCATGCACACCAATTATCTGTCTGCCTGCAGCTTCACCAACTCAGACATGCAGGTGCAGAACACTATTTTAAAAAAAAGAGCACTATATACATATAGTTGATTAGAAACATCTCAGCTATAGATTCTGTGCCAATGAAGTTACTACTCATAGTATCAGCATATACTAACATATTAAAACAGCATCTTAATCCCTTAAACCCCAGAGGGCCCATATGTGGGCCCACACTTCAGTTCCTCTTATAACTACATGACTTACATATTCATTTTAATAGCAGTTACCAAGTAGTTCTTAGCAATTACTGAGTAATAAGTGTTAAAACTAATAACTGAATAATAAGCTTAGAATTAGAGTAAACTGGGGTTAAATGTGCTGGGTAGTTCTGCTTTGATAGAACTGGGATATCAAGAAAGTAGTCTCGTAAGCCTTCCACCTAACATCAGAGTTTCGTGGGTTTTGCCACTCAAAAGAGCCATAAACTGCCTATTTTGAGAGGGACTATTTGATAGACATGCAAAACAGAAATGCATAAACACGACAGTGCAGATAGCCAGTGACACTGTAACTGACAATCTGATAGTTGTGGCCATCTTAGTGTACAATAAATGTTACGCAGTCCGTACACCTCTGTGGGTGGAGCATCTGAGACGGCTGAGGTTATCAACAAAGTGTGTCTATGCTCTCTGTTGAGTGTCAGTAATGGTTATGAATCTTCACCCAGACTATGATTTGATCTTTATTGCCAGATTCTGACATCGAGTGGTGATGGAACCTGTGCACTGTGGGATGTGGAGAGTGGGCAGCTGCTGCAGAGTTTCCATGGTCATGCAGCTGATGTACTTTGCCTGGATCTCGCCCCCTCTGAGACTGGCAACACCTTCGTCTCTGGGGTTAGAAGATTCCCAAATAAACCAGAAATACATCAGCACTCTCTCTCACTTCCACGCTCACACACGGACACATTCACACCACACGCTTGTTATGCTTGTGCGATGACCTGTGTTTTCTCTTTTTCTCCATCTCTTCCTCAGGGCTGTGATAAGAAGGCGAATGTATGGGACATGCGCTCGGGGCAGTGCATCCAGTCATTTGAAACACATGAGTCAGATATTAACAGCGTGCGGTGAGGTCCTTCCTCCCTTTGTGTGACCAATGAGCCATTCAGGAGCCTGAAAGGAACACTCCAATGTTTTTCAACCTGGTCTCTATCTACTACATCTAGAGATGGCACCAATGCCATACCAGTAATAGGGCTGATATCAGCGGAAAACGCTGGGTCGGGTGATATAAGGAAAAAAGAATGAATGTGATCTGTAACAAATCTGTCCTGAAATAGCACTGTTCACTCTGTGGGATGTGATGTTAGCTGTGTATTTCTTCCTGTGGGACAGCAGAGTGTTTGAGTGGTTTAAGCATAATAGTCTACTTTTAAATGCTCATCTTAAGTTCTTAAATTAAAAGTAGCTCATTTTAGAGCTTTAATTTTTAAGAAAGAAATTTAAGTATTGAAAAATCAGTACCGGTATACACAAGATTTAATACTGGCATCAGTATTGGAAAAGACAGAGTGGTAGCAACATCTGTAGCATGCAGGTGATTACTATGAAAGCATACTTAGTATAACAACAGAAAACCTACAGACTCGAAAATGACTTCTAATAGAAACTGTAGAGCAGGTGCTGAAGGGGAGCGCATCTAAATGATTGTTCATGGTAAAGATTGTTCTTGGTAAACAGTCATATGCTACAGATGAAGTAGATAGAGATTTGGTTGAAAAATGCTGAATTATTCTTTTAACTGACCAGATTTATTGGTTTGTTTCTTCCGAGGCAGCAGAATGTATTTACACTGCTGCTAAATGCTAAAAATGGGCTTTTTAAAGCAGTGGTTTGTTGTGCTTTTTTCTGCTGTAGATACTATCCTAGTGGGGATGCCTTTGCCTCTGGCTCTGATGATGCTACTGTAAGTTTTCCTCATTCTGTGTTCCTTTCCTTAACCTCAATATTTACCTTAACCTTAACAGTCCTGTGAGAGATCACTGCACTATAGTTTATTAATCTGGTCCGTTTTCAGTGTCGTCTCTATGACCTGAGGGCAGACAGAGAAGTGGCAATCTATTCCAAGGAGAGCATCATATTTGGAGCTTCCAGTGTGGACTTCTCTCTCAGTGGTAAGTGTCTCCACTGCTTATTATGTTATTTGCCTGATGTATTGTAGTTGTCTTTGATGTTTATCATGCATATTGACACTTGAATGGGTCATATTGAAAAATAAATTTCCCTTGCTTTTTTGAATAAAGGAGTTTGAAGTAATATGTAAACATTGTAATATGTATTATGAACTAATATGTAAACAAAGTTTCAAAAAAAGTACATTCACTACCCAGTCTATATGGCCCATATGTGGAAACTAAGCTGCAAAAACAGTTTTGAAAACAGCCCATTGTTTCTGTGATGTCATGAGAACCAGCTCATTGTCATAAATCCACCTATTCAGCACTACAGCAATTTTGCTCCACCCATTCCCACTGAAGCTCTAAGGAGTGTGTCAGCTCTGAGTGCTTTTTGAATGAAGCACGATAAAAGACAGCCAATCAGAACAGAGCTTATTTATCTTAGAGACACAGTAACAAATACAGTCTGTTTAATTCTAAGGGGTAAAGAAAGGTTGGAAAATCCATCCATCCATCCATCCATCCATCCATCATCTAAACCGCTTATCCTTCTGGGTCGCGGTGGGGTGCTGGAGCCTATCCCAGCTGTCATTGGGCGGAAGGCAGGATACACCCTGGACAGGTCGCCAGTCCATCGCAGGGCAGACAGACAGACATACACAATCACTCACACCTAGGGGCAATTTTAGCATGTCCAATCAGCCTGACTGCATGTTTTTGGACTGTGGGAGGAAACCGGAATACCCGGAGGAAACCCACGCAGACACGGGGAGAACATGCAAACTCCACACAGAAATGACCCTGGTCACCCAGCCGGGAATCAAATCCAGGCCATTCTTGCTGTGAGGCGACAGCACTACCCACTGCGCCACCGTGCCGCCAGGTTGGAAAATGGTCATGTAAAATTAATTAGGACCATTTTTGATACATAAAATTACACAAATGTTGACCTTGAGAATAAAAGTTAAAATACAAGAAATCTGTTGAATATGGGCCCTTTAGATTACTTTAGTTTTGTTGTACTATTCAAATGAAACTACATAGTCAATTATGAGTTACGTAATGAAGTACATTTACACTACATCAATGGCTATGAGTCTGCATTTCTGTTTTTTTCTGATCTCAAGAAAATAATAAAAAATATGTCAAAATAGTATTTTTATGAGACAAGACTGTACACACAGCAATAACTTTTCATCCAATTCCAATCATAATAAAACATGTCCTCTTCTACTTACAAACACAAACATTGTACTGATGCTTGAATCTGCACCTTTGGCAGATTTGTATCAATAAGTGAGAAATAATTCATATCAGATTCCATCCTCATTTTTGTCTTTGCTGTTGATAACTGCAAGTTAAAGAAGTTAAATAGGTTAAGAAGTTAATGTATGTCTTCAGTCTTCTCAGAGAAAGAGTGCAGATCGAGTACATCTGATCATCACAGATCAGTAGTCTTATTCTGAGTTGTATGGTATCTGTTTTAGAAAGTGCTTTTATAAGCTTCATCAACCTGTTTGCATGATGTTGATGTAAACTGTGTCCTGCAGGCCGGCTACTGTTTGGCGGCTACAATGACTACACCATCAACGTTTGGGATGTTCTGAAAGGAACTCGTGTGTCCATTTTATTTGGACATGAGAACCGAGTTAGTACACTCCGTGTTTCTCCAGATGGGACAGCGTTCTGCTCAGGGTCGTGGGACCACACTTTACGGGTAAGAGAATGAAGAGCACACGTGTCCTGCTGATTTGTTTGTGGTTTTTTAAATAAGGTTTTAGAGAGAGGAGATTCCACATTTCTTCCTTCAGTGTTCTAGAATGCTTTGAATGCAGATAAGGCAGTCCAGTGACCAATGAATATTCGAAGAGTTAATTTGCAAAAAACGATAAATGCCATCCAGTAAAAAAATTAGCTGACTCATGAGTAATTCTTAACACACAGTGTATTGTGAACTCTAAATATGTTTTGTCACAAAAGCTGTTACTGCCACTGTCAAATCAGTGAGCAGTATTCGGCTCAGATGATGCAGCACTGCCCCAATTGCAAAAGGACTCTTCATGTTTTAAAACTTCTCATTTTGAACTTAGATTGGTTCAGGTGATCTTTTCTCGTCTTTAACCAGATGTAAAGTCAACCTAAAATCAAAATGGGCCGTTTTTACCTTGTTAGTTTATTTACCTGGTCATTATAAGCATGATTCATCATATATGATTTAAAAGACAAAATTATTGTTTTCCCGTAGAAATGTAATGACCACTGCCTGCCTACCTCTTCTGATTTTCACCATGCACCAGCTGGCAGGGAGAAGTAATATTAACCATTAATACAGTGTTTCACTTCCCCTCCCACCACCCCACCTATCATATCCTGAAAATGCTCAGCTAGCCCAAAAGCCTTCCCTGAGAAAATACTCACTTGGAAATATGCATGGCACAGAAGGAGTTCAGATTCACGTTGACTTTAAGAATACTTCAATCATACCTTAATTCAGCTGAAGCTAGTAGATGGCATTTAGTTGTTAGCAATATTGATTGATTTTTTTCAGAGAGACAGATGTTTCAATCCAGATGATTGTCATTCTGATCTTGGCTTCTGTCTCTGCAGGTTTGGGCCTAAGGACTGATCGTCAGGTGGAGTGTGGTAACTGCAAGGTGCTGTCTGGCTTCATCATCAACATCAAGATTCACTAGAACGTCTAGAAACTCAGCGCGTGGGATTAAAAAGAAATGCACAGTAGAGTAGAACAGGGTTGAGAATGACAGTAGTTTATACTCAGACATACAGACCAGAGCACAAGCCTGTTTGCTTATTTTGTTAAAAAAAAATATACAGGATTAGAACCAGGTTCTTGGCCTAAAACACTGTACATACAACATCTACAGTATACGACCCACTGTCCTGGTTAATTTATACCAACGTTTCTGTAATAAAAACTGGTCCTCTCCTTGCAAACTCCTGTAATCACCCATTACATCTTATGATCTTGTTCAGGGCATCCAACTGAATTAACCCTTATTCTGTAGATATACAGTATAACTCAGTTAACATATCTAAACTTCATCTCTGTTCTGTATTAATTCAGTCTTAAGGCTGAATGCTGATGGCTGTTTGTAGGAGGCTGGTGTACTGAGTTGAAACTCAAATGATTTATAGTTTGAGTCTATTTGACTAGCAAATCAGCCAGCAGAAATAACAGAGGGATTTTTTGTGCTGATTGCTACTCTAATATGCAGACAATCCATACTCAGTTGAAATTATACAATATCATGTGCTCTCTGATATTTATATATATATACACATGTCTGATGGTAATATTTGCACTATAGTAACAGTTACTACTGTAGCGGAGTGTATATATCATAATAACTGACCACTATAATAGTATCATCCAAAATAAATGAGTTTTACAAATTGAATGACCTATGATTTTTCTGTTTTGTATTATTTTAAAATCACAAAATATTGTTGTAATCAGTCAAGCTACACTCATTATCCATGGACTACAAACTGTAGCCCATCTGTTATCATGCACAATTTGTCAGAAACCCTCTTTATATTGTATTTTTCATTCTACAACTGTCTTTATATAGTATTTACACACATTGTCCATTTTATCAGATATACCTACCATATAGGTGCACTGTTTTTAGATTTGCAATTCATGATTATAGTCCATCTGTTGCTGCACAGTTTATCACCCCCTTCTAGCTGCCCTGCTGAAAAAAACATAGAAAGTGTTGCTGTTCATCCCTGAAGGTTTTGTAATGTGTTTTGGCTTTTAGATACATTATATGTATGCATTTAGTGTAGACTCCAGCAAACAGACATTGCGGCTGTTCAAATGCATTAGTTTGTGTCTTACTCACACTTAGCTGGAGGTGCTGGGCACCTGGGCTGGGTGGAGCAGCTGAGGGGTCGAGGTTTGAGGATTTTTTAGTTTGAGGCAATGTCTCAGGGTGCGTATGTCCTTCAGTCATTTCTCATAGAATTCGCTACGTTCCATTCCAAGATTTACTCAAAGAAAAAACGTGGCCTTCATTGTTTTGACACAGTCTTTTCTGCCTTTAATCCATCGAACAACAGCTAAATTTTCTCAAGAGCTGGCCCTAAAGAGAGAAACCATGTCCAGCCATGTTGCAAAATGTTAGCATAGCCTAGTCAACCTGAGCAAAATCGCAAAAGTCTTTTAGCTAAACAACGCGTGCTGTGCAGATGTGAAAGTTCTTGTAAATTTTTACCGCAAAACCCTACAAATCATTCGGAAACAAAAGGATAGTGGGCCAGTGTAGGCCCACTGATAGCAAAGCTGGCGGGTGTTTTGCTCAGCTTTTTTAGGGCGGCCCACTGGTGGTTATGCAGAGTATTAGAAAAAATATGAATATAATACAGTATTACACAAAATTTAACTTTTCATTGTTCATTTTCCACTTACAGTCCAAAGTTACTATAATTTATGAACATATAATACATTACTTAATACAACCGTAGTTCGAAAAGTGAATCTGCAGAAATGTCTGTATACAAGGGACAAGGCCGAAAACCGATACTTGCTGGCTGTGATCTTTGGGTCCTCAGGCAGCACTGCATTAAAAACAGACATGATTCTGTAGTGGAAAACCATTGTTTGTGAACATAGTTCATCACTGCTTCCACAAATGCAAGTTAAAACTCTACCATGCAAAAAAGAAACCATATATGAACAGGATCTAGAAACACTGCCGACTTCTCTGAGCCCGAGCTGATTTAAGATGGACTGAGGTTAAACAGAAAAGTGTCCTGTGGTCTGACAAATCTAATCTTTAATTTTTTTTTGGAAATCATGGATGCTGCATTGTCCGGACTAAAGAGGAGAGGGGCCATCCAGCTTGTTATTAGTGCACAGCTCAAAAGCCAGCATCTTTAATGGTATGGAGGTGCATTAGTGCACAAGGGATCTGTGCAGGCACCATTAATGCTGAGTGATATATATTGATATATATTTGTAGCAACATATACTGCCATCCGAGCGACATCTCTTTCAGGGAAGGCCTTGCTTATTTCAGCAAGACAATGTCAAACCACATGCACAACAGCATGGCTCTATAGTAAAAAAGTCTGTCCAGACCTGTCACTCATTGAAAACATTTGCAGCATTATGAAATGACAATTATGACAAAGGAGACCCCCGAACGGTTGAGCAGCTGAAATCTTATATCAAACAAGAATGGGAAAACATTTCACTTTCAGAACTACAGCAGCTGGGCTCCTTAGTTTCCAAATGCCTACAGAGTTTTGTTCAAAGAATAGGTGATGCAACACAGTGGTAAACATGCCCCCGCCCCAAACATGTTGAAACGTGTTTCTGACATCAAATTCAAAGTGGGCATGTATGTTTCCAAAAAAATAATAATAATAATAAAAATTTCTCAGTTTCCTTATTTAATATGTTGTGTTTGTACTATTTTCAATGAAATACAGGGTTTAAAAGTTCGCGCGTCATTGCATTCTGTTTTTATTTACAATTTTTGCAGCGTCCCAACCTTATCGGAAACAGGGTTATACACACTTAACTAAAAACATATATGAAAAGCATTTACAGTGCTTTAGTTATTTGTATGTCACTGAGTAAAAGCTTAACAATTCAAATGGTAACATGTATTACTGCTTAAGTAACTATCATGTAATGATTAACCATCATTACCAAGCTATTAAGTAATGATTAAGGCAGTTATCTGCTATTCATAAACTGCTACCGGAATGTTTGTTATTATTGTTGTTGTTGTTATTTTTGTTGTTCCTCTTATTAGAAAGGGGCCAGTAAGTGTTGATTTCGACCCCACAAGCCTCCGAGCTCTAGCTACACGCTGTAATGTCGGAGAGGCCCCGTAGGTGGCGATGCGGAGCGAACTGCGTTTAACTCCACACAGATGAAGTGGAAGAAGAAGCAGGAGTGACTATGGCTGACTGCTGCAGTTACTCAGCTGTAAACACTGTAAACATTGCTCCATTCTAGTTTAGCTTTAGTCAGTTCAGGTGCCTCTCTGGACTGTTGTGCTGTAGTGTCTGAGAGAAGAGGACAGGGCTGCTGCTCTCCGTGTGTGTGTGTCTCTCTGAGCTGCCATGAGTGATGTTGTAGAGAAAACTCTCACCGCTCTGCCCGCTCTGCTGGCGCTGGACTCCCAGCCGGGAGTCGGAAAACTCTCCTCCACCTCCAGACTGAGACACTTAATCAGAAGTATCACTGAACTCACCTCCAAACATGTGAGTGTTTATCCACACGGGGCTACACTGCCGCTTTCGCGCTCTTGTCTTGTTAGCTGTCAGCCTGCTTACTGCTTCTTGGTAAGATGACGCTGGCTTCTTGTTCGGCTTTTCCCGGTCCACCTTAAATGGTCCCGCAGGTAACTGCCGCACCGCTTAAGGTGGAACTGGAAAATTCGAACATCAACCTGGCGAATAGGAAACCATGTTTGCATCTTAGTGTTTACTTCTTAGTCCTGTAGCTGTCTAGGTTAACTCAGCAGGAAATTTGGTTCTGTATTCCACCTTTTTAGGAAGAGGAGAAACTCATTAAAAAAGAGCTCGCTGCTATCAAAGATCAGGTGTCATCACCTAATACCACGATGGTGAGTCTGTTTTAGTCACGTCTCAGTGTCCATGTTATTAAAGGAATGGTTATTTGAAAAAGCACATTTACACAGCTTCCCCTTTACATTAAATGCAGTTAATCAGACATATTTGGTGTCCAGAGTTTTCTTATCATAGACTTATATTGTATTAGCATCATGTCTTCCTTGAAAAATTTGTCTTTGCGAGTCGACAATGTTTGGAGTAAGGGGAAATGTGTTTATCTGGCTTTCAGTAAACCATTGCTTTAAGTCTCTTTAGCTGGCCACACCGTAGCATTTCTAGCAGCTGTAGACCAGCGCTTCTGTGTGTTCTTCACTGACACCAGCCCGCCACTCTATTGACTGTATCTTCAGAGGCAGATGAGGGAGCTCATGGTAAGAGCTATGTACTGCGAGATGCTTGGATATGAAGCTGATTTTGTCTACATTCATGCCATCAAACTGGCTCAACAAGGCACAGTATTGGAAAAGAGAGTGGGTATGTTCACACCCTTGATATCAGCAAGGATGTTATCAACATGCATCATTATAATCTATAACTGATTTTCTGCCTTATGTTCTACTTTCCATACAATTTTAGGTTACCTTGCTGTGTCCCTGTTTCTTAACGAGAATCATGAACTGCTTTTGCTGCTGGTTAATACAGTATTAAAGGTATGTTTGTTAATGTCAATTTAAGAGATTTCCATTCAATGACCACCACACACGATTCAAGCCTCTTAAAGCAAAATATGTACTATTTACAGGATCTTCAAAGCACCAACCTCATTGAGGTTTGCATGGCTCTGACAGTTGTTAGTCAGATATTTCCCAAAGACATGATACCAGCTATTCTGCCACTGGTTGAGGAGAAGCTGTCACATCCAAAGTAAGTGTGATCCACATCCAAAAATAAGCATTCAGTCCAGTAATTATGTGATCCAATAATCACCTGCCTATTTTTACTTGATTTTTTCAAAAAGCTGTACCACTCTTTTTAGGGAAATTATAAGGCGGAAAGCAGTGCTTGCTTTGTACAAGTTCTATCTGATCGCACCAAATCAAGTTCAGCATATTCATGGCAAATTCCGGAAAGCCTTGTGTGACAAAGACCCTGGAGTCATGATATCATCCCTACACATCTACCTACAGATGATAAAGGTTACTCATTCCAGAATTTTCCTTCTCCATGCAGTCTTTTTAAAAATGTGAATCATAACTGCATGCCTGTGTGAGTCGGATGAGCTTGAAGCCTTCACCTCAACCATCTTTTTCAGCTCTTCCTTAATCACCACTGTATATGGGGGACCCACCCCGTCCTCTTGATCCAGAAAGACTGACATCTCTGTTTTGTTATCAGGAGAACCCTGCCAGCTACAAGGATCTGACTGGCAGCTTTGTGACCATCCTGAGACAGGTGGTTGGGGGAAAGTTGCCATTAGACTTTAACTACCACAGTGTCCCAGCTCCATGGCTGCAAATTCAGCTGCTCCGTATCCTGTCACTGCTCGGGAGAGAAGACCAGAGGTACATGTGCTGGAGTTGCCAAGCAAATTCCAGTCCAGAAATGTTTACCTATTGGCAGTCGTCATGTACACTGACCAGTAGTTCATAGTAGTAGTTCATAATACAGATAGTGATCAGTAGTGCATAGTGCAGGTATGCTGGTCCACAGTGCAGATTCACTGACCAGTAGTCCATGGTCCAGATAAGATGATTAATAGTCCATAGTTTAGATAAGCTGATAAATGATCTATAGTTCAGATACACAGGTCTACAGTACAGATACACTGACCAATACTCTGTATTAGTACAGATGCGCTGACCAGTAGTCCATAGTCCAGATTTGCTGATCTGACTTAAAATGACTATTATTTTTGTCATCAATTAGATTCATATTCATTAGTTGCAGTTTTCCAAGCTGAGCTTGATACTTAATGGTGCTCTTCTCACTTTGTAGCACGAGCGAGCTGATGTACGATGTCTTAGATGAATCCCTGCGAAGAGCAGAAATGAACCACAATATTACTTATGGTGGGTCACCTTGTACTGTAAAGGTATATAAATATAATTATGATTCTGCTGTCATGTATCTGGCTTTGATGGTTCTCATCATTTTCAGCTATTCTGTACGAGTGTGTCAAGGCTATCTATACAATACACCCCAAAGCTGAGCTGCTGGAAAAAGCAGCTCGATGCATTGGAAATTTTGTGCTGTCTCCGAAGATCAATCTTAAATACCTGGGTAAAGAACCTACCTCTCCCTTCTCATGAAATCAACCTATGTTCTCGTAAACTGTTGCAGCCACAGTGAAGACTTGTGAGCTGTCTGTTTTCTGCTGTAAATAAGATGAAGCTTCTCTCTTTCTTGCTCACAATTTGAATGGTGCAGGTTTAAAAGCTCTGACATATGTGGTTCAGCATGATGCCAACCTCGCTCTGCAGCACCAGATGACTATTATAGAATGTTTGGACCACTCAGATCTCATCATAAAGAGAGAGGTGAGGAAGGAAGATCTGCTTGACTTCTGACTTTGCCATTTTAAATCTTTAAATTTTATAAACTGGCTCAGGTGTTTAGAGTTCTGGTAAATTTATAATACTGTGTTATTTAATTCAGGTAAAATTCATAACTGAACAATTGTAACTTAATTATTAACCAGTAATGAACCCCTCTCCTCTCTCTGTCTCTGCTGTTGCTCTCAGACCCTAGAGCTGCTTTTCAGGATCACAAATGCTCAGAATGTCACTGTAATTGTTGAGAAAATGTTAGGGTTCCTGCGACTCTGTAACGATGACTACACCATCATTGATCTTGTTGGGAAAGTGGCTGAGCTGGCTGAAAAATATCCTTTTACTGTTGCCAGACATTCCATTACATCTGAAAAATGTAATAAATGTGTTTAGATATAGTTAAGCATCATTTATGATTGTCTTTGTATAGAACCATAAAACAAATAAACCGTAGGTCACAAATGACTTGTATAAATTGTACATTGTTAAATTCCTATAAAAACCTTGTACGTATGCCCCAGACAACGAGTGGTTCATTCAGACAATGAATGTGGTTTTCTCTCTCGGTGGCAACCTCATGCAGCCGGACATTCCCAGCAACTTCCTCAAACTGTTCGCAGAGGGTAGGACGTGACCATAGTATGAGCCTTTAATTTTAGAGTGTTCTGATAAATTATCTGATTTGTATGGCTGTGTGTGTCAGGCTCAGAGAGTGAGGAGGAAGACGGGCAGCTGAAGCTTTATGCAGTGGACTCATATCTGGCTGTGTTAAAGGGTGACTGCTCTCATCTGCCCCAGTGCTTCCTACAGGTCATCAGCTGGGTGGGTACACACATACCACTTCCCTTTATTGTTTTATGTTGCTCTCTTTATTAGCTGCACTAATATAGGACTAGTGGCTAGAGGGCTTCAGACCTGCAGGTTTGAAACATGCACCATTCCTCTCTTCACTACATAAAACTCCTTTTCCATTATGCACTTTCATAATACATAGATGTACATTTTAGATATACATTTGGATGTACTCAGTTTAGAAATACATAAAGTCAACGTGAATTAGAGATCATAACACATTTTTCTTCCCTAATGTGATTTATTTTCGACTGAAATGTGGGGGTCTCTGAGCTAGCTCAGTATTCAGGCTGAGGTGGGCAAGAGGGGAAAAAGTCATTTTGATGGAGGATTGGGGGCCAGCAAGGATTGTGTCTTTTAAATTATGTGTTATGATAAATTATGTCATATCATGTTTAAAATGACCAGGAACAGAAACTAACATGTTCTTTATTTTTTCTTTGAGGTTTTTGTATCATTTGTGTGCTTTTATATGCCAAAACCAGTGGTAATCCATTTTTACATGACCGTTTTCCAAGCTCTATTCATCCCTCACAGACTTAAACAGGCTCTTTTTTGTTTCTGTGCCTTTAAGACTGATAAATGTAAATCAGAACCTCTGTTCTGATGGGCTTTCCTGTATTGTGCCTCATATAAGAGCAGTACAGGCTGAAACACTCCTTATAACTTCAAAGAGAGTGGGCATATTTAGACTGCAGTAGGCTCAATAGGAGGATGTGTACATAAAAAAAAAAAACTGAAATTGAAAACTAACTGTTTTTCCATACACGGACTATGTAGACTGGGAGGTGAATTACTTTTGTTAAGTTTGAGTTTGCATACTACATCAAAACTTGTTAATTTAAAAAAAGTGAGGATATATTGGTTTTCTATGAAATGGGCTAGACTTTAAATATTGTATAATAGGCAGAGCTTTGTACAAAAGGCTTTGTATAGGACCAGTAACTGTAGTGTAATTTATGTGTATCCATGTGGATTTTTTGTATTAAGAAGTGGAATGGTCAGATTGCCTGTCTTTTTACTTTTTATAATACATTAAATCACTTATTATACAATTTAAACATTGCATTTGATGTAAGCACAGGTAAACATAGTATTCTCTGTCTTTCCTCAGGTGCTGGGAGAGTACTCCTGCTTGAAGGAGGATGTGGACCAGCAGGAGGTCATCAGGCTGCTGAAGAAGCTGCTGGAACAGAGAGGAGTGAGCTCAGAGACCAGGAGCTGGGCGCTGTCTGCTCTTACCAAGCTATGTAAAGGCCCAGGGTGTGCAGAGCTGGCACTGGAGCTGGCTGAGAGCCTGTCCTCCTCCTTGGACACGGTGCTCCGGCAGCAAGCCCACGAGCTGCGCCTCCTCAGCCAGGACTCACAGCTCCACACTAGAGTACTGCCACGTCCTGCTCTCTTGGACAGCCTGGAGGTGAAGAATCGAATTTATTCATCAGAGATGGAAACAGTTACAAAAAATTTAAGTCACTTTAAGCAGGATTACTAAAAGATTCGGTACAGATCACTCGTAATTGTGTGTGTTTGATGCAGGTGGACTCCTCCCTCTCCTTCCTGGATGGTTTTGTATCTGATGCTCTAGCTACAGGAGCTGCTCCGTATAAACCACCACACCAGAGACAGGAAGAGCTGAGTCAGCAGAGAGGTACTACCATGTGATGTACCATAGTTTTCCATGTCCCGATATGTCCTGATAAAGCCTTAATGGGAGCTTTAAATTTGTCCACTCATACTGTATTCTGCTACATGGATAGGGTTGATAAAATAATAAGTGTGTTTAATAATTGATACCAGACATCTTTGGAACTGTGTTAATTACAGTGTTGTTTGTCAGACCTCATTTATAGCTCATACATATTTCATGTGGTGCTTCTTTTATTTCATCCTCCTGCACTATATAGATAATATCTGGGTAGTACCTACTGCACTTTGCAAATTGCCTAATACAGTGGACATTTTGACATTAAGAGTGAGTTATTCTTATAAAGTGCTGTTTATAAGGTGCTCATAAGTTGCCCTGTCTGCAAGGTGATAATTCAATGTATCTTCTAAAACCAGGGTTATTAATGGGGAGTTTGTACCCCTTTAATACAGTAACAGCCTCTATTCTCTTAGGAATACTTTAGACTAGATGTTGGACCATTGCTGTTAGGATTTGATTGCATTACAATCCTGGATGTGAAGTATTGAAATCAGCCACAAGAGTAATAGTGAGGTCAGGTACTGATGTTGGATGATTAGTTCCAGAGAACACAGTTCCACTGCTTCACAAGCCAATGCTGGGGGGCTTTATGTCCTTGGCCTTGGGCATGGTGACCGTAGGCTCATGCCATTCTTTTAGCAATGCTTTCTTATGGAGGTTACACAAGCTGTGTGTGTACAATTAAATGCTTGTGTCAGTAATGGGTGCAGCTTATAATAGCTGAATTCAGGGGTCTTTGGATACTGTAGACATACAGTGTAATACTTGCTACTGCTTTAGTCCAGGGGTGTGGAACTGAGGGCCAGAGTCCAGGTTCCAGTACAGTTTGGTGATTTCCCTTCTCTAGCACAAAACCTGGTAAGGAACTGATGAGTGAAATGCCTGAGCAGGAAAATCGCCAAACTGTGCTGGAATCGGACCATCCAGGATTGGAGCTTTTGTCTCATTTCTATCCAGTAGACAAATGGCACAGCCTTAGGCTGTCGTAGTGATGTAATACTTTAGAAATCTGTAAATATGTTCTATGACTTCAAATGTTATACCTGCCAGCTGAACATGTGATAACGCTGTATTTCATGCCTCTTCCTGTGTGTCTTTCATTAGCACTGAGTTTGGAGCCGTATGGACTGTCTCTGCCGGTCACTATGTCATCCTGCACTCTTACAGACCGACAGTCTCCCACTTTCCTCTCCATGAGCTCTGACCTCTCCGGCAACAGCACTGAACCGTCCCACAGAACAGGGTGGGTGTATACCAGCAGAGGCATAGAGACACACACACACATATATATTTATATATAAAATTCACACTCAGAATATGAAGTATGACATTGTACAGATATGCTGCAAAGGCAAATAATAAGAATTATATCAAACTTAATTTTTGGAAAGATGTTCAGTCCCTTAGTACTACTTTTCTCTGACATTCTGCTTTTGCTTCTGAGTTTTGACACATCTCTGACCCTTAGTCCCACGCCCACCCCATGAAACTCCATACATATACTCAGCATTTACAGTCTCATCATTATGCAGTAACAAGACATTTAAAATGTTGTCCAGCACATAATACTTCTAATTGTATGTATATTTGTATAGTCCTGTTTCTACACTATTTCTATAGTACTATAGTACTTTTACCAGATGTTTGTGTGGTCCTGATTGAGGTGGTGTGTGTTTGCAGTGCTAACACACTCATGTTGGAGGGTGTGAAGAGAGTGTGGGGGAAGGAAGGGTACATACCTCAGATAGAGCCTTCATTAACACCAACTGCAGTGGAGGAGCCCAGCGATGTAGTTCAATCCCCCCACCAGCAAGGGGCAGCAGAAACCTCCCACGCAGAGCCTGAGCCAGAGCCACCACAGCTGGACCAGGAGAAGCAGCAGCTGGCTTCATCACTGTTTGTTGGACTGGGCTCTCAGAACTCTACGTCTTTAGTAAGTTTATTGTGCAAAACATACAGGTGACAAGTTGTTGGCCGTTTTCTGTGTGTCTTTACGGCTTGCCGCTTTTAAATGAAACTGAATTGGAAAACTATAAGGTAATCTAAAAAACTCTTATTGAAAAGTCTGTCCTTTCAGTAGGACATCATTCCAAGGACAAAAAACCAAGGTACAGTGTTTAGCCAGCAACAAGTTATATTTAAATTATTATGATTCTTATTACCATTGGAATGATGTGTGAAGTGTATAGTAGTAAAGTAAGCCTGTTTAAGCTCAAAAATGGGGACAATATAACCTTTTTTGTCATATTTTTATGCTTTAAGCTGAAACAAATTAGTCAAAATTTTAGGCATTTTCAGCTTAAATGCCTCTCATTAATAAACATTTCAGATTGTAAAGGCTTAGCTCAACGTTTTGAAGGGATTAACTGCTTTCGTTTTTCTGCTCTCTCTCTGTCAGTTGGGGAAAACCGAGGCTGCAGCACCACGATTCAGAAGGAAGGCCCGCCAGCATGAGTCAGCATCAACATCAGGCACGAGCGAGAGTTCCTCTAACTCCTCCCATTCCTCTCGCAGCACGACAGATAGCTTTTTGTATGGTGGCCTGTTAGAAGAGGAGCCAGCAACACCCATACAAAGCTCCTACCACACCCTAAAGCCCACCATAGCAAATGGCAACCATGATGCCAGGCAACACAGCCAGATGGTCAGTGGCACAAGTGAAAATGAGGATGGTGCCACTGTCATTGCAAAAGAGGACAAACAAGCAAACTCGTCTCAAATCTTAGGAAGCGATATGGTTATAGTGAGACCCAGCAAACTAGCAGAAGAAGCCATAGTATCACCGAGAAACTGTAGCAAATCACTTCCGTCCACCTTCCCCCACAGTTCTGACACTATGGTTCTGCAGTTGCCCTCTGAGCTGCAAGAACTGCCTCACTCAGATGTTGTCAGCTTGACCTCTGACCCCCACCTGTCTGTCTCTTGCTGCCGTGTCTTCAGAGAAGATGCTCTGTTACTTGTTCTCCTCCTCTCCAACCCCACAGAGACGGCACTCCGAGATGTAGCAGTCGAGCTCAGCTGTGAGGAGCTGGAGGTATGATATAATCGTCGTATTTGAGGTAGATAGTCTTTGGTTATTTTACAGATGTCCTTTTAACTTGTGGCTTCCTCTAGTAAGTCTAACCAAACTTGTTCTTATTTTCTAGTTGTTCCACTGTCATTATAGGTTCAATTTCTTTCTTTCTTTCTTTATTTATTTATTCATTTATTTATTCATTTATTTAAATTAAATGTAATTTATTATATATTTATTATTTATTAACGTATAACAGCCTTGTAGCCTCACAGAAAACTACTGAAAATACAATAATTTCAAGAACATTAAGATATTAATGTAGTTAATGTAAGATATTAAAGTTTTTATTTCAAAGGGCCAAAATCTTTCAATATTAGTAACTATTTTTTTTCACTTTTTTTAAATAGAAGATGTAGTGTGTAAACATTTTTAAGGATTGAAAACCTGCCGTTCACACCTCAGGCCATTCTATCCACATATATGGAAACAAGCCGCAAAAACAGTTTTTAATAGTTTTTAGTTTGTGATGTTCTTGAGATGTCATGAAAATTGGTACATTTTAATATATCCGTCTGTTCAGCCTGCAGCAGTTTAGCCCCACCTTTTCACACTGACGTTATGAGTGTTTCTGCCAGGACTGTTTTCTGAATGAGACACAATAAAGGACATCCAGTCAGAGAAGAGCTTATTTACATACGTCAGTCTTAAAGTCACAGTAGCAAAAACAGTGGTTAATTTTAATGGATAAGGTGAGGTTGGAAAATGGTCATGTGAGTAATGACTTCTGACTGTTTTTAGTATATAAACTCACATAAACATCATAAGTGGATCTGAGGAGAAAGAAGAAGAAAAAGACAAAATGTAAGATTTGGGCCTCTTTACAGGTGGTGCGGTTGTTTTACTTAGGACTTGTGTAGTTATTGTGGAAAATGTTAATTGCCATCTAATCCCCTCCTGTTATTTCATTAGCAGTGTATCAAAAGTCTTTTTATTACTCTTCTGCTTTCAGTAGTAAACGACAGCTTCACCTAATCTTTAGAAACTCTACCTTAATGAACTTTTAACTCTTAAACCTTTTTCCCCCCCTAAGACGGCAAGTCTAAGAGGAAATGTCATGGAGTGTTTAGAAGGCCGGAATTCATCAGTGTGTCGCTACACTCTGCTGATGGAGAGACCGCACACTCAGGTGGCCTTCACTGGATCAGTCTCGTACCAAACACAACCTGGACACACCCACATCCTGCCCTTTTCTGGCAAGCTCTCCACTGCTGACTTTATCAGGTATTGACTACAGTAACCAGAGTGCTGACTTTTCAGTAATATTATCTGAACAGCAGATCATATGTAGTATGTGACTGATCCTACTGCATTTAATTTGGTGCGATATTGATTGTGTTGTTTGTTATTTTATCACCTGGCTTTACACTGTTCAAATCAGATCTGTGTTTCCTGTGTTTCATTTATGCTGTCCAAGTGTTTGGAGTGCAAGTGCAAAATGTCGGATGGAGATCAGTGGAGTGAAGACGACAGGAATTCTTGTTTTAATGTGTTTGATGTGTGTACCTTACATGTAGGCCCCTGGTGCTAAACACAGAGGAGTATGGGAAGCTGTGGTTGTCTATCTCTAATGATGTGAAGCAGAACCTAAAACTCCTGACAGATGGTGGAGATCCTCTCAGAGCCACCCTCAATGCTCTGAAAGACAGCCTCAAGCTGCATATAGTTGACATCATTGGTAAGAACAGTTACACTCCAGTCTAGTGTAATTAGGATTTTGGATTTTATTTAATTTTCTCAATTTTCTTGCAAGAATTAAATTAATAAAATGCAATGTTGCCTAAATGTTCTGTGCTTCTGGAGTACAATAAGTACATCAGTATTTATCAGTCAGTCAGATCTAAACATCTGTCCAATAATGATATTTTTGTTTATACGTTTATCTGCTGATGCCAATATGATTCTGATTCATTGTCCCTGTTTATATTATTTAGTTTTAGTAGTAGTAGTAGTAGTAGTAGTAGTAGTTGTCGTCGTCGTCGTCATTGTTGTATCCTTGCATATTGAGGAGTGTGCTAAAGTGTTCTGTTCTTCTCTCAGGGTCAGAGGGTATTGTGGCCTGTCGTCTGCTCCGTGGTGGCCCCTGCCTGATGCACTGCCGTGTGCATGGTGCCTCACTGGCTGTATGGCTGCGTTCTCCTCTGCCTTCTCTCCCTGACTGCCTCCTCTACCACTGCCAGAGAGCTTTGCAGGAGCACTGAGCTTCTGGTGGATCGTCCGTCTGCTGCAATGTCTTACAGTATCTTCCTTCTGCCAAGGATATGAACTCAAAGTGATTGTGCTGAAGTGAAGTGAGAACCCTGTCTGTGTTGGTGATGCAGGCTGTGGAATCTTCCTTGAAATAATGTCCAACTGTAAAGCAATACATGTACCCTCTCTAATGCACTGCTTTATTATCTCAATCATTTTTTTCTAGTTTAACTCAATTGCAGGGCTACAGTGTTCATACATTACAGATGTTTTTCAGAATATATATTTATTGATTTTAATTGTTTGTTTTTTCCTTTCCTCCCCTTCAGTTCATCCCTTTTTCAATTACTTTCATTGTGTTTTTTGACTGTCATGGAAATGACAAACTGAGTTTACCAGTGTTTATTTTTATACTGTTTTATTTTCAGCAGTATGTGTTGAAAGGCTGCCTCTTCTTTTAAAGCTGCCGAGAAGAGATATTTAATGGAACCGTAAAAGCAAAGACAAACCTTAAAATAGATGTTACTGCTGTATAAGCGCCATAAAACAAAACAGTAGATTTCTTACTGTGGAACAGTACAATGGGGCTATTATGAAATACATCAGTATAGTGAGAATGTAAACCTGTTTACTATATTATGAAAAGTTATGATAATCCATCATGGAGTTCAGTGTACATAGTATTGTGTGATCATTTCATGGAGCATTCAGCATTTTCCTGTTCTGTCATTCATGTCTTATTTTAGATCGTGGGCCATTCATCCAGTTCTTATGTTTCCAGGCAGCCCAGAGTTTGTATTTTATCTGAAATAATATTGTGTGTGTGATGCACTATATGGCCAAAAGTATGTAGACACCTGACTATTACACCTGTATGAGCTTGTTTGACATCTCATTCCAAAACCATGAGCATTAACATGAGGTCAGGGCTCTGTGCAGACCACTGGAGTTCCTCCACTTCAAACTCAAAACTGCTTTTATGCACCTCACTTTGTCCAGAGGGACACAGTAATGCTGGAGCAGGAAGGGGCCTTCTGCACACAACTGCCACAAAGTTGGAAGCATATAACTGTCTAAAATATCTTTGAATGTTGTAGCTTTACATGTCACTGGATCTAAAGGGTCTAGCCAAACCCCGAAAACAGCCCATTATCCCTCCTCCACCAAACTTTGCAATTGGCACCATGCATTCTTGTAGAGAGATTCATCACTCCATTAAACACACTTTTACTGCTCCAGGGTCCTGTTTCAGTGGTGCTACAGAGCATAGGACCGCTTTATGGTTGAGCTGATGATGCTCCTAGACGCTTCGTTTTCACAATAATAGTACTTACAGTTGACCAGGGCAGATGTAGCAGGCCAGAATTTTCACAAACTGACTTGTGGCAAATGTGGCATCCTATGAGAGTGCCATGATTAAAGTCACTGAAATCTTCAGTACAATCCATTATACTGCCAGTGTTTGGCTAAGGAGATTGAATGACTGTGTGCTATATTTTATATGCTTGTGTGCAGTGGGTGTGGCTGAAACCCCTGAACTCAATAATTAGTAGGGGTGTCCACACAGTTTTGGCCATATAGTGTATAACTGGATGGAAGTGTGAGGGGGGAAAAGCATGTTAAACAAAATGCATTTATCAGACCTGAAAATTTTGGCAAAGCTTGGTAATATGATGGTTTTTGGTCACAAAGCTTTTACCTACTTTCAATATTCAAAACAAATATGCATATTTTAATCCCATTTTCATCTCTTGTGTTTCTACTCAAAGGTGAAAATGAGCCTAACTTCAAGCTCTCTTCTGTCTTACTAAATGTCATTATTTTCTAGCCACTGTTTTCCACATCAAAGACTATTTTTCTTTTCAAAATGTGATTTATATGCTTTTTCCCCTGCCATTTTCTCCAGGTAGCACACATTTGGATAAAATCAACTCACTTGATCTGTGAATGACCATAAACGTGCAACTTTCCATTCCAAAACGGGATTTTCAGTGACAAAAGTGGGATTTATGGATGTCAACACTAAAGAATACATTAAATTATCAGGGATCTTAATCATTACTCCCTCCTACTCTAGTCAAAATCTTTTAAGACCCATGTGACACTGAAGGCTTCCTATTTTTCTGAGTCAAAGGCTAACAGTGGAAATTGCTGCTTATTGCTCCTGTACTGGGTGTGCAGTGTCATGTTGGCTGAGTACAGTGCGGGATATGAATCTCATGGTCAGGCTTTGTGGGTTCTCCTCCACGGGCTGCTGTGAGAGGTTGTTGGTCTGTGGGATGGTGCTGACCGTACAGCCTGGTTGAGGGCACACCGTGTACCGTGACAGCAGCGTCACCAGGATGGCCTTCATCATCACCATGGCGATGTGCTTCCCCACACATGCACGTGGGCCACAGCCAAATGGCTGGAAGTAACGACTGGGCACCTGTGAGGAGCAGAGATGCTTCTGTAGTTCTGTTTGTAATGGGATTAGTACATGGAAATGTACACACATCTTGGTTATGCAGGTTTGCTATTTGCTGAAGCAAAGGGAAAAGGATCAGAGGGATATATTATTTGTGCTCGTCCATTTTTTCCTCACAGGTTAATTAAAACAATGTTATTCTAAAGCAAAACAATCTGATCTTATTGCTGCCAGGAGTTTTTTTTATTTATTTTTTATGTTTTCACTGATTTGATGGGAGGAATAGTATTTTTAACAGCTACATGCTTTCCTAGATAAAGAAAGCCAATTTTTCAGTCATCATAGTTCATATCTCCTGTATTGTCCTTCATCCTAAAAATAGTCTAGGCTCTCTGTAACTTAGATGTCAATGGGTGAATGGAAATGCTTAACTGCATTAGACTGAATAGGAGGGGATGCGCGAATGTGTTGGTTTTTGTGGCATCACAAAAACATTTAATTCAAAGTAGGCTGTTTTTACAACATAGTTTCCATATGTGGACAGAGAAGTGGTTGATACCTTTTTGCAACTTTACATACTCTCAAAATCTCATATTTAACACGTGAGGAAGATGTTTTTATTCCTGAGAAGGGCCCTTCAGAGACACCAAGTTAGCATTCACTGTCTTTGAAAGCATGTAGTGAGTTGATGTTTTTTTAATATTGCAAGATGATAATAATCAAATGAAATCAGTGATAATTTTTTTTTTTGTGTAATTGTCCTTGCTTTGCAATTTTCCATATTTTGTTGTTAAGCGTTATGTCGTGTCTTACTCACATTGACATCAAAGTTCTCCAGGTTGAATTCATTGGGTTTGGGGAAGAACTCTTTTTTGTGCATGCGTCCAATGTTCAGAATGATGTTTGTCCCTTTTGCCACCTTGTAGCCCTCGATGCAGTCGTCCTCCAGCGATCGCCTCATGATGAAATCCACCACAGGATGGAAGCGCAGAGACTCCTTTATAAAACTCTCCATCACCGTTAACTTGTGCAGGTCAGCTGTGTCCACCTCCCGCACACCTGAAAGCACAGGTAGGCCTGCTTTATTAGTTTTGTACTGAAAAGTGGGCAGTGAGCTGGATCAGTTCCTGGAGCTGTAAGAGTGCTTGACGTTGTGTTTTACATATTATTAAGTGAAGGCGTTAAGTGTGGCATGCAGGAAGATTTGGGCCCTTTTAGATAGCTGAAAGATAAATGATTGACACAGTTACAGCAGCAACACCCTTCCATACTATAGAAATATCTGTATCATCACTATTAGATTTTCTGCAAGATACAAATCTTAATCTACTTTTGGACAGTTACTGGTTATAGTTTACTACAGGATACCAAGATGTATTATAGATGTAACGCAGTACTTCAGGAATATTATACAGTGATAAGATTAGATTATAGAGCACATTATTATTGCCTAGCACTACAAAAATCATATATTCTCTTATACTGTTACTGTAAATCTTTTGTAAGGTCAGAACCGTACAATATTGTGGCTGTCTGAACAAAACTTTGCATCCCAAAAAAGTAACTTAACAGGAGATTCACTTAAGTTAATGAAAAGTCATTTTTAAGCATTTCTGTTGGTCTGATTGTCTTTATCTTCAGTGTAAATGGCACAGTGTTTGGATCGTGTCAAACAAATCAGAGCAAAAAGGTTTTGTTACGATAGTGACAATATGATGTAATTTTAGATTGCTATTAATGCAGTTTTAAAAAGTGTGCAAATCAATAAAATACAGTTGTATGCAAAATTTTCGACCTGGTCAAATGACATTTTATTTATTTTCCAAGTGAAAATAATTTAACACATCCTTAAGCACTTAAGCATTTTAAATGCAAATTTTAGTGCAAACTGTTTAATATACAGGAAAAAATTAAGAAAAAATACAACGTGCCGTAACTTTTGCACAAACCACATTTTATGTTTTTTTTTCCAGTATGTTAAATTCAGCAAATAAACAGTAATTGTGCATTAAAATGTGCAAAAGTGTGTTCACTGTAGAGGATGTATAACTTATTTTTACTAAGAAAATCCACAAAACATGTATTTTGACCAGGGGTGCCCAAATTTCTGCATGTGACTGTATTGTACGCTGTTCGTTTACTCTAAGATGGTAGGCCTTATGTGTAAGGCCAATCATACGGTGAGAGGGTTACCTAACACAGACTGCATCTCCTGCACTACATGCTGCTCCACTGCAGGGTTCTGCTTCAGCAGCACCAGCATAAAGAACAGACTGATGGACAGAGTGTCTGGGGCCGCAATCACCATCTCCAGCACGCACTGCCTCACGTCATCCAGTGACAGCTCTCCATGGTCCTGAGAATGCATCATACACATGCATCATATCAGTGCTGTCGTAACAAAACCTTGTACAGTAACTTTATAGGAGAAGCAGAAAACTTCATCTTCAGTGTACATTAATGTAACAAAATGTTTTTCCAACTCATTTTGGATCATTTGTGTTGGTCCATTTACCCCAGCATACTCAAACAATGTAGAGTACAGCTGGTGTTTTTAAGAGAATAAGATAAAAAGCAAATGAGTTAAGAGGTGCTGATGTAACAGGGACAATATTCTGTGCTCTTTTTCACTGTGCTACATGTCAGGTGTTTCCAGCATGAACAAACCTGAGCAAATATCAGCTCTGTTGCAAAGTCAGTCTCATCCAGCTTTTCCATTGCGTTGATCATTTTGCGTTTTTGCTCCACAAGACTTCCCATCTCCTCCTGGAGCTCTTTCCTGCAAGAGGACAGGTTCTTGGGTTAAAATCTTTGGCTAAGGAGATGTCCGTGCCAGGTTTTTTATTATTTAAGGTTTTGTGGAGTACTAACGCAGATTGTTGATGTTTTCTGCAAATCCAGTCCAGCCTGAAGAAAATGTCTGGCTGGATCAGAACTGTTTGCCAGGTGTCAAAGTATTTGTGAATCTTCAGTAGCAGCTCTTTCTCTGCCCAAAAAGAGGAATTAAACAGTGGAGTCTGTTGTGGCTGGATTGAATACAGTTATGTGTATAGGCTGGAGGTACACAGAGCTGATTGGTGTGCAGTTTATGCGAAAGTTTGGGAACCGCTATCAAATGACATGTTTTGTTGAAGTTAACACATCCTCTACAAAGACCACACTTCTGCTCATTTAAATACACAATTACCGTTTATTATAATCATAATCTTCTTTTATATCATAATAAGAAAAAATTATTATTATATCATAATAAGAAAAAATAACACATAAAATGTGGCCTGTGTATTAGGGCTTTACCCTTTTTTTTCACTTAATGATGACTCTGTCTTGGCTGTTTCTTCCACACCACAGATTTTCCCTACCAAGTGCACAGCTGCTTAAAAACATTCTACAACTTTGGTTTAATCCTACTTTTCCTTTACTTAATACTTAGGAAATTTCACAACTGGACTTGTTGCACAGGTGGCATCCTGTTCTAGCGACCCATTCTTTCACAAATGTTTGTAGAAGCAGTCTGCAGGCCTAGGTGCTTGGTTTTATACACCTGTGGCCATGGAAGAGATTGGAACACCTGAATTCAATGATTTGGATGGGTGAGTGAATACTTTTGGCAATATAGTGTAGATTTCTAGTACTTCATGCACAATACATTAGAGATCGTGCACCAGGCTTCAGGGAGCTACAAGCAGAACTACTGATGTTTGGTTTAATATTATTTATGTTGTCAGAGAACTAATATAACTGTTTCTTTTTGTCGTTGTCATTATTGACGTTGATTGCAATATTATTACAGTCATTATCACTCTGATGATGCATGTTGTCCCAGCTATTATTCATATTATAATTATGACTATTCATCATATTTTCTTTCTTGCATAATAATACAACACTACCATTAATTGTTTGTGCTTTCTCATCTCAGGGTCAATTTCATCTTAATATATAACAAAAAGTGTTGTTCTCAAAACAAGTCACCTGTTTAATGTTTTTCCAACATATTAAACTCAGCAAATAGGTAGGAATTGTGCACTGTACTTTGCAGAAAATGCCATATTTAAGTGTGATCTATGTAGGCGACTTCTTTTTACTTAGAAAATCAACAAAATTTCATTTAACCTGGGGTGTTTGAACTTTTACATGTGACTGTAGATCATTTCTGATATTCTTAGCTTGACACAGGAGTCCAGTCTTGTTGCCAAATATGTACATTTTCAGTAGCAGCACAGTGTCTGTTGAAATGCTTTGCAATTTTCACCCCATTTGAAAACAAAGTTAAGTAAGTGTTTATTAAAAATATGGTGTGGCTGCATGTCTTACTGTTCAAAGTGTTACACTGACCGTTGAGAGGGATTCTGAGGAAGAGTCTGTTGGAGATGTCCACCACGATACAGCGCAGCAAATTCAGAACATCCACATGGCCGGAGGAGTCAGTGAGATCACACAGGACGTCAAGGTGCTTATTGGTTGCACTGACACACACACCCACCGTCCTCTGGAGACCAGGGCCAGTCAGGGCTTTACCACATATACATGCACACAAATACATGTGTGAGAGACACTATTTGGGATCAATACTGAGACTAATTTGTAATCAGAATTCAGTGTTTCAAGCTGCTGGGGTCTTCAAAGATGTACCTAAACATTATCTGAAAGCAAGGAAAAGGACTCACCCTTGGCAAAATATGTGCGGACCTTTTTCCAACGCAGGATGTTGCTGTTGAAGATAATGCCTTGCTCGTCCATGCCTATACATCTCAGTCCGCTCTTACTGGCAAATCTAGCAATGTAGTTACTGCTCTTCAGAACATAGTACACAGCAGAGGCTCTGAAACACAGTCCCACAGTGTTTTTGGGATGTTTTGTGTAAAAGCTGATGTTTGACTGGTTTATGTTCAGTGCAGTAGGGTCCGTCATTGCACACACGCATTTTGTAGGCTTCCTATTTTCCATGTTGTGTAACTTTGTGTTTGAATTTTTCTCTAAAATATTTAATGAAAATTCAAAATTTGCAAAAATATAACAAGCTAGATTTATTAAAAATGATATTAAGGCTTTTTGATTGTGTCAGTGCAATGATAGGCCCAAAAGGGGTGACAGATAAATAAATATGTTACTGAAACTATATTGATACAAATAAGATAATAAACAAAAATATATTAGGCATATTAGGCAGCTCACTTGCTCAGAATGAGTGTCTCCTCTCCCTGGATCCAAACCCGAGTCATGTCACCATATCTTTCATTATAGTAATTGCAGGCTGTGCCGATACCAGTCCACAGAAACCTACAATAGGTCAGAATGGGGCCGAGACCCAACAACCAAGAGGGACCTGGGAGAAACAGTGAAAATGATAAGGTACAACAAGAGTGTTTGACTGTTTGAGATCTGTTTGGAACAGGTGCAGTGCTCAATCTTGGCCTGGACTGACTTCACAGAAATGGAAGAGATTTAGTGTAGCCTCAGCTAAATGGATATTGTAAGTCATTTCTGTATTTCCTGCTTAAAGGTGCTGTGTGTCAGATGTAGTGGTATCTAGCAGTGAGGTTGCAGATGTGGTTTGTTCATTCTGGGCTCCTATAGAAACATGGCGGTGAAGCATGGCGGCCACAGTTGGAAGAGGACACACAAAGATTTGTAGTTACAGGTGATTTATACACTAATGAAAACATGGTTTTGTATACTGTATTCCATTTCTGTTAATAGACCCTCCCCCTAAATCTTACACACTGTGCCTTTATCTATAGAATCTATGGAAATATTAGAACTCACCTGGTACAGCAGATTTGTCTCTTCTTTTGTAGGCTAATAAAATCAGCAGCAGAAACAGCATTAATGATACTATGATCCCCAGTCCTGCCCCCTCCAGTTCTGCTTTGACTTTGGCCTGATTCGGTAGCTCCATCCTAATCTTCCCTGCATATAAGCCTTAGTCACTCCTCTTAAAGGGTCAGTCAGAGAGGGACTCCTCTGAAAAAACACCAAGTGAATGAAAGTTTGCTTTTGTGATCAGTGGTTTTCAGTGTGAGTTGAAATCATGAATTTCTCCCTTAATCTCATTTTTTTATACCAAAGCCCTCTTCTGTGACATGGAATGATTTGGTCCTTGAAAAAAGGGAGGAACTGAAGGGGTTTGGCAGCCTGCCATCCAGTTTATGAAGTTCTTCAAATCAAAGGCTTCATATGGTTGCAACAGCTAAAACGATCCAGAAGAATCTCAAATGTCTTTCATTTTATCCAGATGTGAAATGTTTAATAAAAAGGCAGATGCCTTTATAAATACAATAAAGCTTTAATCTCATCCACCTGAGCCAGGCCTCTAGAGCATTAGCCTGCATTAAAAAAAGAGTAGTGTCAACCTGCATTAAAAACATGTACAGGCTTGCCTTCATGAATAGTTAGTCAGTTCAAGACAGAATGTGACTGTCCCAAAAAAGATTTTCACAGTGCACTATTGTGTTCAGTAAATTCAGTTTTAATCAGTCAGTTTAATCAGTTAATCAGTCAGTTCTAATCAACTATAGTCAATTCTAGTAAACTGAGAGCATTTTATAGAAAGCAAACCTGTGGTTTGAATGAAAGAGTTAGGCTAAAGTAAATAGACTCACTTCATTGCAGATGTTATTACCTGCAAACAGAAGACTCCACTGCAGAATCTGATGTCTTCTCAAGCTGCTGGTCCTTTCCTTGACTGAACGAGTTAGTCTGGCTGATGTGTGCAAGCTCTCCTCATTTAAAGTTGATCAGTTTTACATCACATCTCTTCAAGTTTGGAAGAAGGCCTTTTAAATTTGCCTGTTGCTTGGATACAGCTCGTACTTTGGTTGAGAAAAGCTATTGAAAGGCCGGCGCATTCTGCCTAACTTGTCCGGTGCAGAACAATAGAGCAGTGTGGAACTTGTGAAGTAGAGGCAATGCACATGAAGCAAAGGGGGTGGGGGGGTGATGGTGATGGGGAGTGTTAGCCCTGTCACGCATGGCAGCGCACTTTTCCCTTTCTTTTTGGGGTTGAATTCATCTTTGAATAATAATTAAATTTGTCTCTGTTCCAAAGCTTCTCTGAATCCTTCATCTGAAGAGGCTTTTGAAGAGACAGGTCAGGCTGACCCAGCACCACAATGCATGAATGAAGCTTTTACCTCTTAAGAGACTGCAAAGGAAGGGAACCAATTACTATACTGATGCTTTTAAGGCATTTTAGGTTATTTATTGTCTTTTTCCCCCCTGCGTTTCATTTTAGAGCATCCATATCACAATGTAAGTGATTTATTTCTTACATCACAATGTCCACTGTCTGCTTTGAGACTATAATATGCATAAACTTGTATTTGGCTGATATGACAGTTGTTGTTTTTATGTTTTTTATGCCTGCTTCAGAAAATTTCTTTGTGGCTATTGCAATACACTTACAATGGCCTGTGTTTACACAGTGTTAGAGAAGTATAGCAACAACACACATTGCTGCCAACACATCTTCGGTTCAGTTAGGACGAGCCATTTATTGCATCTCCTTCAAAAATATGTTCTTCAGTGTCATGCAGGTAAGTATATTAGGATAAATTAAAAAAACATCATTTGTTAACTCTCACCCTGTTTTTTCCTCCATATGTACAACACACAGTAGTTTTCAAATGCAGAATGCAGAGGTTTAGTTTGAAATCCCAAGCAAAGAGCTGAATATTTACAACTTATATACAAGTTAATATAGCAATACCATGTTCAGGATGGCCTCAGATTACGTTGTTGTGGCCTATGGAAGATTTTTTTCCCACTTGCTGGTGATTGTTAAAGAAATTGACCCTTTTCACCCCCTTTTGCTTACTGTATTACAGAATGTCTCTCAGAAGTGATTCTCTGATTTCCTCATGGGCTCAAAAGAAAGTTCAAAGAAATGCAGCGGACGCAGCTCTATGTCCTCAATGTCGGAGCACTCCCTTTTTGGAAAAGAGGACTTTTCTGCTCCTGGTTCCCCCAGGAGAACCCCTTAAAGCTCAGCCTGTCATTGTTTATCAGTAAAATAAAAAATGTGTGCCTCAATGATGTTTACAATCACATAATATAGCAACACATAGTAGTACATGTACAACATGGATTACATATTACACTTGTCATTTACACTTGTCAACATTTAATGTCAAGTTTAAACGATTTTATAAATGGCTCCATAAGTGATCTGGTAAAGCATGTCATGGAAAACAACTCCCTGCCATGAAGTGAATCACTCATATTGGTGCTCCATCTCAGGTTAATGGTTAAAGTTATCTGCTAAGATAAGGTATTTATGATTATTGAGTATGGGTTTTATGATTAGAGGCTAAAGATTGTTCATCCACTGCTCTACACAGCTCACAGGCTCCACAGCTCCTTAACATAAACACACAGCAACACTGAAAGGTTGCTAGAACAACCGCCATTACACCCGTGTCAGGTCCAAGTACAAATTCATTAAGTCATAATTCAGGCATTTATTACCCTCTGACTGGCCCTCCTTTTATAACACACAAGTGTGGCTATAATTATGTACCAATATGTATTTGCATCTCATCTCAGACTCCTCTACTCTGTTATTAGGCAGTTGCTCTATTTACAATATACTATTATTTTGTATTACAAAACTACACAATCAAATATAGATCGATTGTTCACAAATCAGAGACCGGCCTTCATTTGTTTAATTCCCAGACCATTAAATACAATTTATTAAATTAACACAAAATATTTGATTCTATCCATTTGATGTAAATCCATTTGCATAAGGAAGGGTAAAGTCAAAAGAACATAACTGAAAAAAATGGAGTTTCCAAAAGTGGAGTTCAAAAATGTATCAGAGGGTACAGAGAAAATGGGACTCCTAATGACCATGCAAGACCTGGAAGACCACCCAAACTGTCCCCATTAGAAAAACATTACTCAAAGCTTTCATCTTTGAAGAGACGAGAAAGCTTCAGCTACAAAAAAGAAGTACATTTTCTAATTAAACAGCTGCTTGTGAAGCGGTTTGTGTTGCGAGAACAATGGACTGACCATCTCAGAGTCCAGACCTCAACACCACTGAATGTGAAAAGCAGAAAATGCAACCAACTTCTAAGACTGAACTTTCAGAGTGTGGAAAAATATCCTTGCAGATTCCTGAGAGCAAGTGTCCTGAAAAGAATGGACACTGAAATAAAGGCAAAGTGTGGACACAATAAATACTAAACAAAAAATATATTAGATTTAGTTGTTGAAATTTCTGTGTAATTTTCTGTTAAGTATGTCATGTGCTTTTTACTGAAGCCAAAAAATGAATGAGTTGTACATAATGGCTGTTTTGACTGTTAATTAAATAAATGAAGGATGTTCACTGTCTTTCGCACAGTACTATATGTGCAGCCTAACCAAACGTCATAAAAATGTCATGACTGTATTTATTCCTGTCAAAACTGTGTAAAAGTGTGAGCAATGCGTCTTGTATTATATTCCCTTCTTAGCTATGATTCACCAGAATAAGCAAAATAAGTTTTGCTGGTGAGACACTAGTTTGATGAGTGTGAGTGCAGTGCTGACTGACAGTTCTCCACCACCGCTACCGCAACACCCTCACATCAGGAGGCTACAAGTCATCATCATCTGAGTCTGAGCCTCTTCGCCGTGTGGACATGGACATGTTTGTATCTTCCTCATCATCTTCCTCCTCATCGTGGCTAACATCCCTCTCTCCACTGTCGGGGATGATGACCACCTCTTCCTTGACATTGGGATCGATGTCCTGCTTAAACCACACCGCTTTGTAGCCGTCCTCCACGCGCCGTTCCTTGGTGAGAATAGGCTTCACCTCCTTCTCACTGTCTGTGTTGTCTGAGGCACTCAGGCTGCTGGAGTCTGCAGGAGGAGAGCCGCTGTCATCGCTGGTTCTGCTCTGCAGAGTTGGAGTGCTGCTCTGTTTCTCCGGCTGTTGTGGCACACTGCGGCTCAGTGCCGGCCCCAACGGCAGGGGCAACTCCGCTGCCTGCTTGGAGCTCACACTGTCTGCATCTCTGTCATTCTGGAAGCCCTCATTAGTGTACTGCACTCCGTCTTTAGGCCCGGATGGGCCCCCAGTCAGCTACAGGCACCAATGACAGAACAACCATGAGACACATTATCACTGTGTAATGTTTCAGTCACTTTTCAGATGTTGGCAATTACTGTTTTCAGTTATATAAAATCTATTTTGTTGCAGATACATCTATAAAATCATTCTAATGTGATGCTACTACAGCACAACTAAATGGGATTAAAATAATTTGGTGAAAGCTATAAGATTTATGAAAGTCTAAATGTGTCCAGAATGAGGAACAGAGCTGCAGAAGATTTTCTAATAAGCAAGAAAACTATATAACATCAAGGATGATGTTATGTTAAAATTCTTAAATTTTAACAATTTCTTAAAAAATCTTAAATGCTTTGTGTTTGAAAAGTGGTTATTTCAAGAGAGGTAACTTGCCTCATATTCTAAGTTTGTGTGAACTTTAAAATGTTATATTTATCAAATATGAAACAGGATTTACCCTGCTTATTTTAGCATCTAGTAGGATGAAGTACCAAAAAACAAGTGTACCCCTTTCAGGCACTTCTGCTTGATGCTCCTAGTGAACTATCCATGAAATCAGTCATATGTAAAAGTTTGGGCACCTCTGATTAAATGGTACGTTGTGTTGATTTTGTAAGTGAAAATAAGTAACTTTAAAAATACTAAACACATCCTTTACAGAGAACACACTTCTGCACATTTAAATACACAGTTACGGTTAATTTGTTGAATTTAACATATTGGAAATATAGAAAATTTGCAGAGAAATGCCACACTTAAGTCCTGTGTAGAGAATGTGTTAACATATATTGGAAAATCAACAAAGCGTGTAATTTTATAAGGGACACCTAAAGTTTTGCATATGACTGTTTACCACACAATTATAAAATGTTGGTTTGCATGATGACAGCAGAAGAAAAAATCAGTCTCTGCAAATTCTTCTAATTCTCCCAGATCTAATGTCAGCTCACTCAGCTGCCTCGCAAGATTCATGTGTTTACATTTATTTAAGCTATAGATGGCCTACCATGCTGCGGAAGATGCTGGCCTCAGACAGTTTCTTCCAGTCTGCATTTTGCTGTTTGAGGCGGTACACCAGCAGGCCGATGAGCACCAGGCAGATGAGTAGCACTACAGCCAGACTGGCCCCCAGAGCCACCATATCCTCCGTCTTAAAGTCTCCCCCCGGCCCGGGCAGTGCTTCTAAAAGAAGGGTGAGGACAGACACTCAAATGCTTTTTCACAATATTAATATTAGTATTAAAAAACATATAGACATCATTCACTTATGTCAGCGATTGCCGTGTGCTGGATTCCTAATAATGATGTTTGTGATCAATCAGAATCTTGCAATCAGTGACTTTCATGCACCCTAAAAACAACACTAGAGATACCTTTAAATGCATGTCACGTTAACATGCACCCACATGCAGCAGCAGCAGCAAAGCTCAAAAATGCAGTAATAGCAAACACCCATTCAACAGCTGAAGTGAGCTGAGGTTGCATGGTGTTAAGCGATGCGGTGTAGGGCAATTATTACAAAGCAGCATAACTCTTTTTGCGGAATGTATGAGTGGCCATGTGTATGGGCACTCCGCGTGTGTGAGCATACGCATGCATATCTCTGCGTGCATGTACCTGTTTGAGGACTGGGAGGACTGTTGGGGAAGGTGGTAACGGTAACCGGATTGGAGGAGCTCTCTGTTAGATGTGTAACCACATCTGTGGCAGGGCTTGTGATCATGTCTGTGGTTTTGGCAGGGCTTGTGATCATGTCTGTGGTTTCGGCAGGGCTTGTGATCATGTCTGTGGTTATGATAGTGGTAGGGATGGTTGTGGTGGGCATTTCTGTAGTGGTTGTAGGGACCCCTAAAGGAAGAGCAGTAACACCTGTCAGGTCCATTGCAATCAGGCCAATTCAAGAACTTGATTACAATTTAAAAGAAATAAGTGAGCTGCTAATGCTGGGCGTGGCTGATAAAATTCACCCTCATGATATTTTTCAGATATGTATTTTCAAATAATATTTACATTTGCATTAAAAAAAGTTTCACAACTGCTACTCGGTGCTAAAAGAATGTCTCACAAACCTGATACAGCTTGTTTTGATTGAACTGGTTTGTTCAGTTCTGCTTCTCTTAAAATGGCACTGAATGAAACCTTACACTGTGTTGTAAACATTAACTAGAAACTTTTTTTTTCAATGAAGTTTTTATGTATTTTGAAGCGCTCTTCAAAAACAAACATGCAGCATATAATAGGCAGTAAAATGCAAAAGTTTAGGCACCCCAGGCCAAATTACATGCTTTGTTGATTGTCCATGTGGAAATAAATTTACGCATCCTCTACAGAGAACACACTTCTGCACATGTTAATGCATAATTACTGTTTATTTGTTGAATTTAACATATTTGAGGAAAAATAAAACATAAAATGTGGCCTATCCAAACGTTCTGGCAGATATAGATATATTTTTTATTTTATTTTCCCATATAATAAACTAAATATAAAGAAATTGCACTAAAATCTGCAGAAACATTTTCTGTTACAAAATATGGTAAATTTTCACTTAGAAAATCAACAAAACATGCAATTTGACCAGGTGTGTTGAATCTTTTGCATATGACTGTATGTTGTACAAGATCTATTAACACTGCTAAAGCTAAAAATCAATATTGTGGCACCAACATTGGTGTACTGGCATAGATATATTGCCCAGCGTTATGATCAGCATTTATCATCCATCTATTTCCTCTTGTCAGAGCAGGACTCATTTCTTGAATTGGCTGAATAGAAAAAGACCTTCCCGCAAACCTCTTAACACCTGCAATCTCCCCTCCCAACCCCACAAGCAAGCAACATTTCCTCACTGTTATGTAAAGTCCAGCGCTGGGATGCTTTTAAAGCCGGGTAAAGTGCGACTTGCGTTTCCTCATTTATGAAATACTTTTATCAGGATAGTTTCTTGTTTTCTATTATGGCTATAATTCCAGACACTGTTAAGGATGGAAGGTAATAAGGATGAGATAATGAGCAGCACGTGATCTTCATCTGGTCTCACCTGGAGTGACTTCCACAGACAGAGAGGCTGTGCCGAATTCATCATTGGTAGTATCAACTACACGTATCTACAACAAAACAAGAAAGATGAAACACGATGAAACAAGAAAGAACAGTTCTAAAAGTGTATTTGAAGTTAATGCGAAATTATCCAGTTACAGTTCAAAGTCAAATTCTTACGTTGAGTTCAATCGTGCCTGCAGAAGCTGCACTTGTCATGAGTATGAAGCCCTCTGCTGTGATTCTGAAGTCACTGCCATCTTGAACCTCAAAAACAATGTCAGGATTCACTCCCTACAAAGCAATCCACAAAAACATGTTATAAATGTGTGTAAAATGAGCCCTGAGTTTTCAGTGAAGTCACTTATAAGTACGCCAAAAGAGATTCTTCTTTATAGTGCTCATGTGAAGAAACGTATTGTAGCATCGGGTCTCTGTCCCCTCTGGTCATTGGCTGTTGTTCTCCATTTTAGTGTAGTAATGAGATATAACTCAATACCAGCAATGTGATGTGATGCATCTTGCTGAACAGGGCAGTCATCCCAAACTTTCTAGGAGCCACTTTTCTCATTTGTGGACATATTAGCTTTATAAGTCTGGAGTTTCCAGCCCTTTTACCCCTATTTGCTTACTGCACTGGTTTACTACTGATCTAGCAGCTCATTATGTCTTCAGTGCATGACTACTGACAGTTAGTTTCAAACCATGACCCACACAGAGTTACAGAGACTCTTCACTAGACTAAATAAGGTAAAAAAAATTCATGCATGAAAATCTGAAAAATAAACACCAGCATTAATTTAATAAAATATCCAAACTCTTACATCACTGAAGTCTGCGTCTGTGGCCTGAACTTGCAGGGGTTTGTTGCCAGTCTTGCTTTCCAGCACCAGGCTGCCCACGTCTGCGTCTTCTGAGATGAAGCCCTCATAACTGGATTTGACAAACTGTGGCGGGTGGAGGCTGCTGATGACTACGTGTATTGTGACGGTGGTGGTGGCAAGCTGGTCTGGAGTCAACACCTCATAGGCCTGCAGAGAGGGTTAAAACTGTGCTTAGCACATGAGATGCTTTCCATAAGGTCACATGGAGGACAGGTGAACATCTATTATACAATATGAAGCTGGAACAAGAGTTTTTCACAGGTGCTTTGATCTTTTGATATAATTACACATGAAGATGTATGTACCAAAGAGGGTAGTTTTGGCAGCACTGGAAACCAAAATTGGAAAAAAAAAGAAAATGTAGGCCTTCTATTTAATCAGCAGAGCGTTTTCTTACCATTACTGTCAGTGCGATTGATCCTGCCACACTCACTGCCTTCTGCATTGTAATGCTGCCGGTGTTTTGATCAATACTGAAGATATCATTCTCATTTCCTGTTCAACGACAGAGACTGACTAAGTTAATCCAGTCAACAGATGCTGGCTGGAGGAGCTGTGTGCACAGTTCAGACTGAAATTCTGTGGAACATAGAAAATTCATTCACTACAAAGAACAGTTTCTGATCTGCTGTCTGACCTGCGAGAATTCTGTAGCCAATTTCTTCATTCCTGCCTTTGTCTCCATCAATGGCATGCACTGGACCAGGCTCAAGAGTTAAAGCACCAGTCTGTAATTATAAAAGAAAAACCTTTCATTAATCAGTCTGGAGAACATGTTGTTAAAGAACATAGACGACGCTGAAACAATGGTGTATCATTAGATGGAGGATGGCATTTAAAAATACAACAATATATATATGATATCTTTAAAGGTGCAGTGTATAAGATTTAGGCCAGCAAATGTTAAGAAGAGCAATTTTTCCTTTCAACAAAAATCAAACCATCTTGGGAGCCACAACATTTTATTTCCATTTTACCCTCTTGGCTGTAAGCCTATAGACAAAAACACAGGCTTACTTTGCTCTACCTTAAGCTTTAGCTCAGCTGTAACCACTTTTCTCGTGTCTCAGGCAGGAAACTTTTCTGCAAAAGTAGAACAGTTTCTTGTAAAATGTCTCTCAAACTTTAATTTTTTACGAGACTGAAGTCAGCATCTCATTCACCAGCTTCTTTTTTGAATTTTCTTGTTCCACCTTAAATGGTGCCTAAGGCACCAGAATGTAACATTAACTGCTGCACCATTTAAGGCGGAATGGAAAAATTAGAATCTGACTTTTAGCTGCCTTCGACAGTTTCTCGCTGCAGATGAAATGTATCAGAAAATCAGCTGAAGTGATTATAAATGCAAATAAGTCCAGTCATCACCAAATTATCATTGTTCATCTTAAGTCTCTTTCTTTGCCTTTTAGTTAGCTGCTGGCTAGACTATATTGTTGTCTGGATTGCTATGTGACAAGCAGTCTGCATGCCAACCATAGGGTTAAAGGGTGAACTAACAGTTATACATTAACTTCAGTGTTTAAGACCATTTATTGTTAAAGCTTTGTTAGAACGATTAGCAGAGCTTTATTTTACTGCAAAGGAGGATTATTTTATTTTTTACCTGAAAATCTAATTCTGCTGTTGAGCGGCATGTAACTGCATCACCTGTAACTAGGAACTGTATTTTTGTTAGCTTAGAATGAGGCCTTCGTGTCTATTTAAGGAGCAGATTCACTTCTAACCGAGGCAGCTTGAATGTGATGGCGCTACAGCACCGGTTGGAAGATATAGAAAGAGGAAGAATCAGTAGTTGCTGCTGGTGCTGGCTAACCATTTTGTGTCGTGAGAAGCTTGAGAACACAAATTTTGACAAATGGAGGATCATACTTATTATTTACAATAAGAAAAGGGAGGGTGAATTCTCGTTATCAAAGAAGCAAAAACATGATGGCCACTTTAAGTTCTGCTACACGCTTGGAAAGCATGTAGCAGAACTTAAAGTTCTCTGTATCAACAACTAAATAGGTTGTTTTTGTTACTGTACCTTTAAGACATTTGTGTAAATGACTTCTGTTTTGATTGACTGCACTGTGTTAAACTAGCAAATAAATAGAGAGTATGCACAGAAATGACCAGAAAATGCTATGTTTTAATTTGTTCCCTGTAGAGTTAACTTATTTTCACTAATCAACTAAACATGAAATAATTAAACATAATTTGACTGCCATGTTCAAATAAATGAATTTTATGACTTCACAAAGACAACTAATTGGCTGTTTTTTTACACTCTGATTTTGGTATATGGACAATATGACATGTGTGTACTACATACTACCTTCTAAACCCATGGCTTATTTTCCATGAGTTTTCCATGATGTAGACACTTAACCTATTGCATCAATCAGTGCTGCTATGTAATGGCATGGACAGAGCTCAGTTTGTACACACCTCTAGTTCATTTAGGTTGACTTTCCCTTCATAGCCAGAGCTGAGGCAGACTTTGGTGAAGCCAATAGCGGTCTCTGTGCATGGCTGGAACCACGGTGGTCGGTTATTGATGTCTAAGACAAAGACTTTGACGGAGGTTGAGGCAGTATGAGATGGTGTCTCTGATGTTGTTAAAGGTGTATCCTGAAATTTCAGCAGATTTAGGTGACAAGAACACAGTTAGTCACTGGGCTACATCAGACTTTCAGGGCAAAGAATAAACATCAACATGCTACAAGACTTTTCCTGTGCTACATAGATAAGCTAGTTGTTTTATAGAGTGTGCTCGAGAGTAATTTTTTTTGTTAAATTACACCTTAGATGGTCAAATATTTCTCTGTCTAGAAGAGCTGAGACTTGCCTGAACAAAGAGCGTCATATTGACTTCTGGAGTGGTGTCATAATCCAGAATCGTCTGCACCTGAATTTGTGGATTGATGGCTGACAGCAGCCCAAATTCATTCTGAGAACGACAATTAAAGAGAGAAAGAGACAGAAAAAAAGAAAATAAGACAGAAGACACCGTTTAAATTGTGATATTTTGACCTTAATTTACGTTTATGACTATTTTCAGAAAACAGTTAAGACTTTACCATGGGAGACTCAAGCCAATAGTACAGTTGATCTTTGTCGAGGTCTGTAGCCTCAATTCTGCCGATACTTGTACCAACATTTGTTAGCTAATCATAAAGAGAGACCACATCATTTCAGTTACCACTGGCAATAACTGTTCTTCTCAGTGAGGAATGTAAATTCATCATTGCCTTTTTCAAGCAGTGTAATGTAAGATGTACCTCATCAACTGACAGGTCATATTGGCTCTGTGCAAACACTGGAGGATTGTCATTAACATTTTCCACAATCACAGTCACACGTTTAGGTACCTGAAAAGAAGCATTTTGCATTGTAGTATGACCGACAGTAGCTTACGCCACAGAAACAATAAAGATTGTAGACAGGACCTCACAAAGCAAAACAAACACTACTACTTTTCTGTAAAAGCATAATACATGATAATTTGTAGCATAGATCAAGTATAACATCATAAAACATAATATAACATGATAATATAACAAAGATCAAGCTTACTGAATTCTCTCCTTCTTTTCTGCATTCTAACCCAACAAATAGAACTTCAACAGGAAGAGCCTGGACAAACACATTAAAGTAAACATGCACATAAATGTGTATTTCTTTACTTTCATACAAGTTATAAATAGTGAAAATGAATGGAACTTTTCTAGTATCATTCAGAGGGCATCTGTTTTTTTTATTTTTTTTTTTGAATAGCAGGAACTGACTTATGTTACAGCTGGAAAGCTTGTATCTTCGTCATCTTCTGGACCATAAATTACATACAGTGGGGACTGTGAAAGTGATAATTACCTCAAAGTCCAGAACTATGATTGCCACCAGCAGACTGCCATTTATGCTGAAAGCCTCATGAGGGTTGTCTGTGATAACGACGCTCACCCCATCCTCCAGAGCTAATGTAGCGACTGTTTGACCAATATCGTTGTTCTCTTTTATGCTCACTGTGTCTGGAGCTGTGCATACTGTAACAAAGAGTTACCATAAAGAAGAGTCAAATCAGAGTCAGTCTGTTTTGTTCTCCAGTGTGGGACATGTAGAGTGAATGTAAAGCTCAGCGGACAACATATTTTGTGAGAAGTTGTTCACACACTAAGAACTTACAAAAAGGCGATATTCAGTATGATACAATACAAATATAAACAGTGTGATACAAGTCATATAAATTCAAGCTAATAACTGTAGTTGAATGTGAGGATAAAGTTCTGCCGCTGGAAGCTTTGTAGACACATATTCCTTATTACTTGATCACTGGGAGTGAGTCGTTTATTTATGTAATCCAAAATTTACGTTTCAGTACTTCAGTTTACAGTGAACATTTTGTCACTGTTGGAACAAAAACCTTGTATCTCCAAAATGGTAAGTTTAAGGAGAAGCAACAAACATTCTTAACTCATAATGGAAGTTATGAGGTTAATGTATCCAGATTGTTGCTTAATAATTCTTGATCATCTCTGTTGGTCCATTTATCATGAAACACAATACAAAGAGTAACTGGCATTTTCAAATTTTGCAATAAAAAGTAAAAATGCCAAAGATGGAAATGCAAGATTTTTGTGCAACATCGACAATTTGCTTCATCCATTTGTTTTAGAGATGTTTCATCAATATACTTCCATGATTTACCATATTCATAAATATCATATAAAGCTATAAAAAGTTTTTTTTACTAAACAAAGTAGTTTTAAAAGTAGAAGAATGAACGTAGAATAAAAGTAGAAGTATTTTTAATTTCCAGAAAATGTTAGCACCAGTAATTGATGTGTTTATTTGCCTTCCTAATGATCATCTTTATAGGCTAATAGTCACATCATTAAGCAAACCATAAGCCAGTAAAACAGCATGTATGATATTATTGTTATATAGACTGTGAAGGATTATTTTTGAAAACATTGTGCGTTAAATTCTAACAGATTGCACATGCGGCGTTTAGCACTTACAGGTTTGAACGAAAGCGTTGGCGGTGAACACAACCAGGAGACAGAAAACTGTTTTCAGTGAGAATTCAAGCCGTTTTAGATCCATTGGTCCCTGTTCTGTGGATCAGTTAAAGGAAAAGATGGAGCATCAGGAGTTCTTTGTTCTGTCGGGTTCTTGTTCACACAACACATATACAGGACTGGCAGATAAAAGAGCAGGCTTCAGACCCAACCTTTGAGACGAGATGAAACCTTATCAGCATTTACTGGCCATAAAAGCTGTTCATGGTGGACTTTTCCCCCACATGAACTCCCATCTATGTGAAAAGGATTGGTGTGGTGTAACTGTCACAAATGCTCAGCAACTGTTTACCTCTAGCTTTCGTTGACGACACCATCAGATCAGATCATAAGAGAAAGGAAAGGCAAATGATGTGCGTCCTAGAGAGAGAGAGCTTATCTAGGATTCACTCCCTCTCAACATACACTGATCAGGCATAACATTATGACCACCTCCTTGTTTCTACGCTCATTGTCCATTTTATCAGCTCCACTTACTATATAGGTGCACTTTGTAGTTCTACAATTACAGACTGTAGTCCATCTGTTTCTCTGCATACTTTGTTAGCCCCCTTTTACCCTGTTCTTCAGTGGTCAGGACCCCCATGGACCCTCACAGAGCAGGTATTATTTGAGTGGTGGATCATTCTCAGCACTGCAGTAACACTGACGTGGTGGTGGTGTGTTAGTGTGTGTTGCGCTGGTCTGAGTGGATCAGACACAGCAGTGCTGCTGGAGTTTTTAAACACCTCAGTGTCACTGCTGGACTGAGAATAGTTCACTAACCAAAAATATCCAGCCAACAGTGTCCTGTGGGCAGTGTCCTGTGACCACTGATAAAGGACTATAGGATGACCGACACAAACTGTGCAGCAGCAGATGAGCTATCGTCTCTGACTTTACATCTACAAGGTGGACTGACAAGGTAGGAGTGTCTAACAGAGTGGACAGTGAGTGGACACTGTATTTAAAAACTCCAGCAGCACTGCTGTGTCTGATCCACTCGTACCAGCACAACACACACTAACACACCACCACCACGTCAGTGTTACTGCAGTGCTGAAAATGATCCACCACCTAACCTGCTCTGTGAGGGTCCATGGGGGTCCTGACCACTGAAGAACAGGGTAAAAGGGGACTAACAAACTATGCAGAGAAACAGATGGACTACAGTCTGTAACTGTAGAACTACAAAGTGCACCTATATAGTAAGTGGAGCTGATAAAATGGACAATGAGCGTAGAAACAAGGAGGTGGTCATAATATTATGCCTGATCAGTGTATTCATTAGTCCATGAAAGATCAACACTTTCAGCCTCAGGCCGTTCGCCATGCACTGAACAGAAAGTATCCTTTCTGAAGTTGAACTTTATGGCGTGTTTCATTTCAGCAGCAAGAATACACATCAACTCAGGTTTCTGATGCCGTAGGCAAACTCAACAGATCCAAAAGGAGAAATGTGTCGTTCTTGAAAAGATCTGGCTTCAACGTTATACATCAGACACCAGAGTTTGATTTAACAATAGATCTGCGTCAGTCGGCGTTAACAGTGTTTAGTGTTTTATGTCTTACTGGAACCTTTATCTGAGAGTGTACTAAGTGGACTTGTGCCAGTTACCTTTTATCTGCTGTTTCTCTCACAAGATGAACATTTTACAGAAGACAAAAGTTTCCCACAGAAAAAATAAATCTCCAAAAGAAAGAAAGAAAGAAAGAAAGAAAGAAATCAGAGCTGTATTCCTGATTCTAAATGCGAACAGTGTCATGATGAATGGTGAAACATAAACTGAAGTGGGTGCTGCAGTGATTACTGCAATTCTGCTGACAGTATACTGCTAATTGGAGGTTCACATAACAGCCCTCACACAATGCATACTACGGGGTGCTGGCACTTTCACAGCAAATTTGGAGCTCAGTTTATGTTGAAAGGCTCCTAAAGATTATGTACAGGCGGTCATATTGTTAACACACTATTTGGTCAAACTTACGAGGGATAAGGTAAGAAGCAGGGGTGGACAAAGCACAATACTTCTAAAACAAAAAAAAGTAGAAATACTTTAGGTGAAATATTAATTGATGAGAAGTATAAGTATTCTTTCTCTATCTCTGTTTGAGTACTGTCTCATGAATATATTTTAGTATTAAAGTAAAAGTACTTTGAGTTATTGTAGATCTTGTGTAATTACAAAAGTTTGAGCGGCAAGTTATGTCACTCTCAGCTGAGTTATCTATTCGTATCTGCAGTCACAGAGTTCTTAATAAAAATGTATTCATCACAATAGTATTACACAGTATCTGTAATAACTCAGAGTACTTTTGATACTTCACCCCTTTAAATCCCAGGCTTATTGTGTACTAAGGCTTATTATTCAGTAACTACAGAGACTTCAGTGCAAACCTCTTGAGCTATTCTTAGGATATAGAAGTGTGTAATAAAACTGGCAGCCCGCCGGTGGGCCCTGGCCATTTAGGGGGTTAATCACATTCACATGTAAGTACTTTTGTACTTTAACTCTAGTAGAAATATAGAAAGAATATTTGTCATTTTATTCAAGAGTACTTCTACTTTTACTCAATTGCAGAAGCAGCTTATGTTTAGGGTTAGAATGAGTGTTATATTTATGGTTAGGGAAAAGTTAATGTGATGTAAATTGATATTTAGTTAAATGAAAATTCATGACAAGCTAAGCACCTAGAAAGTATCTACAGTGCTTTACCAGTTCCAATACCAGTATGATAAGGTATTTTTGCTTTAAAAACTACTGCACTTTAAAACGATCTATTTCTTTTAAATGTAAAAGTAGGCTATCATGCTCGAACTGCTCACTGTACTACACAGCTAACAGTGTCACATCACATAATTTGAGTATCTGCTATTTCAGACTTGATTTGTTACAGGATTGGCTCAGATTTACTCCTTTTTCTCTCCAGTATCCAATCCAGCATTTTCTGCTGATACTGACCTGATACTGATTCCCATTAATACCGGTATGCCATCTCTAAAATAAAGTTTTTGCCATTTGTGAAAGGAGATCACATCATGGCAGGAAATGCTTTCTGCAACTAATCTCAATAGTAATTAGATTCAAATTCAACACAGTGGTTATCAACATTCATTCACAATGAAGAAAAAATGGCAAATGTCTTTTCTAGTGATATATATATTATATATATATATATATATATATATATATATACATATAAAAATATAAATATATATTTACATATACATACAAAAACTAACTATATATATGTCTATATATATATATATATATATATATATATATATATATATATATATATATATATATATATATATGAACTAAACTAGCCAGTGATCATTTACAGCAGCAGAGTTGTTGCATTTGGGAGAGTGTTGTGTTTATCTAATTATGTGGATCAGTCTGTTGTAAATTTATTTAACACCTATTAATGTCAGAATAAAGTATTCAAAAAAGATTATTTCTGGACTTTAATGGTGTTGTACAGTACTTTACTGCACATGTGACAAGTGTGAAAGGAACATGTTGGTATATGAATGGGCAGTATTAATGATACATGTGGTTGAAATACCTATATCAAATACAAAATATGATTTTGTAATTTGTATGTGATAGGGTTGATGAAATTGGCTTCATATTTTGTATCAAAATATTTGTGTTTTGTGTTTTTGTAGTTTAAAAATACTGTAAAACACTTTCTGTGAGAAGTCCATGTGATGACATCATAAAAATGCAAATGATGCATTCAGCCTTTGATTGGTGCCTACTCAGTATCTTAACCAGGTTTGTTGAGATCAGAACATTGAGGTTCTGAAAATTGATCCAGCACAAGGTGAGAAACTTTTAGAGTGCCAGCTTTCAACTGATTTTTAGGATAAATTGCCAGTTCTAGTTAAGTTTTCATGTTCACTTTAGTAGCCTAGGCTAAATCTTTTACTGAATTATGTAATGTTTTGCACATGACAGATCTCTGGCATGCCTTGTTTGGCAAAGAAAAGCTGCAGCTCTCACACATTGTTCACTTAATCAGCTGAGTCAGTGTACTAGTGAAGGGACAGATCAAATAGGCTGATAGATAAAAGGTTTGTGAAGTGACTTCCTGCTGCCTTGGAAAAGTTTTTTTGGTATTTTTAAAATACAAAAATACATTAGTTTATTTTGATATATGTAAAGGCTGATGTATTGCATAGTTTATTCTAATACACTTACAGTTAGGGTGTTTTGTATCTTATTTTAAAATTAATTTTGATTTATCTTTATCCATCTCTGTATATACTACTGCTTTATGATTTGTTTACTTTTTTGCCGGTAATATTAAATGGCCTAAATGTGCTTTAAAAGTATTAAAAGGGTTTTGAAGAATGAAAGGTTAGGAGTGTCATGTGGTTAAAGGTTTTCACCAGGGGATTGCTTGGTTGTTTGTTTGTTTGTTTGTTTGCATGTTTGTTTGTTTGTTTGTTTGTTTAAAGAAGTGCACATGTCGAGTATTTGTGAGTAATGGCAGTCTTTGTGAGACATTTGAAAAAAGGAACGTTTATTTTCAAGTACACAGCAATTTGTCCTGTATAATCATAAAGCTGCAATCACTCTTCCAGTAAAACCGCTTTATCGTGTTCAGTCTTCACATGTTGTGACACATTGTTGAATGTGGGCAGAGTGGGTGAGTCATTGGTACACGCTGGCACACATATACTGTTTCATCAGTGTGTTCACTCGCTCTGTGTCTCCAGTGAGGCCACTGTGAAAACATACAGCACAGAAAACGTGCACTTTACCATCTATATAGCACAAAGAATTAAATTCAAAAGAATTAGAATAGATTAGAACACTTGGGAACACTTGGGAAAAAATAGTATGTAAAGTGACAAATTAGAGATTCACAGAAGGTTGTGAATGTAAATGATCCAAAGTAATACTGCTGTCCAGAAAAAACATATATCTACATTTTTGTCGATTTTGTCGAAACTCTTTACATTAACTTAAAAGTTAAGAACATTTTTGCCTTCTCCTATAAAGTTTTATTTTGGAGATGTTTCTTTGTACAGTGACTACAAGCAGGTGATGAGCAGATTCCTCAGTACACTGACCAGTCAGGCTTACCTCTTCTTGCTGTTCTGCATGCGACGGAGGAAGGAGCAAAGGGAGGAGAGCTTGGCTTTAGACTTTAGCAGCTCAGCATAGCGGTTGGTGAACTCCAGGTCGCCCAGCTGTCT